ATATGTAATAGTTGAATTTATATGTAATGTTAACTCGCTCCTGAAGGTGTGATTTCGTGCAGAAAAATTTTCGTAAATATACTCAGAATTAAGCTTTTCTGAGAATTGCTATTGGGATATTGTGCAACTATACTCTTTTGTATGAGGTAAATTGTAATCTTAATGGATATTTTAATTATGGTCATGTGACGTAATTAGGTAATTTTATTTTAATGGTACATTTTTGTATTATACTTTAAGCTACGCAACCTTACGCTTAAGAGTGTTTGAATTAGTAATTAATTATTTGCAAAGCTTAGTAGTTGATAATTGACAAAAAAGTGTTTCTGTTATATGACGTTCATATTTAAGAGTTCATACATGATACAATCTAGATTTTACTTAGGTCACCTGTGACTCTAAACCTGCATCTATTAGAAGGTATTAATATTTTGAAAAAAGTCTTTTCCTCCTAAAATTTCTCGTCTTCAGTAATACAAACAAATTTAAAATGGAATGGTCCTTAAATATAAATAATTTCCTATCGGGATCTTCAGACACTTAAGATACATATATATATAATATACTAGTAAACTCGGCAAAGCGTTGCTGTGGCTAAGGTTTTTGTTATATTACATAGTATTAAACTATTCAAGGGAAACGGTAGGAGAACTTATGTGAAAGGTAGATAGCTTATGTGAAACCTTGGTACTTTTAACACAGCGCCACCTGTTAGAATTGTATCAAATAATAAACAAATATTTGCAATAAAATAATATTGCGGGTATAAATTGAGATGTAAGCTATCCTATCTTTTAAGTTGGATCAAACTGCACACGGTGTGTAAATTTAATTTGAAATCGGTTTAGTAGTTTAGGAGTCCATCGCGGACAAACAACGTGACACGTGATTTATATATATTAAGATTAATTGAAAAATACATTGTAAGAGTTTAAGTATAAGTCAGTTAAAATTACAACGCAAAGTGTCAACATGTGGGCAGTGTGTGGTATCTAGCAGCGCATCTCAATTCTTTCAATCAAAATTGATTGTCTCATTACGAGCACGGCTTGATTTTACCGTCACAAGGCGCCGGAATAATACTTTGGTCCCATTTATAGGCCAATATTGTAGTCGTAAATCTCATGGCCGTTAATTGCAAGTTTCGTTGTGTTAGATCATTCGTTAGTTGATTGCTAATTCTAGGAAGTTTTTAGCGAGTGTTTTGTCTGCTTTTGTTTGAATTATGTATAGTTCTCTATCTGATTTTTTTTCATTTATGATTGACATAATGGAAATACCATAATGCGTCTTTTGCTCAGTTGAATATTAAAACACTATATTTCAAGGATACTTAAACTTTAATTTAACAAAGGTTTTAGAACTGTTTATCAGCATTCATTTGACTACAGTAAAATTAAGTGAAAAAATTGAACGAGTGAAGCGATTATTATAAAGTCTGCAAGTGAAAGTTCTTTGCATACAAAATAGTAGTGTAAAATATCTCATATATTTTTTGTTGCAGGACGGTGGAGTGCCATTTGGGAGTGCAGGATGCCGATCGCACCGCGTGGCCCTCCGCACATCTCGCTACCCTACCGCCAGCGATATGAAAGACCAATACTCAAGTGTCCTTAGTAAAGTGTAACTTTTGTACGCCTCTTTTACTCCGACCTAATAGGTATAAGTAGAACGTGTTAGTGTAAGTGTCGTGCGCGTGTGTGTATATGTGTGTCGATGGTGTGGCCGACATGGGAAAATCCTCAGCGAGAACACATGGCCAAGGTGAGTACTTTGATGTCTTGACCTCGAGGGACGTTTTCGAAGGTTTAATATTGCCAATGGCATTACTTAGAATAAGGTCATCGGTATACATGTTCATTCCTTTACATCGTTTAATTACAAGTACACTTAAGTAAGATCTCTGAGTATGACAATGCCTTGTAGAAGTGCTACGAAACTATAAATTTACTAGAATAACTATAAATGTAATAGAATATTTTGAGAAATAAGAAGTTTTTTGTACTTACTTAAGCGAATAGTGTGTAGATAAATAATTGGTAACGCAAAGATAGGCCAAGCATTTCTAAACGGTACTAAACTAGCAACTCTTGCCCCGAGGCCACTCTGTCAAACATAATTTCCTAATAGTTTATCTAGATCGAAATCAGATTTAATAAAATATAAATGTATTCCGTTTGAATAATATATATATTTTTTTTTTATTTTATTCGTTATCTCAAAGATTTTACAATAGCTGATAAGTGATTGGGACCTCCTTTTAAGCGCATAAGCACTTGTGTTAGGAGAACCCGCTCTTCCATTACATAGGTGTACCAACTAATTATAATTTAATTTAACACGTATAGCTAAGCTAAGTATTACAATTTTACAATTTACTAAACATAATCTAAGGTTAAAATGTGAATAATGATATATGTGTGTATGTGTATGTGTGTGTGTGTGTTCGTGTGTTTATGAGAATGAATTTTCATGACTGATTGTAGAAGTTGACTAATTACTAGTGTATTATGATTCATGATTACCTACAAAGGCTTCAGTGTCTTCATAGCTAAATGTTTCTAGGATGTTAAGTAGCGACGTTTTACATTCATGTTTATTCAATGTGTATATATTTAATATTTTATTTAATTTATTATAAAGTTTAGCAGCTTGGCATTGAAATTGTCTCATAGCAAAAACTGATTTAGATCTCTCAACAGGAGCAACAGTATATTTGCGTCTTTTGCTCAGTTTGCGACCATCATATTTAAGAGACTTGTGCAATCTTAAGGTAGTGCAAAAAATGTACAGTTGCCTGACCGATAAGACACCACAAGAGGCATAAAGATCAGAGGTGGAAAATCTATAAGGCTTAAACATCATTACTTTTAGTAAAATTCTTTGTGCCCTCTCCAGATCCAGGAACTTCATCTTTGTAGCACCCCCCAAACTGGGATACAGTACACTAAAATTGACTGAGCCAGCGATGTGTATATCTGTATTAGTAGATGTTTGTCAGCGATGTGCCTTAGAGTTTTAAATGTCCAAATAAGCTTTCGAATCCTACTTATAACTTGTTCTAGGTGCTCATGCCATGACATTCTTTGATCAACTACCACTCCTAGATATTTAGTGTGATGAACTTTATTTATAGTTTTACATGTACAGTTTACTCTGGTGCTACAGTTATGTATTTTTATTTCTAGATCTGTTTGAGGTTGGGCGCTATTGTATTTAGTGAAGAAAATGTAGTTAGTTTTACTTACGTTTAATGATAATAAGTTTTCTCTTAACCAGTTATCTATTTTGGAAAGCCCTATTTCTGTATGTCGACGCACCGAGTCAATAGTTTTCCCAGTGAAGACAACAGCAGTGTCATCCGCGTAGGAGTAGACTTTCCCACTATCAATTCTTAAATCGCATAAGCTGTTTATGTAGATTAAGAATAAGGTCGGCCCCAGAACACTACCTTGTGGGACCCCATATGTGACGTCAGATTGTTCGCTGATGTATTGACCTATTTTAACTGCTTGCTTTCGTTCACTGAGGTAATCAGCGAACAATGTGAGTGGAATACCCCTAATACCAATGTTCTCTAGTCTCTGCACCAGAATAGGGACAGAGACCGTATCAAATGCCTTTTTTAAGTCGATAAAAACTGTGATACATTTATTACCTTTATCAACTTCATTAACAATATGACAAGATAGTGAGGTAACTGCATCTTCGGTTGACAGACCCTGTCTAAAACCGAATTGTGAGTCTGAAAGTAGACTATACTTCTGGAGGTAGGTAATTAGTCTTTTATTAATTAATTTTTCAAGTACTTTTGATATGGCAGTGAGAACGGAGATTGGGCGATAATTTGAAACATCTTCTCTGTTACCATTCTTGTACACAGGTGTAATAATTGCTTGTTTTAGCGCAGGTGGAAACACTCCCTGTCGGAAGCAGAGATTAACCAAATGAGTAATTATGGGCACAACTAGCTCCCTAGTATATTTAAGAAACTTGGTGCTTATACCATCCCAGCCAGGAGCACAGTCAGTTTTGAGACTCACAATAGTCAGGTATACTTCATGAGGGTCAGTTTCTAGAAGCACAAAAGACGAGACCTGGGAACAGTTGGGTTTAATCACATCTGTTCTATTATGTAACGTCGTAACTGGAATTATCTCTTTAGCTAAGTTTTTACCAATGTTTGAAAAATAATCGTTTACCAAATTAACCGATTTTTGAGGAGAAACATTTAAATTTAGTAATTCTAGATTTTGCGTTTTAGGTTGGTTACGATAAGTGAGGGTATTTATTTTCTTCCACAAAGTTTTCGGGTTTTTTATACTCTTAGCAAGGTCTTCTTTTTCATATTTACGTTTGACTTTCTTTATATATATATTTTAATCATTTTCCCTTGCGAAAGTGAACAGCTGGTAAATGGTTGAATGGGCAATCGATTATTTGTAGAACTTTGTTCTAGTAAAATTAAATATATAAGTATGTATATATACAATATTATAAAACTTTTATATTGAAATATTTTTTTAGTAGAAATAGGACACTAGATAATACGAAGTGTTAAGTACATATTTTATACTAGGTTTTTTTAAATACTTGTTCAGATATATCTGTGTACATCATTTAGCATATCGTATATTTTTAAATAAATATTGTGATTGCTATATGTGACTTATTAGAGTAACAAAACCTGAAAGGTTATGATTTAAATTGATGCTGTCTAGTCGTTAGGTAATTCCCGCATTTTCTGCAATGAAAATACGGAAGGCAACACCGGCTGTAATGAAGAGAATGCGCGCGCCGCCGTGGGGGCGCTAGCGTGTAGTGTCTGGGAGTATCGGCCCTGCGACGGGCCAGAGCGCGCGCGTCTGACGCGACGTGTTTTGGATTCGGGCGCGTTTGTAGCACCGAGTGCTTTACGATAGTGGGTCCAGTGTGGTACGGAGTGAAACAGCGTGGCCAACCGCGCCGGGGCGCGTCATGGCGCGGCGGTAGCGGCGCGGATGTGCGCGCGCTCGGAGGCGGTCGAGCTGGAGGTGTTGGGCGCGGAGGGCGGCGAACCCCGCCTGCCACCGCGCCCCTTGCGATTCTCCCTCCTCGAGCTCTTCGGCAAGCTGGTGCGACGAGACCAGCCCGCGCCGCGCCGCCGCACCAAGCACAATCATAGGTTCCGCACTTTCGTCTCCTGTGGTTCGTACTCCAGTTAAACTTCTAATCGAAATGACCGCAGAGACACCCGGGGTTTTTTAAAAATATTTACTGCCCGAAAGCCGATTTAATTGGCCTTTTTCTGTATATTACACAATGTCCAAGGTCGCAGCGACGCGCCCCCGCACGGTCAACGGCCGGGGCGGCGGCGCCTTAGCGCTCCCCGTATGACCCCATGTACCTTCTATTGATTTTATCTGTCAACATTTCATTAATCATAATTACATTTGTTATTGCTCGATCTGCTTGTCGAACCCGTTATAGGTTTTCACGATCCCGCTTAACGTAATCTCAACTTAACGTGTAATATCTTATTATCTTCTAATAACGCTTGTCGGCCTAAAACACAGAACATGCCAAAAATGCCTCACTGCGTCAAATTAAACCTTTCGCCCACGTATTTATCCACTTCATGAATGCCTAGTTTATAAATACGTATCTAGGTTTTGCCCCACGCGATACCAAATAAGAATAGGGTCAACAGTGATTTGTGCTTATTATAAAACCGGATTCACATTTGTTTGTTAATTTTATGTAATAATATAAAGTACTAAATATTTGAAGCGTAGTCGAAGTCGTGACTCGTGAGTTGCTAATGTTTTGTCAATAAAAATATGTGTAGTATTTATCTTGAGATTGCGTTATTGTCACTTATACAGAGCAAGTGGATTTATGTGATAATCGAGAAAATGAAGACGTATAAGTTCTAATTCCGTACTGTATTACTATTTTAACGCTGAAAACGAACGTTCGTGATTCACCAGCGGGCAAAAAATATTGAATTTATTTCATTGTGTTTTATGAAATCGGATTAAAAATTTGCTTTTGTTTTCTTGAGAAACAATGCAAACGTTTTAATATCATCGAATAGAGAAAATGATTTGTATCGGTATCTTCGTTCGAAATTAGACTTGTAAAATGTTTGTACATTAATTGTAAAATTATTTTTATTTTTACTGCGTGTCGTGGAAATCGAGTAGTTTAATTTTTTGTTTGTCACACACACGGTAACAATTACGTCGGATAAAATTAGAAAGGGCATGATAAATGAAAAGTAAAATTTAGCATAATTTTGAAGTATTTAGAACGAGAACGCTAATTTTAGCAGGTACTTGAGTTTAATCTATTCATGTTGATCTATTCATGCTATTGCTAGTCTTCATTAATTTAGGTTTCTATTAAGAGGTGAATAACGTACAATTAAAATGAAGCAAGCTTTTGTTAAATTTATATAATTAATTGTAAATACAAGCAAAAAAGTTATATTTGTTACCCCGGCTCAATAAGTTTTAGTCCCGTTGAAAATACGTTCTGTTTTGGAAGGAGTAGCGATCACCTTGCCACTTTTGCTATGGTATATCTCTTATAATAGCGATGTTACTATATTGCATCGAGGATAATCGAATCCCTTTAAGAATAATTAGCAACTTGCTTAATAGATACGGTTTAACGTAGATTTTAACGAATTCAACATAGTAGATTAGACCTTGAAAATAACAAAGAAAAAGTACAAATCCTTCCACAGACTAAGTTTCGGCTATTACTCTCAATACATTGTATTTTATATATATAATTGAGTTTTTTTTCTGTCGCTGACCAACTACAATTCGTTCCACAGACTAAGTTGCGGCTATTACTTTTAATACATTCTATTTTATATATGTAATTGAGGTTTTTCTTCTGTCGCTGGCCAGCTACCTTTCGTTCCACAGACTAAGTTGCGGCTATTACTCTCAAAACAATGTATTTTATATTTATTGAGGTTTTTTATTCTCTCGCTGGCCAGTATCAGTTTCTTAAAACGTATAGCCCTAGTATAAATATAAAAATTTCAGCTCGTTTACACTAACATTTGGTTCGTTCAAGGACATCTTTTTCTGTACACAATATGACATTCCCAGGAGACAAGATGACGTAATAGGCTTAGATAATAGTATATTATAAAGGGAAGCATTAACTACGAGATTTTTATGTTAGCAATTAAATCGATTATTCTAAGTACACACATTCAAGGATCTTTCAATAATTATAGAAAAATTTACATAATTATAGCGATAACGCTTAAAACTAGCTCTGTAGTTTTAGTTTATTATAGATGCTGTCTTGGATTCGATTACCGCAAAAAGACAGCCTTACCTGTAAAGACAATATACATACAAGTTTTTCGTCTTAGGTTTTCCTATACATTCTTCTAGTTCACACCCTTTAAACTCATTATACTGAGCTATAAACATAACGATCTTTATAAACATCACCACGTCTTAACTGTGTCAAGTATGAATGAAACTATCGTAAAATGACTGACCTTAGCTCGATAGCAATACAAATGTGAGTAGTGGAGAGACGCCCATGAAAGTACTATCCATTGTAAATAAGTTGATCGATTGGCGACATCCCGGCGCCTTTTCGCTTAGGTCAGTTTACAATTTACTTAAATCATCCTTTATTTATAGGAAACTCTAATACAATTTCATTATAACGAACTTAATCTATTATATATAAGTAATAAATAAAACAAAAATGTGTTTATTCATTGAATAAAAAAAAAAGCTTTAATACATAACTAGCTGACCCGGCAAACGTTGTTTTGCCATGTATATTATTTCTAGGAAACATTTTTTTTTATCTATAAAATAACTATCAACAATAAAAAATAGGGGTTGATTGTAGAGGGGTGAAATATAGGGATGTATGTATTTTTGTGTGATGTATCATAAAAAAATAAAAACATTTTTTGTCGAAATATATAAAAAATTTTGAGTGGATACCCCTTATCACTTAGTGGTTTGAAATATAGATAGTAGCCGATTCTCAGACTTACTGAACACGCATAAACAATTTCATAAGAATCGGTCGAGCCGTTTCGAAGGAGTACGGGAACGAACATTGTGACACGAGAATTTTATTTATATTAGATAAAAAATAATGTTTAGTTAAAAAGGAAAGTGCACTGACAATAGAATTCCCAGTGTCGTGGGCAGCTTGTCTCTTCCATTTGACATACATATTAACATATTTATACGTTTATATATAACAATGTAATACAATGTGTATGTTTTGGGAACCCTTTTAAGTAAACATCACCGGTGTCAGGGTTCCCAGCTCTTCCATAACAAAGTTAATTTTCTTTTAGTTTTTTTTGCAACAACTTTTCCCAATTATTTAAAAAAAAAAAAATTACACGCGTGCATGAATGCGTGTGCGGGTGCATGCGACTGTGTGGGTGCATAATAATAGTGCAAGTAAATAAGAAAATTATTATGATTTTCTATATATAAAGAGATTCGATATATCGACATTTAAAATCGATTGATCTTTCTCTAATTTGGCAATATATTCTGTACTTCTACTAAGACTATTAATCTCTTTAGTCTTTACCTTAACACCCATGGCACAATGAAATGTATGTGTACACGAGAGTATAGCTGCAGATGGGGTTTCTATATTAGTCGTGAGGTCTCATGCCTGCAATCGAAGATGCTTAAACCGATTATCTATTGTATCATCTACCCAGTTCACTTCTTTAAGGAAATCTGCTCATATATGTGTAGACGTTTCCATATAATTTATAAAAGCCATTTTTTATATTGTCTAACTCGTCATAATCACAATCCAGTCGTTAGTTGGAGATAATAAATAATTGTTATATTTACTCGTGGTGACGTTGTCTGTCTTAGTTTTCGGACGCAATGACTCATCTGAATACATCAAGCTTACACAGGCTTAAAGTGAATCACTGAGATATTGGTTGAATGAGGAAATTGGTAAACAAGCACTTTATCTTCCTACATGTATTTAAGTGAAAGATTTAACAGTTGATAAATGCTCACAGCCTGAAGGTTGGCTTTTGGTTAGTAATGTTAAAAGTTCACAATAAATCAAGTCGGAGACATATTATTTTCTTTAAATCGTTATTATACTTTAAATACAATATAAAGTATTAAATTGTTTGGATTCTATTCTAGCCTTATTATTATTTAACTTCCAGAAGTACAGAAATACATATTAGGTTTTTGTCTGTGTCTTATCAACATTGCCCAGAAAGGGCACACAGATACCAAGGAATGAACAGTATAAGATAGGTGATAGAATGATAATGTAGTATCTGAAATAAAAAAGGATTTTATTATCCTAATATTTTATATCATAAGAATATTCACACGCTTAGCAATTTCAGCATATAAAGTTAAATTATTTTTATTAATTTATTTTGGTTCACTAATAATTTAATTAATCTGTTATTCATTTAAATTATTGTAATTATTATATTAGTACACAATACATGTCTGATACATGAATGGGAAGTCCAGGCTCCTGAAATACAGTTCTCACTTCATCATGGGCCTGTTTTGGGCAATAAATAAAATTATTATCAAAATAAAGTTGCAGTGCATAAGTGAAACAACGATCTTATTGTTGCGAATTAAGCTCAATCCAATCAAGGACAGATTTTTTATTTGAACGAACCAGTTATCATTAAATTATCGTAAACATTCTTGGAAATATCCTTAATTTTTTTGAGGTTTATTAAACATTTTAATCTCTTCACGATTCAAGCGTAATGAGAAAAGTTTTAGTAAAAATTCCAAATAGTTATTTTAATGTAGTAAAGAATTTTCCGCGTAGATGTAACACGGCTTTTTCTTCTATTTCTCTACACAAATTAATAATTTTAGCGGAAGGAAAATAAATGAATCTTTTTACACATGCCACTTTTTAATTTTTATCGATCTACAGATGACGTAAGTGAACAGAAATTTTGGGTCTTTAGAATTGCAATTTTGCTGAAGCCTATAAAATAGAGCCGGGGCTGTGTTAAATATACGTATGGAAATACATTCTCAAAATAGAATATATTAAAATGTGTTTTCTTGCTGACTCTTATGAAAAAATGAACTAGTATAACTTGCTACAATCCTCAACATTAAATACAACGAGAAATCTCAATTGAATACACATAAGAGTCGAGACTTAGAGGTTACTAAGACCTTAGTATGTCAAAATCAAATACAGAAGTCAAACTAAAAATTTTGAATCTTACCTTTATTGTCAGACACTGGGGATTGAAACCTTCCGACACGCAAAATCAGAAAACTGCTCGTCAAGTAGAAGAGCGTGTTTTATCGATACGGAAGTCGTTCGACGGATATCTTACATCCGTTGGGTTTTCCAAACGTTTTTGTTCCAAAGGATGAGTCCTACTGAGGTGTCACTAAGTGATATGCAATAAATGTAATTATCTGATACCATGGTTACCGTACCATACATTTTGATGCATGCAGAGAAAACCGGAACAGGCTCATTCTAAAAAGGTGGATTAAAGTTAGTTCTGTGTTCCATTACCATGGTAACCATTTTAACGATGTTATTTATATTCAATAATATCTAACAGTTACAAGAGTAATTAATACTGTAGTAACTTTAATCGAATATGTATTTGTGGTGACTGGTCGGACTTGAATTTGTGTATGCGGTGATGTTAGTTATTTTGACTATGTATTTGCGTGTTGTTTCCACGAGAATGTAAGTGCGTGCTCCTATTTCACCGTACCTCCTGCTGATAGAGGACGAATCTTTGTTTTTAATTTATTTTATTATTATTCATTACTTAAGATGTCATGTGGAACATGGTGTAATGGTTGCAGCACCTTACAAACATTGTGTAAAACACAAAACTTGGCGATTAAAAAGAGTGGCGGAGTTTATTGCCAGTTCTTCTCTTCCGTTCTACGCCCTTGATTTGAGAACTGGCAGTAAATGTAAAATTAGAAGCATTTCATATACATATATTTATTTTTTTGACGTTCATAAGTGTACATTTTGTTACCTATATGAATAAATGACTTTTAAATTTGAATTTGAATAGGATCTAAACAACAATTTTCATAACTGAATTATTGGTATGCTCGTAAAATTATTAAATGCGATATGTATTGTTAGAGAAGCCACAGAACTAACACGTTGAGCAATTTATCGGAGACATTGTATTGAAATGTGCAGAACTGGGTTTACGGTAGAATATTCTCGCAGATTGTAAATATCATTATGTAATGTGCGTAATCAATCGAAATATTTCTTATCTGATATAGTAAATTCGATTTGTTGGTTATCTTATCTTAATTTGAATGATTATTGGGAAGACTCGCTTCATAATCTTCATTTTTGGATATCTAAGCAACCGATTTATTTATTTATTCACACTTCGTTGCAATAAAAATAAAAAAAAACAAATAACATAATACATAAAAATAATAAGGGACGGTCGGCCTTTTCGCTAATAAGCGATCTCTCCCAGGCAACCCTAGTAAGAGAAAATCTAAAAAAAAGAAACATGATGAGTGCCAGAAGTGCAGAATCAAATGTTATATATAAAAAAAATATTAATAACAAACTAAAAAACTTAAAAGCTAATCTTAATGAATCATCTGAATGGCATGATTTAGAGTCGAGACGGTTACCGTGTGTAAAAAAGTATTCTATATGATAAGTGAGAGACCATGACTCTTCTCTAGCTTTTAAATTGACTTTAAAATCTTACTCCAAGGGTAGGTACCTCATCGGTATTTGTCCGCATCTAATTTATCCGCGTTATTGTAACCTACAAAACCTAAAACAATTGACCATTTAAACATTACCTTTATTAATAAATATTGCAATATATGAGACAATAAATAATAATTGTTCTGATTTGATTCTAGGCTTACCACAAGTTCTCAGAAAGAGATCAAATAATTTATGTATAAGGAAATAAATATGTCATGATGACAACTATTTATAGCTGATATTTTTGTTACAGAAAATGAAAGAAGAATCAAAGCAAATAATCGAGAGTACAATGCGCAGTTCCGCTATGCCGTAAGTTTATTTGTTACTCATAGATTAGAGATAAACTTGCTCGCTTTAAATATGTTCACATAATGAGTACCGAGATACTTGGCTACTGGATTGACATACTTCAATGTACCTATATGTCTGTTAACCGTTGCCATGCCTTTGTTGGTACCGCACATGAGTTGTATTCGATTTCCAGATAGTACAAGACTGATATTTCAGTAAAACAGACATATCCATGTGTTTTGTTTTCCATGCTTTTGATAAATTATGAAAGAACTGTAATCAATTATTCGTTGTAGATTGTCAAATCAAGACGAAGGTTATTTAGAACGACATTTATTAGTTAATTGTTATATTGATTCTAATCTAAAATCTGGTAATATATAAGGCATTGTTTAGCCTAGAATAATAATGTATACTGTACAGACTTTGCTCATGCACCTTTTATGCCATTCGTGCATTTTCTTTATCAGTGAACTGATGTAACTAGATACAGCTTTACTATGTACAACTGTAAACATTAAAAGCTATTAAATTTGGCAGAGAAAAGTGTTTGCTAAACATTTTATTTTGAATACCAGCGATATTGCGAGCCATATTATGTGACGATTCCAAGTATTATAAACGTGATGTTCATAATGGAATGAAGCCGTCGCGTTGGCCTGACAAGTTGTACTTTCTACTAATATAAACTTCATTTGTCACGTACCTTTGTATGGTGTATTAGCATTGTATTTAATATTTATCGTTACCTTTTTAAATTCTGATTTGAAGTTATTTATATATATTTACTCATTGGTCTAGTGGTTAGTACCCCTGACTGCGAATCCATGGGTCCCCCGGGTTCGATCCCCGGCTGAGACGAACATCGATGTGATTTGGTCTTGTGCTTAGGTCTTGGGTGTTTAAATATGTATTTATATGTCTATCTATCTATAATATGTATGTATATCCGTTGCCTAGTACCCATAACACAAGCTTCACCAGCTTAGCATGGGACTAGGTCAATTGGTGTGAACGTCAACAATGTCATATATGTTGGGAAATATTTTTTATGTCAGAAAAAATATGTATGAGTATGAAATAGAGGAGTATGGGAACGAAAATTGTGACACGAGAATTTTATATATTAGATTAATATTTTATTAAAATCAGCGAAACAAAATAAATGAATGAAAAATTTTTTTTATTATAATGAAATTTATTTCAGAACAACTACATCAAAACTTCAAAGTACTCCATAGTAACGTTCCTGCCGTTGAACCTGCTGGAGCAGTTCCAGCGGCTCGCTAACTTTTATTTCCTCTGTCTGCTGGTGCTGCAGTTGATACCGGCCATCTCCTCGCTGACACCCATAACTACTGCCATACCACTTATTGGTGTACTGGCGCTGACTGCTGTCAAAGACGCTTACGACGACTTTGTAAGTGCCACAATTTTTATAACTTTCGCCTATTGGAGTATAATTCAGAATCGAGACTTAGGATAGACTTAGTGTGACTTCCGCATCGAATCCCTTTTTTTGATATACAGGAATCATGAACCAAAAACTTGGCGATTAAAAAGAGTGGCGAAGAAGTTCTTTTTGTCCGCTCTCGGCCCTTGATTTGGAAACTTTGTAAATTTAGACTTTTAAATATTTTATATACCAAGGATAAGTGTTCATATGAATGAATTAATTTCAATTTGATTTGATACTTGGGGCTAAACTTGACTTTGAATCCTGCCCTTAACTTCATTCACTAACACCCACCCGATATAGAAAATACCAGTTTTTTGTTATGAATAGTTTTTTTTAGTAAATTCAATTTTTGTTCTTTTCTATATAAAATAGTATTATAGTATATGAGATACAAATAATCGTCTCTTGAGCTGTTGAGCTGTGATACTTGTTATGCGACCACTAGTGGTTGCAAACATGTAGTTTATAGAAGTAAACTAAACACAGTAAGACAACAGTACACACCATGATTACCCCTTTAATGTGATTTTTTCAGGCCTCAAAGCTATAAGAATGAATGAAAACAGTTTCCATTAAATAGTTAAATATCAAAAGTACTATAAAACTCAAATAGACTTTGTCCTTGTCACAAATAAATGTGACGTTACAGATCTAAGATATGTAAAAGATCAAAATCTTGTATGGAATTGTCAAAATGCCTTGGTTGTATAGTAGTTTACTATGCTGAATAGTTTATGTTATGAATTAATAAAAGTGTCATTGTGTAGTGACCTCGCACACGTCTCGCCTTTTGTGCTTAAATATTACAATTATCCGCTACTTAAAACAATGAGCTTATTTTTATTTTGACATTGTACCAGAAAGTACCGATTTATTTGACAAATGAATATTATGAAATTACTAGGTATGTGGCCTTGTGAGCCACAAGAGCAGGGGCTGACTTCAGCGTACGACACTCATCACTGAGGTCGTAGGTTCTATTCCCGGCTGTGCACCAATGGACTTTCTTTCTATGTGCGCATTTAACATTCGCTCGAATGGTGAAGATAAACATCGTGAGGAAATCGGCTTGCTTTAGCCCCAAAAAGTCGACAGCCTTGCCTATTAGATTGACAAATGATCATAAAACAGATACAGAAATCTGAAGAGGTTAAAAAACCTAAAGATGTTGTAGCGCCACCGATTTATGTTTTTTAGATAGGTATGTGACCCCGGTGCGTCCTTCATATTTTTTCACTCTAGCGACGCGGATATGATCTTTATAAAAAGAAATATAATATAATATTATTATTTATTTGACGAAAGTTTTTATTGCTAATGTAATGCGTTAAATATACCAATGTTAGTTGTAGATTCATACATTAATTTTACCCTAAGGGTAATTAAAAAATGACTTTTATTTTAATTTCTATAGGCTATATGATAAGTAATATAACCATCTACGGTTTCTTGAATTATCTATATAAATAAAAATGACACGCAAAATATTTTGCTTAGCTCTAAACTCGAAGACGACTGGACCAATTCGAGTATTTTTTTTTATTTATTCCTTGAACTCTGTGGAAGGTTTTCTGAAGAGAAAAATTGCACTGAAAAACATAAAACCAGTTTTTATTCCGGAAAGTCGAAAAGTCTCTGGGGTAGCATAGCAAAATGTTCCATATGTTGATTGTTGGTATGTACCTACTAATAAAAATCATATTAACGCGAAACGAAGTTCGGGGGTAGCTAGTAATTACATTAATTTAAACTCTTTCCTTTTATGTAAGAAGAGGGTCATAGTATCTATATCAATGAAAATTATACAGCAAAAACTAACATTTCAGTTGTATTACAATATAGCTAAGATAGTCTACTCAGAGGATATGAGTAATTAAACTGATAACATAGTTGTAAAGTGACGAAACATTTAATTTTAATCCCCTCTGTAGTTCAGTTCTATAGAAAAATTTGATTTGTCATCGTCCTTGTCTATTGTATTCCTTTTAGATTATTAAAAGCAGGAGAATATAAATTTAATTATATTTAAAAATATATTGGATAGTTAACGATTCAAAAAGTTTGAAGATTTACACTGAAATATCGACTAATTCGAATAAGGGTCCTTCAAGAAAAGAGCGTATCAATTCTTAAAAATCCAGCAATGCGAGCCCTCTTGCATTGCGTGTCCATGGGCGGTATAACAGATGAGCCTCCTGCTCGTTTGGCCCCTGTTCTTCCAAAAAAAAACCCCCAAAGGACTTTCTTTGAGCGTGGTCAAATAGAAAGTCAGTTAGAAAATTTGCGCATATTTGATCGCTTAGTTTTAAATATTGTGGTGTTGGGGAGTTACCCTCTTTTTTTTATAATATTATCCTTTCTTCTGTGTATTGAATGTGTGATGAAAACCCCATTACAATCCGTTGCTTATCAAGATCTAGCGGTAAGATTTAGAGCCGAGACTAAGCGCTAAGAATTACTATGTCAATAAATTCCTATAATAAAACTAGCTGACCCGGCAAACGTTGTTTTGCCATGTTTCTATGAAAAATTTTTTTAGTTCAATAAAAATAACTATCTACAATAATAAAAAATAGGAGTTGTATGTATTTTTGTATGCTGTTTCATAAAAAAATACAAAATCAAAAAGTTTTGTCTAAAAAATTAAAATTTAAGGTTTAAAATTTTAGCGGGATGAAAAATAGATGTTGTTTGATTCTCAGAATTACTGAATATGCATAAAACGTTTCATAAGAATCGGTCGAGACGTTTCGGAGGAGTACGGGAACGAACATTGTGACACGAGAATATTATATATATAGAAATAGAATGATTTGAAAATGCACTAAAAAGTATAAGATAACAATGTTTCTTATTCTGGTTGGTAGTACCTACCAAAAGAATATTAAAGCTACTAATGGTAGGGGAGCCCACGATGCTAAATGGGGATTTACTCGAGCGTCGTAGAGACCTATTGGGATACAAAGCTTAGATAAAAAGAAGAAAAAAATGTTATATGATAAATTCCTTTTCATCGGTGGGGGAAGCGGCTATAGATAGTTAAATATGTAAAAAAAAACTGTTGCATGGACATCCTCGAGCGCGTCAGATATTGATAGCATCTATGCCCTACGTATTTTTAATAATGTACGTATGTTAATCTGATCGTTTGCATGATGCGGGTGGTTGTATTTAAGGGTTGAAAATTAAAAAAAAAAAATTTATCGAGCGCGTCAGATTTTCTAAGGGAGTGTTAAGTGCACCAAAAAAAATCTCTCATTCACTAATCTGACGATTTCGATGGGACGCAAACCCACAGCCATTTTCTTAATTTGCAAAAAAAAATCGCAATTTTGAAATACTCAAGCGCGTCAGATTAAGATATATGTGGTTCATCTTTATGTTCTAAACGTACTGTCTCATAATCTGACGATTATCTAGAGGGATTCGCCTGATCTGACAAAAAAAAAAATAGAAAAACGGTTCACCTAAAGGGCCATCCCTGCAACTTCCCGCTAATTCCATTCCTGGGCGCTTAAAATTGATATTTTGAGCTCGCTGAGTTCAAAGAAATAACATTTCTATGCATTTGAGCTCTCCCAGCTCGAAAGTCTGATAGAAGTTTCATAGAACACTATTTTTGGAATTTTCAAACCGCAATAACTTTTGAATGGATCAAGCAATTTTCACGCGGTTGGCGGCATTCGACGCAGTTTTATCATTCTCATAAGTAATTTTGCAATTTTAATTGATCGAACCACAAATTTCGGAGTAATCCCGAAAAAACACTTTTTCGGGTTTCTTTCATGTACGATATCTCTCGAACGAATCAACCGCTTTTGACCAGCTTGGTGGCGATCGACGTGGTTTTTCAAGCTCAAAGGCGGATTAGTTTTTGAAGTTGATCGATAAAGAAACCACTTAAAAAAAAAATATTTCTTATTTTTTTAAGATTTTTCAAAATTTCTCAAAATCTATCGGTCCGAATCGGTTCAAATTCACAGGAAATGTAATTTTGAGGGAAATATTTTGAACGCCGTTTAGTAGATTCCGATCGGTTTAAGGAAATGTAGGCATCACGCAGCTGCACGCATTTAACTTTATCGACGAATTTTTGTTATTTCGGCTTGCGGAAATCGTCAGATTATATATTTTTCATTATTCTGGAATTATTTCCTTCAAAATAAAAGAAAAATTAGCTACGCTCGAGAATGTCGAGATGACGTTTTTTTTACAACTTTGTTGACCTCCCCTTTTTTCCGTCACTCTCAAATTGTCAGATTAGTGGAATATACACTTTTTAGGATGTAATTAACTCACCCTACCTTAATCTGACGCGCTCGGGAATTTCTGATGGTCAATTTTTTTTTACTAATCTGATCCTGTCTCCTTCACGCGCGGCCTTATATATGGGCCTCATATTTTGTGGAGGTACTTAACCGGGTACAAGGTATCCCCCTATATAGTAATCTGCCGCGCTTTAGTAAATCCCGAAATCCCCTCTTGGGCTCCCCTACCATAACTACTAATCGTACGGACAACGGGAAACAATTTTCCTTTATACTAAATACCTTAAAATGGAGGTGGCCATATAGCGCGGTGGACCTGAAAGCTCCTTGAATCTCGGCAGAACAGTATATTGCCTGGCCGCCCACCGATGGGCTGGACTGACGCGTGTAAATCGATGCAAAAGACGCAATGCCGAATTGGAGGAGAACTAGATGGACCCAATAGAATGGCTTGAATAAGGACATGGATACCCCTTAAAACTAGATTGAAGTTCGTGTCTGAGCAATTAAAAGTACACCGTGTGTGTGCTACACATGGATTTTATGTATGCTGAAAACAATTTCCTAAAAGGCCAAACTTTAACGATTATGCCCCTATGTGTAAGTCATGTTTCCGACCTTGTGAAGTAATGATTTTTTGATAAACAACTTAATTGTGGATACTATCAAGGTTCTTTCTGTGCTTTGGTTTAGATTTACGAATTCAGCGATGTAGGCTTTTGAACTAAATATATTCAGTTTTTGTATATAGACAAGATTTTTCTATATAATTTATTTACACATTAATACACTTTACCATGGAGAGTGTTCTGAGGAGTTGTTCAGATTAATACCTGCAGCTGAATTACATCATCGGGCGTCGAGGCAGAATACGAAATTCCACCCATGTCAACTCGACGTCCGTCGTTCCACAACTGAGCGTTTTTTAAAGCAGTTTTGCCGCCCACCACCACTATGTGGTACCGGCTGCCCACTGAAGTATTTCCGAACCAATTTAACTTTAAAGGGACCTTCAAGAAAAGAGCGTATCAATTCTTAAAAGGCCGGCAATGTACTCGCGAGCCCTCTGGCATTGAGAGTGTCCGTGGGCGGCGGTATCACTTAACATCAGATGAGCCTCCTGCCCGTTTGCCCCCTGTTCAATAAAAAAATTTAAAAACAATCACAGGATGCAAATGAGCAGCCTTATCGCTAAGCGATCTTTTCCAGGGAACCCAATAGTATTATCATTTGTTCCCGCGAGAGTTACACATTTAAAAACTTTTACTGAAATATGACTATAAGTTGATCGAATTTCAAAATTATTTTATATATTAGAGTTAAAAATAACATATAAATGTGATAATTCAACGATACTTAATTTGGTAAAACATACAGTTCCTTTAATCTAAGTAGTAGATGTTTCTTACGAATATAAAATCGGTATTGACTAAGACGTTTTTTAAACATACGTTAGGCCCCTTACAGATACATTTTAAATAGCTACAACGTAACGATGATTAACAAAAACCTAATTGCAAAATCATAGTTTTTTTTAAATTTATTTTAAATTAATGTATAATATATAATTCAACTAAAAGCACAGAAAACACAAAAGAAACACTAAGGGGTTTACTTGGTGCCTAAATGGCTGCACCACAGTACACATTTTAAATTCCTAATTAACTAAAGAGTTAAAAAAATACAATCATTGCAGAATCAGTCTGTTGCACAGATCCCCGTTAATAAAGACGTAGCGCTTACTGAATGCTGTCTCCGACACTATCTCCATCTTTATATGTTCGCAGAGTGAGTTCACAGTAGCGATATTGTGTATCTTATGTATAAAATATTATATAGGATTATGAATTGTGTATATATTTTTTGTGAATAAATAAATAAATAAAAAATCTATCCTTTATTTATATAGTCTGTATTTGCTAAAGTCACCTTAAAAACATAAACCAGAGATTATAATAATTATCATCATAAGAATGATATCTAGACTTAAGTATATTAATTAGAGGCAATTGAGATTTATAATTGCTATAATCTCACTGTAATAATGCCGATAGTAGAAATTCCATTTATGTAAAAACCTCTAAGTTCTAAGATTACTCATTATTGCAACATTTCTTGAACTAGCAAAGACTTTTTACATACAAATATTTCTGTAAAATTACTATACATATTACATTCTTTTTATCTTCCTCACTGTATTTAGGGTTAAATTTAAACTTTGGTTATGAGTATTCAATGTACCACTAAAGAGATCCGAACAAATCGAAGCGTATCTAATTGCCTATATTTTTATAGAACTTACACAAATACAAAAACAGTTTTGGTCCAGTTTTAACGTGCGACTCTTGTAATCGTTTATCGTAGGTTCGAACCTCGGCTGAGCGGTGAAGGAAAACATCGTGAGGAAACTGGCTTGACCCAGAGCCACACGACGGCGTGTCAAGCACGGCCGAGCACTTACTTGCCTATTAGAAAAATTAACTACGAAACAAATACAGAATTCTGAGGGCTGGTTTGTAGCACCTCCGGTTTTTTTCTGGATTCCATAACAGGATTAAAGGCGAAAACGAAACCAAGTTTATGGATGATATATTTTTTAAATCATTATATTCCAATGAGGAAAAAACTGACGGGTTCGCCAGTTTGTATATTTTATGTACGTTACTAGTTTCGCAATACATGCACAGTCCGATAGTCTCTTTATTATTTTTCCTTACCGTGGAAAATACGCTTATTAGATTCTTTATTCAAGCGTCCTGATGGTATATTGTTACGCAACAAAAATAGTTATAGACGGATATAGTATAATTATTATAATTTATTTGTATGTTTTATACTAGTTAAAATAAAATGTTTTGTTTTGCAGCAAAGACATCAAAACGATTCTCAAGTGAATCACCGGCGGGCGAAGACACTGCGCAATGGCAAACTGGTGGAGGAAAAGTGGGCGTCTGTTCAAGTGGGAGACGTCATCAGGCTGGAGAACGACCAGTTCGTTGCTGCGGATATCCTGCTCCTCAGCAGCTCGGAGCCCAACGGCCTCTGCTTTATCGAGACCGCTGAGCTGGATGGGTAAGGAACTAGTTCTAGAGTTTTGGTTTTTATTTTGTATATTTTCTAAAGCTTCCTGCTCACCTAATAATCTGTGTTCATAAATTATACATTTTATTCTTACGGTTTTAAATTGGGTACATTTAATCATACAACAAATTTAATATGCATACATATAATTATAGTTTTTTTTCTTACTATTTTTTTTTCGTTTTGTAACAATCAATTACGAATTCACCTTAATCGTTTATTTCAAAAAGTTTTCGAACGCAACTATAATATTAGAGAAATATATATAAGAATATTATTGATTAGAGATAACTATTTAAATATCGCCTAGGTTCTTAATATTAACACTATCAGTACGTTACATAATTTTAGTATATCTTTTAAAGTACTTAAGATCGGGTTTAGACGTTGAGCTTGTTCCGAAACACGTACATAATTTCAATGGGCTAGAAGCAATGTCAAAATAAAAGAAACAGCTGGTCAAAAGTTGTCTTTGAATGGACAGGATTTCCGTTAAAAAGTCTTAAAGGCTTTATATATTCGAGATTATCGATTTGTATGAAATGTTATGTGAAGCATTTTCTCTTACAATAATATTATATTCATCTCGTGGTTTTTTTTTCGAAATATCTTGGCTTGGGATATTTCAATGTAAAGTAATTTTCTTACGACCCGATATCAGCGCTATAGATATTGGGAGAAATCGAAAGTGCATGAAAAATGTTGTAATTGGGATCGGATTATAAATTCCGGATTACCGGCGCTGTTCCAAGCATGTATGCTCTTCAGCTCCTCGTTCATACTCGCTTCACGATTCCTACTTCCTATCTATTCTCTCTATTCACCATCTGCATTCCTTTCTGAATCTATCTAATTATATTCAGACGATTGAGTGATTCCTCAATGATTATATTGCACCAAAGCTATTTTAGGTTAGGTAGAGTATTGCAATAGAAAGGGGCCTATGTAGATGGGATAGCCTGACGAGAAAACGTTGCTTTTACGCTTAAATTTTAACTTCATTGCATCTGTGCATTAAAACACTGTTTAGTTATTGTATTTTGTAATACGTCTAAGATTATCCTAAAAGTCCTAGATTGAAAATCGTGAACCATTCTAACCTAATTTTGCAGTAGAGCATAATTAACTCAAATTGTCAACAAAACGATCATTCGTTATTGTTGTCTTTTTTAGCTCATAGCCCTTTTCATTCTTAACCTATTTTTCAAGGACGCGTACATAATAGCTCATTGTACTACGAAAGTTAGTTTATTTTTTCTATGACTTAAAGAAAATGTGATTTCAATTTGATAAGCTTATCGATTGAAATGCTGTATAGATATACAGCATAGCAATTTTATAGCATAAAATAATATTTGGTCATTAAACTATGTAGTATAAAGTGTAATTAAATTAATCGAATTGATTTAAAATATAATATTGTGTACATAAGTAGACAATCATTCCAGTATACGGTAAATAAATAAACAATTATAGCCTTTATTGAGAATATTGTTAGTTACATTTTATCTTATTTCTACTTAGTTATTAACGAAATTTAGTTAAAGTAAATGTAAATATTATCATATTATTTCCTATTAAACACCGGTTTCTTGATCGTCTTGCTTTTCAGCATAGGTCTCCCCAAGTGTTCTCCACAAATATCTATCTCTTGCTTTCCTCATCTATGTCGCTCCTGCCACCTTTTTAATATCACCTTCCCATCTACGATGTTGTCTACCTTTATTACTTCTCGTTTTATGTCTAGGGCACCATTACATAACTTCTTTGGCCCATTTTTCCGTATTACTTCTTATCAAATGCCCAGCCCATTTCCATTTTAGTTTTTTGATCCGGTATTTTTTGTCTATAATTTTAGTTTGTTTTCTTATTGTGGTTATCGAACTTTGTCTTTTAGTTTTATGTTAAGTATACGAAATAACATCCAAGTCTACGAAATAACAAATAATTCAAAAGTTCAACAATTCTATGGAGATATTATAAGCATATTTATTTTTAGGGAGACGAATTTGAAATGTCGTCAGTGCCTTTTGGAGACGGCTGCCATGGGGCAGGATGACGCACAACTGGGTGCCTTCGATGGCGAAATTGTCTGCGAGACGCCCAACAATTTACTTAATAAGTTTGAAGGTAAGTCATTTTCAGTCTTCGATTAAAAAATCAGGTATTATAATAATTACTATTAGCAATCTTTTATTATTATTTCCTATTATTGCAAATTGTATTAGGGTCTTTGCTTTGAAACTAGCATTGAAAGCTTTCATTGACAAAAAGAGCTTTTTTCCGAAACATCTTGATCTTTAGTTAAACCTGCTTAATATAAGATTTTACAGATATTCTCTTAATATAATTTATATATTATTAATACGTTTATTATTTGCGTAATTTATGTATGTTGGTGGGTAATATTGTCAGTTATCATGAGTGGTTTTCCTTGTTCTTAAATATAATCAAGTTTAAAGTTGTTTTCAGTATTATCCTAAGTGTTAGCGATAATACATTTCCCGTTTATACCACAATAGATTGTTTCTATTATTTTTTAGAGTTTGTTATAACTAGCCAGCGACTTTACATTGAAATAATATTTTATAAAAATATATATTTATATAAATAAAATGTTTCATCAGTTGTAGCGAAAATGTTTCTGTTTCGTTATATATTATTTTTAATAGTTTTGGTTTTCGGCATTCAATTAAAAAATTGTTTTGAACTTTCTATGTTTTCACTCGTATGTATGAAAGGTTATGTTTGAATAGGGTAATCAACTAAATAGTTAGTAAAGTAAAATACAAGTCTATTATATATTTATTTCTTTTATTTATTTACACTTCGTTACATTTATAGAAAAACAATTAACATATTGCATAACAATTATAAGGGACGCAACGGGCGTCCTTATCGCTAACAAGCGAACTCTTACAGGTAATCCTAGTTAGGAAAAAGACTAAAAAAAGAAATATGATGGGAAAAGTGTAAGAAGTCCATAACCAAATTTAAAAAAAAATATTTATAGAATCACCAACATTAATCTACAATAATACAAAAATAATAAACTAAAAAGCTAGTCTCACGGATTTATGAATTGCGATGCAATACAAAAGAATAAGAAATACAAGAATTACAAAAGTCACGATTGAGGAGGATAGAAAATTAAGAAGAGTTTTAAAATATGTTAGGGAGGTAGCCGATCGTATAAAGAATAATAATTAACGTAATATTCTCTACTACCTACATTTTCTCTTATAAAGGGAATATTATAATAAAAATAAGTAATAAATAACATTGAAGACTAAGATGGAAATTGAGGATACAATTAATATAATAGGCGGAAAAAAATTGGATCAGAAAATTGAAATTTTACCCGACCAGCATGGACCAACGAAATCGTAGAAATCTTTGATCGTTTAGTGTATATAGAAACTGCGTTGCGTTTCTTATGCCTAAAATTTACCAGCTTGCTAGATAAAATAAATCCAGAGGATATAGCCCTCTACAACAGGCAGTAGTTTAAATAATAAGTGCACAATAGATGCAATTATGTCGCAACGCAAGTGCTGTGTGCATTTCGTAATGGTACAATGACTTATAGACAATTGGTGGGGTGAATGTGATTATTCATTATTCAAATGTATGACATATTTTGCATACGTTATCGAATATAGATGTAGGCTAATGTAGTGCCAGACAATCTCCGGTGTGAAGTAGAGTTATCTCAATTAGTATTGCACGTACTGAAGATTAATATTACGTAAAATTGATTTTACAGAATTGTGTTCCTGGAACTTGTATTTAACAAGATATTTTTAGAATTAATTCATTATTTATTACATAGATTAAAGGAATTTAACTTCTGAAGTTATTTAATTTATCCTTTATGAGATACCTACCACTTTAAGGTGGATATTAAATTACTATAGATAGCGTATTTAATATTTTGATGATTAACCAATGTTAGCAGAAAATATATGGAAGGAATAAAGTACAGTTATCGCGAACAATAGAAAAATGTAAGTCTAATTAGTTACTTCGTATTTTGAGAACCCTAAGGTCGAGCCTTCAAACCTTAGCAGCATTACTGGCTTTTGTTGCTATGTGCGCAATAAATACATGCCTACAGAGAAACAAATGCAGACTAAATAAAAATTCAATAACGTACGAGGCAAGATGTTTAAACAATGTTACGATTAAAATAACAAAGTACGGTCTTTAGATTATTTATACTTTAACTGGACACCTTTATTTGACGTAGCATACATCAAAGGAAGCCATTGTATATAAAGTATGAAATTAGATGCGTGTGCGCAAACGTACAATGTGTGCATTGATAGGCACGTAGTCATAAATTATAACGGATTAAGAACATAAAACTACCTCTGTGGCTCACGAACACTTTAATTCGAACAAGGTTTAATTTTTCGTGAAAACGGTTAATATTTCAGTGAATATATATATATATATATATATATATATATTATGTATATATAACATATATACATAATATATAACAATAGGTATCATACGTAAAAAATAGAACAAATTTGATTAAATTCAGCATGATTTTTGCCTAATATTCACCGTTTACAAAGCACTCGACGAAAAAGGATCCTATTGGTAATGTTATATATAATATATAGCTTAAAGCCTTCCAGTATTTGGTTCCAAATAATAGCGCGTTTAACCAAAACATCTCTAAAGCTTATAGATTTACTAGACAGTGAATGCTTTATATTAGCCGTCGTCAAAGAAGTACTATGTATGAGACAGATTTATACTAAACCAAATAAATTTGTAGATAAAATATTATTTCAAGGTTCTAAAGTTGCATGTTGAGCTTTTAATTATAATAATGTGCCATAAAGCTTTTTCATTTGAGCGGTGATTTTAGAGGTCTTCATTATCGTAATGGACGAGGGATTAACCTTTGTATATATGTAATTGGTAAGCCAGTAATGCCAGTTAAAAATACTACTTATTTAAACGATTAAAAAGTTAGATGATTTTCTTGAAGTCTGTATTATTATTATATTATGATGCATGTTTGTTTGCAGATTTGTCCTCAAGAGAAATAGTGATATAGATACTAAAAATTACTGTTATGGTTTTAAGATTTATTTCAATTGGCGCAAATAATAATAATAGATAATAATTGCGTAGTTTCCTAAAAATATGTAATTAAATAATTATATTTATTTTATATTTTATCATTTATTTTAAGTCGTTTTATTATACCATTGTGCGATTTCAATTAATTATATAAAAGTGTAATAGTAAATTATTACGGCATTCAGTGTTTGCGTGTGAAATGACACTTTATTTGATCTAAAGTTAAAAATATCGTATTAAGTGGAATAAATTTAAAATAAATTCATCAAATTTCCAACTCTTGACATTAGCAGACACTTTCAAAGAATTATAATAAAACTTTATTTATAAAGGAAGACTGGTAAATTAGGTAAAGAAAATTTTAATCTTCAACCGGCTCAAATTATGGTCCTGGATTTAATGAACTAGAATGGATTTTAGAAGGCACAGAAATATCTGTTAGAATAAATTTTCAATAGTGTAATTAAAAATAATAATTCTCTAAACCAGTAATTATATTATATAATTAGTTAACACAACTCCTATTATAAAAGTCAGACTTTAATAGAGCCGTGTTTAATTACTGTGTAAATATTGGTAACTATGGCAGCCTTTAATTATAAATAATCCACACACACATAGACACTCACATTGCCACAGGGTTCGCAAGAGACGGTTTTATCTTGTGGTTAGGTTGAAAGAGACGAAAACTTTTTATTAATAATTTTTGCTTTGCACTGCGCTAATATAGACAACTGCGATGCTGGAAGGCGTTTCATTTCCCGATAGGGAATAGGCTGACAAGGATGTAGTTCGTTAGGGATGAAATGTGGTGGCACAGTTAGTCAACATGGTGTTTAGTTTAGTTTGATTCTAAATTTAAATAAATCTGGCTGCTTTATAAATGATATAAGCTGGGATACATAAAAATTAAGGGCGAAACAAGGTATTATCGAAAATACAGATTATAAATCTAGTTTTCTATACTAAATGTTATTGTTAGCTTTTCGATTATTGGGGGGGTTTTTTTCTCGATCTACTACCCTAGCATTGTGTCTGACTTTTTCCATCTCTTATATTTTACTGTATATACATAAATTAATATCATACTCATTCGTGTTACGCAATCACAGTTTATTGGGGTTAAGTGGGGTTTAATTAAAAGAACTAATTCTACAACCATTCTGGACATCATATAATGTACTCATACTGTCTCCAATACATATAACATAAAAAAAAATACTACAGGTAGTAAAATCGACGAATTTAAAACTAGTGGAGAATTCTGTGAGCATGCATGACAATATACAAAGTGTTGCTATTCTATTACAAACGGTACGATTTAAAGTATTTGTCGCTAGAAAATTTGTCAAACTAAAGTCAGTTTATTTTTTCAGGCACATTAAGTTGGCGCGATCAACATTTCTCGTTGGACAACGACAAAATACTGTTGCGTGGCTGCGTGTTGCGTAACACGTCGTGGTGCTACGGTGTTGTTGTTTTCGCTGGTAAAGATACTAAGCTGATGCAGAACTCTGGGAAGACCAAATTTAAACGCACCAGCATAGATAGGCTACTTAATTTTCTTATTATAGGGGTAAGTGCAATTTTATATCGCGTTTTTTAATTAGACGTTAAACAATTAAATAAATCAGCGGCGCAACAACCTTTTTAGGTCTAGGCCTCACATTTCTGTATCTGTTTCATGATCATTTGTCAATCTAATAGGCAAGTAGGTGATTAGCCTCTGTCTGTCTGACACACGCCGTTGACTTTTTGGATCGAAGGCAAGCCGGTTTCCTCACGATGTTTTCCTTCGCCATTCGAGCGAATGTTAAAAGCGCACATAGAAAGAAAGTTCATTGGTGCACTGCCGGGGATCGAACCTACGACCTCAGGGATTAGAGTCGCACGCTGAAGTCACTAGCCCATGTACTCTAGCTAATACTTCATAAACAGTAGTAGTAGTCCATTAAGTGTTACGGTAAATCATTCATTTAATCAACAACTCTGAGTCTCTAAAGCCCATCGGTCTGGTTCACAAACGTATATGGACCTAAGTTTATGTTAGATGAGCCGTTTATTATTTTCAAAGTGATACGAAAGCGATTAGGATGTAACAATGTAAAGCTATTTGACAAGTTTATGATGAAGAAGCTTCTATTGGATGGTTTATTAGTCTAAAAAGAGGCAAATTTATTTCTAGTCGATACAAAATGCACGTTTAATGCACTTATCTAAGTGATAATACGTTTAATATACGCGCCAGCTGCTCAATGTATTGTAAAATATATAGATTATTCGATAGAAACCTTGATAATGAAGTCGCAGATTATGCAAATGTAAATAAAATTATTTCCACATTTGTTTTTGCCTTAAGTTCTATGAAATGGTTGTTTGTTTTAATAAATAAATCGATCTAACGGGAAATTGGTGTGATGAGGTTTTTTTGACATCGAATAAAACAAATGCTAGTGCGAAAAAGGAAATGTCCAGTTTTCGTAATATGTACTTACATAATGGTTAAATAAAAAGCAGTTTTTTTTAGCTTAGCTCTTAAGTTATAGCAATGTTTTATTGAGTGATTTTTAAACATTTTATACCTAGAATGTTACCTTGCGAGGATTGTGAATGTAAAACAATAGACAATGTTTCGTTTAAATGTGATTGGTCAAACGAGTCCTCTCGTGTCTATGGACTTATTGACAGACAAACGAAACGCGCTATATTTTGTTATACTGCTTATTACAGCACCTTGACTTATGTACATTATGTCCCACCAGATAGTTTTGTTCCTGTTGTCAATGTGCGTTTTCTGCACGGTGGCATGTGGGATTTGGGAGTGGTTGGTGGGACGCTACTTCCAGGCGTACCTCCCGTGGGATACGCTCGTACCAGCCGAGCCAGCCTCCGGCGCAGCCGTTATAGCGATATTAGTTTTCTTCTCGTATGCCATTGTAATGAATACCGTGGTGCCCATATCGCTTTATGTCTCTGTTGAGGTATGTGGAATTATTAATATATATTTTTTTTACTAGGTAAAAATAAATACATATATAATAAATATATAATAAGGAGCAAACGGATAGGAGACTCCTATGCTAAGCGACATTGCCATCTTGTTTTTCTAATTATTAAAATTAAAACTAAATTTGTCTTAACATGTCGCCTTGGCATCTTTACGATTATATAAAACAATAATAAATACGCAATAAATATCGACGCCTCAAATGGTAATTGTAAAGTATAGTTAATAAAAACAAGAGGAAATTATTCTTTAATGATGTTATTTATACGGATGTGAGAGCTGGTCTTATTTTAATAACTGACCTTGGTAAATAAATTGCCAATAAAGTAGAACGTCTGTAAGACCTTGATTCATACGAAAATGTTAGAGCTAGTTTTAGACTCGTGATAATTTGCTGTATTTTAAAATTTTAGAATATTAGTCCGGGATCAGCGAGGAATAATTATTTTGGCATAGAAAAGCTAAAAGGTTAAATAATGTTAGAAGCAATGTGGGGCAATATACAGATTTAGTTCTTTCCAAATGTTTATATTTGTATGGTTGAAGCTGTTAGGTCCTATTCTAATACGCATCTCAAAATATAATATGGGAATTGAAATACTTGATAGTAAAAGGGCCCACGCCCCACCATTTAATTGTTAAGGGGGGCTATTCAAAAATTTATTAAAATTATTTGAAATTTGTATTTCAGTTTTTATTATGTTTAGAAATTTTACTTACTGTGTTTCATTAACAATTTCCTGGTAATTTCTTCCAAAAACCTATGATTTAAGAACTTGAACAATTAATTTTTTTAATATTAAAAATTATGTATGTTACATAAGAGTTTTAGAAATTTAAGATGGGGCATGGGACAGAAAAGGTTGGGAAACGCTGGCTTAGACAGTTATTTGAATTAGCTTTGAGTATATCGTTTTAGATTTTTATTACGAAAACGCTATTGTATGTCTGAAGATATTTCAATAATTATATATTCATGAGTTATCGTCGGTTAATGAGAATTTCACATTGAACGTAAAATAGGTCGCTTATAATTAAAAAAGCATTAAAAGTCTAAATACTTTAAAATAAACCTGTGTCATGGTTCCCAACTCTACCGTAACAAAGTTACTGTTACTAATATATATGATACAATATTATCGACATATTCTACAACCTCAAAACGGTATATTTAACTTAAGTTTAGTAATTTTTATGTAATATGGTTTTCAGGTGATAAGATTTGCGCAAAGTTTTCTAATTAATTGGGATGAGAAGATGTATTATGAAAAGACTGGGACTGCGGCGAAGGCGCGGACCACTACATTAAATGAAGAACTGGGTAAGCGAGCCTACAAAAAAAAACATTTTCATGGTTAAAAGTTGTAGAATTTTGACCTGCGGTGATAATAGTTAAACATTCGATGCATTTAATAAAAAACCTCGCAATTAACGATTCCATATTACTTTTTAAAATTTATTTATGGCAAAAACTAACTTTTGTAAGAAAACTGTTTTAACTGAAAATAACTATAATCTTATGTATGTTTGAGTTTTAATACAAAGTATATTTTATTAGTAATATTTAGTTTACCAAAGTAATTAATTCCCTCACAGGAATGATTAATTGTGATTCGTTGTTCGGGGAACTGTGTTAAAGTAACGTAAGCTTTTGCGAAAATTGGGCCAAAGACTAATCCATTAAAGTTAATTAATTGTAAGTTTTACTACAATGACATTCTTATGGTTGGGGGGATTGGATAATATTAATTGTGTAACAACTCGTAAAAGAGGGGTGGAGTTGTGACTTTTAAAACCGATGATTTTGACATTTTAGATTTGACATTAACATTTTTGCTTAAGAACTTCCTTATTCGTAAAAAAAATCTATTGTACTAATTTGTCTCTTTCTCTCGAGCCCAAATTATACTATGATGAAAAAAGACAGCAAGCTTATATAGCTTACCTGCTAAGTTCATTTATTTTGTACCATGAAACCTAGCTGATCTGCAACTAACGACATACCCCAGTTGTCTCTTGTGTATAAGACGGGTGTAATATGTGATACCGTTCTGAAATTATAATTTTTAATTCATTCAGGCAGCGATATTTTTAGAAGTTATGCCTGATCGACTTCACTCACGTGATTGGCTTTTAATATTCAGTTCAATTATGGGCTTTTGTTAAAATGGTGTATGTAAGAGTGATAAAGTTTTTATGAAAATGCCTCCTAATGTTTGTTCTTATTAGCAGTATTTTTTGAAGCCGACAACTCTTTTGTTCCAATACAATCGCCATTTGTATAATGTAAAAATGTATTACTATAATTTGTAACGATTACAACAGGAAAATAGCTCTCGCTCAGACTAATATTGTGGTAAGCCATAAACGATAATATCATTCGTATGATAATATTACAATTTTAATGGAAATGAAAAATCTAAATTAGATTTTAGACTGAAGGTTTCTATAATTTTATCAAAATTTTGAATTGTGCGTTCAAAGCTTCAATATACATATCACGTACATACACGTACTCGTACATATATGATTAGGTTTTAAATAATTTAATAACGTTTCAAGCCTAATTAAGCTTATTCTAAATGATTTTCAGGTCAAATCCAATACATATTTTCGGATAAGACGGGTACGCTGACACAGAACATAATGACGTTCAATAAATGTTCCATAGCGGGTATTTGTTACGGCGACATTGTGGATGAGACCACGGGTGAAACCATCGAACTGACCGATGTATGTATTTATATTTTTATTTATTTAACTGCTGCAAACATGATATGTTGCTAAGATTTAGAGGAAATGTGAATTACATTTCTTATTAAATATGTCATAAGTCATAATTAAGGATTGTCTAGTCTTTTCTAAATTGTTATAATTTAAATCTGTATCCTAAAGAATCGTATTATCGTGTTTGCAGCATTTTTTTAATTGACGATTTCCATAAATTCACTACATAAGCATGTAGAGAAACGAAGCACCTTAGTTTGTTTACGAGCAAATTCGGCACGATTTTATCTTTATTTGCATGTTCGAGTCACTAGTGATTGAAAATTGAGTGATTTTGAAATAGTATTGTGCATAGGTATTAGTGTGTATAACGTTACTTTGTGAAGATTTAGATTTATAGGATTTTTTGTAACACCCTGTTGATTGTACTATAATGTGTGATTTGTTCATTCCTCATTTGACAGGACCAGCATGGTTTTTTGCAAACTCTATGATACATCGATTTACTCTCACTGCACACACGTATACATATGAATCGCAATTTTAAGTTACACGACATTTAGAATTTTTATTCCTATTCACATATGTATTTCTATTTTTTGTATATTTTGTTAAAATAATGTAAGATACAGATAATACAATTTTTCTAAGCATCGTTATGAACACGAAATAGTTTATAGAGTTATTGTGTCGCTCATGGATATTCGAAATAATCACGGGCGATGCTCGGATTAATGATGGCTTCGTAGCCCCTATTAAATCGAGAGGATTTGGAAGTTCGGGCGTGTGTAATGTTGGTGTGGTTTAGCGTCGCAGCGGGGCGGGTGGCGCGGCCTTGGGAACAGTGCGCGCTCGTCTCTTGGACCTTGAAGTCGAGGAGGGCCGCAGTACGCCCGCTGCGAGCACGCCCGCACATCGCAACGCGCACGTACGCACTTAGTATATGCACCTTCAGGCAGGCTTTGTTGCTTTCGATTTACACAACGTGTAATCTTTGGTATTGCTACAATAGTTTGAGCTAATAGCGTTCTTATTAATTGGCTTTAAGGTCTACTTTGCAAAGCAGTATTAGAATGGTATATTAATAAAAAGTACGTATTCGTGTGAATATAAAACGTTACGTTGTGGAAATCGAAAGCAGTATAGACGGTTAAATGTATAAGGCAGTAGGTTAGAACTAATGATGTAACCAAACAGCTTTTATTACAGGGTTCTTTTTTTACTTAAGATAACACTTGAACATTTCTTTACAAAATGTAGACTTAGGCACTTCTTTCTATGAGAACAATGAACACTAACATTATTTAATACAATAACACCAATTTTATACATATATCATGCTCATTACCGTGTGGCTTTGTATATTGTGTTTTATTGTGCGCATGCTTTGCTTATCGTTGAATAGAATTATCCTTTATGACGGGTTTATTTCTCTATTGTGTTTATTTTACTTTCTATTATGTTACTGCACAAATTTTTTACTGCTTCGATTTCATGTTATAAAGCTTCCACGTTCCTTCCTAGTTTCTACTTGTGCATGAAGTATTTGTTTACATGTTTCTTGTTTACGAATTTAGATGTATTGATTTGAAATTAGCGTTCCAGTTTTGTTTATGTATATACAAGAAGCATGTAACTAATTTGTATATTATATAAAATGAGAATATTTCCACAGAGCACAGAACCCTTAGACTTCTCGGACAATCCGGAGTACGAGCCGGAGTTCAAATTCTTCGACTCGAAACTATTGAAAGCCGTAAAGCAGGGCGATAGCAATGTTTATGATTTTTTTCGTCTCCTTGCGTTATGTCACACCGTAATGCCGGAACAAAAGAATGGACGTCTCGAATACCAAGTATGATATTTCTGTATATTTTTAAAAAAATACAAAATATATTTAGTCATTAGTCATAAATTGTTGATTTTTAGTCAATATTTTGCAGGCCGTTTAATACTTGTCAACCACGCTTTTTTTCTTAACTTTTCATTTTGCGAAATAACATTTTCCAGCAATTTCCCTTAAAACCCGTTCCTTTTCTAGGCGCAGTCACCGGACGAATCCGCATTGGTTTCAGCTGCGAGGAACTTCGGCTTTGTGTTCAGAGAACGATCGCCTAATACTATTACTATAGAAGTTATGGGTAAAACAGAGGTGAGAAAAAGGAATTTGTATATATATAGCAAAAAAACTATACTATAGTAAAAACTTTATTTCTCCTTTCTGTATCATCTGTATCCGGTGACAGATAGAAGAAATACGTTTGTACGTATGTACGTATACATATTTCTTGTTATTTAAAAAAAAACATAGTTATTTACACCTTATTTCGGACATGGGAATCGTTCTACGGTGTAATATCCGTTATACTAGCACGTTATAATGGCTATAAATATAATTAAATATAACTTAATAAAGGCTAAAGTAGGTATTTTCTAAAAATTTGATGAAATATTGTTTTTTATTGTTTCAGGTGTACGAGTTGTTGTGTATATTAGATTTTAATAATGTAAGGAAGAGAATGTCAGTGATATTGAAAAAAGATGGTGAAATTAGGTTATATACTAAAGGTGCTGATAATGTAATCTATGAGAGGTTAAAACATAATTGCCTGGAAGAAGTCAAGGCTAAAACACAAGAGCATTTAAATGTAAGTATTGAGTTTTTTTCTTCAAAATAAGTTAGTTTAGGTTTACATTTAAAAAAAGGAATTGTCAAATCACATAAATTTGTCTTTTTTGTATATGCATTGCGCTTAGCTGTAGGGTTTTATTCGATTCTCAGGAAACAATAAATGTTTTAATATATTCAACACAAATTTATTGTAATTTACAGTAAATTTTCTCAATTTTTTAGTCATTTTCCACAATATTCCCGTTTTTATTTTTATCGATATACTGTCAATTACCGACGCATAGATTTTCCATGACATACATCTGGAAAATTATGAATGATCATGAATCAGATACAGATAATCTGAGGGTTGTATCGCCATTAGTTTTTAATCTACGTATACGTACAGAAATTTGCGGGCGAAGGTCTCCGTACACTCGCACTCGCGTGGCGGCCTCTCGAAGAGCGGGGCTTCGCGGAGTGGAAGAGACGGCATCAGGCCGCCGCCTTGGCCTTGAGGGACCGGGATGAACGCCTTGACGCCATTTATGAGGAGATCGAGACTGATTTGATGCTTATGGGTAAGCAATCAGTAATTAAAGTATTAAAACTTCTATCTTAGCTTAAGTATACAGCGTAGTATAGTTAACGGATAGGCCGGGAGATAGTGACACAAAATAGTGGATCATTTGTACCAGTATGGCGGTTCTTCAGGGGTCTTATTACGCAATGAAAAAAAAATGATGGTCATAGCGCTAGTATCGGCGGCCCAATCGCGTGTGTATTAGTCGAACTCGTCGGATTAATTACGAAAGTCAAACGATTTGTTCCACAAAAATTCTAGTATTTAGTATTGTCTTTTATTGACATAACTTTTATACATAGTATTTTCCGATAGTCCATAAAAAAATAAGAGGCGGCAGTGTCATGCCATACGTCTCCGGTGTGACTTACAGCCCGCCATACCGACGCGAATGCGTTAATTAACGCATGAGGTAGGTACCAGCGCTCTGACCATCATTTTTCTTTTTTAAGTAATAAGACCCCTGAAGAACCGCTATACTGGTACTAATGACCCACTATTTTGTGTCACTATCTCCCGGCCTAGAAGGCTTAAGGAATAACAAACGAATGTTGTTCATAACTTACAATGGTATGATAAAAGAAAACTAATTTTCAGGCGTCACAGCTATAGAAGACAAATTACAAGATGGCGTGCCAGAGACAATAGCAAACTTGAGCATGGCTGGAATGAAATTATGGGTGTTAACGGGTGACAAACAAGGTATTAAATTAATTTAAAATGTATGTCAATTGTAGATAAAATGATTTTTTAATACAGTTGCTCAAAAAGTGGCGTATTGCAGGGACGTATAGCGTTCGGGATGTGAGCTATTACACACTCGTGCTTTTTTTTTACCTTTTCCGAACTAGTGCGTTTTCTTTCCCAACTGTCAAAATAATGTCTATTAAAAAGAAAAAACCAACCACGAAGTTTTTACTAAAAAAAATTCATAGAATTTTGTATGATTCATGCAAATATTTCTAAAAAGAAGCTACTGCTTTGTTTCAATATAAGATTTAATGATTTGATTCAATGAGTTAGGTTAGATTTCATTTCATCTCCTTAAATTTCATTTCATATCAATAAAAAATTGTACTGTAGACTTGGCTTGGGCATAGTTCCCTTTGCCTACCCAGAATGGGTGAAGAAAAAAAAAATATCTGCTAATATTCTTTTACGGTTGGCGCCATTTTCCAAAAATGTTCGTTGCGCGTTTAGTTGTTTGTTATATTATATATTAAATATACATGAAAAATAATAGTGTGTCTCAAACAGTAAATAAATATGCAACCTAAAACTTCTCCAGTTAGTATAAAAAACTGTACCAATGTATATGTGAACAATAATTTGTATAAGAAATAAATGATTAGTGAGTTGAGTTTATTGTTTTTTTATTATTTTATTAAATTGCATAATTTTTTCGCAACTGTATTGTTGTTCAGTACACGTGCGGAACCGTCATTGCAACTTGTTCCGACTGTCAACCCTCACCTTCGGCTGCGCCTTGGCTCGGGTAGACATTTGTCGAAACTCTTTGCAATGACAGGCTTTCCGCACTTGTAATGAAATATACTATTGTGTGTAATAAAATTTTATATTACAGTTATTTTAGTTATTACTATTAAAAATGACATTTATTAAAATTTAAATTATATTTTTACAGAAACAGCAATAAACATCGGCTATTCGTGTCAGTTATTGACAGATGACATGGCAGAAGTGTTTGTGATTGACGGATCTTCGCACGATGACGTTGATCGACAATTGGCCAAATGCAGGGATTCGATACGAGTCGTCAACACGTTTTTGCCGCATGGTAAGTGCAATTACGCCGGGTTTTGAAATATTAAAAATAAAGTGATATTAGGAGTAATCTGTATAACACTAGAAAAAAGCGTTTTGGAGTAAAATAACTTGTAAATAACCATAATTATTTTCTACACAAAGCACTCTGCAACTATGAGGTTAAATTATCAATGTAATTAGCGTTTGTTAGTTAATTAATTTTCATGTTTTAACTTAAAAATTACAGTAAATTTATTACATTTTTGTTCAAAGAATATATTAGATTTTAAAATTATATAACTATTAGGTAAAGATTTAAAAAAAAATCTATTGCCGGAAAAGTATATTTCATTGATTTAGTTAAAATTTAACCGCCTTCTTCTTAAGCGTAATAGCGGTCATAGACAAAAGAATACTCTAGTAATATAGTGTAAATATTGTTATTTAGTTATTACTGGTGTTATTGAGTATTTACGAAAAATGCGCAATAGAATTTTAATTCTCTTATCACTCATTCTTAATGCAACTGAACAACATTAATGATTCCTTCATGTATATGTTTTATGTCTTAATATAAAATTACGTTACAGGCAGCACAGACCCAAAGAACGAAACCCTGAACGGTGGTGGCAGCGTGGCCCGTCCGTCCCCTGGTCGTGCGGCCAACGTGAAGCTGAATGCGCCAGCCGTCTCCGTCGTCACATTTAGGTGGGAAACTAACTCTCTAGCACACAGGTAGACACCCAACACGTTTAGCTCACACGCTAGTCCTTGTCGCGCACTTGTCTAGTACACCAATAGAGAAACACTAAGAATGAATAGACCTATTCTATTGTCTTTGGTTAGGTTTACATTTAATAGTCGCAATAATTTAATGTAATTCGTGTATATGCCTTAGAAGTAAATTGGCACGTACGTACGCTATACCTACGAACAAGTACGCATGCCTTTACAATGCACGTAGAAAATGTATGAAATCGAGCATTTTAAGATGGCGGGACATATATGGTTTTACATATGTTACGGTTTTCATATTGTTAATCAGAAATATCCATCTTATGGAAAGCATTTTATACTTCCCTCGCTAGTTTTTGAGTTATACAAATTATATCTAATTGGCTATACACAGGTTTACAATCAAACAATGAGCAGACATTTTAAAATCTGTTTGGTATGACGTAACTTCTCATACATATGTTAAAATGTAAAACCAAACAAGTTCAAGGTTGAAATTATGTGAATTTCTTCAGCATCAGTAGCATCAAGTTATTGTGTAACGTTGATTCGTAAAGATTTTTTTTCAACCTTTGCACCTTGATTTTTATTATATTAACAAATCAATTTATTTTTTACGATCACAATTTAATAACATAGAATAAAGAGTTATATTAAAACGTTAATGCTGCTTGGTGTGCTTTTTGTGTTTTGCTAATTTAAATTTGTTCTTGTGAAGTATATTTTCAATAAACATAACACAACACCGTCACAACTTATTATCTCCTATACTTCTCAGTTTAATTCAGACATTTGTATACAAATAGATTGTAAAAATTTGTGAGTCAAGACTTAAGTCTGTATTGCAAATTGTACCTGAGGTCACAATTTCGTCTTGAGCACCGTCTATTATTAAGTTTATGTCAAAAAAAGGGCTAGGCAGACCTTAAAACTAGATTTAAGTTTGTATCTAGGATACTTGCGAACTGGTAGTTAATGTAAATTTACAATTAATTTAACTTGACAATTAATTTAATTTCACAATTCCTTTATAATAAACTTACAATTTTGAAAAATATACTAAAAGTGTTTAAAGAATAGTTTGCACAAAATACACGTCTGAACAATTGCGTTGCGTTGATTTTATTTCCGATTAATTGCGTTGATTTTATTTTATTTTCTTAAAAGTCGAACTTAAATCTACGTAATAAGTAATATACATCGGGTATTAGCAAATAAAAAAAAATATTAATTTAAAAATGAAATGACACTTATTTCAGCAACGAGTACGCGTCCGGAGGCGGTCCGTACAGTGCGGATACGCACGAGCACAATAATGATGACTCAAATGGATTCGCGATCGTTATCAACGGACATTCCCTCGTACACTGTTTACATCCCAAGTTGGAAGAGAAGTATGTATTGATATTGATTTTAAGTTTTAATTTTAAAATATTAAAGCTTCTAGATAGTGGAAGGAATATTATATATTTTCATTGTTTTATTATAAAGATTATTTGCTTTTATTTAAAAAAAAATATTTTAAATTTTACGAGATGTGCAGTTGATTAGTTTTGTATATTTTTATTCACCACAATAACCAAATGACTCATAATATTCCCATAAAATTTGGAAAGTAGTAGTGAGCTTTGAATATTCGGGTCATAGTGCTTTAGATTAGACATAAAAAAGTAGTTTAATTTCATTGTTTTAACAAAAGTAGTGTTTCTATTGTTATTACAGCATTTACATAATTTGACAGAAGGAGACGAGTATCTTAATATATATATTTCTTCTGTGCGTGTGTATGTGACTGAACTCCTCTCAAACGACTGGACCGATTTTGATGAAATTTTTTGTGTGTGTTCAAGGGGATCTGGGAATGGTTTAGATTCGCAAATCAGCCCGGCAGATGGCATTGCAGTCGGTACTTTCATACTTTGCTTAATATCCTAATCGCTTTAAATATCATGCAGGACAACGTCTGTGGGGTCCACTAGTTATTTAATAATATTCAATTATTTATGATTAATTAGCTGCCCCTGCGAACTTCGTTTCGCCTCAATATGATATTTTATAGAACATTTTACAATGCTACCCCATAGGGATTTTCGTGCAATTTTTTTCTCTACAAAAACCTCCCTCAGAGTTCAAGGAATACTCGAATAAAAAAAGAGGTTTCAGTAGATTGGTCCAGACGTCTTCGAGTTTTGAGCTTAGCAACATATTTATTTATAAAGTTAAAATCTAATAATTTTTAAATTATTAATTTATTGAAATATCTCCCAAGGTTTCTGGACGTAGTCCTTCAATGTCGGTCGGTGATCTGTTGCCGAGTGACGCCTCTGCAGAAGGCAATGGTCGTGGAACTTATCAAGAAGAGCAGAAAAGCTGTCACGTTGGCCATAGGTGACGGCGCAAATGATGTCTCCATGATCAAGGGGTATGTATACCTTACAATGAGTACATAGTGGCAATTAGTATGTAGGTCTTCTGTTGGTACCCTGAATTTATTATTCTTTCGCGCAGAATCGATCCCTGAACCTCAAGGATCTTTCTTGGCTACGGTGAAAGTTAAAGTTATTTTAATAAAAAAAGTGTTTAGTGGTTTTGTTTCACTGAAAATTGTTAAATTGGCTATACTAATACTGTCTAAGTAAATTTATTAGTTATTACGTGTCTATAGCATGTCTGTGTGTGTAACACACACAATTAAGAATATATGATAAATAATTTTTGAATTATAATAAATTTTCAGCGGCCCACATAGGCGTAGGCATATCGGGGCAGGAAGGAATGCAAGCAGTGCTAGCGTCAGACTACTCCATAGCGCAGTTCCGTTTCCTCCAACGGCTGTTGTTGGTCCACGGAAGATGGTCTTATTACAGAATGTGCAAGTTTCTACGGTATTTCTTCTACAAAAACTTCGCGTTTACCGTCTGCCATTTTTGGTTCGCGTTCTTTTGTGGATTCAGTGCACAGGTGAGTTTTTAAAAGCCTCTAACTGGGACATAATATTTTAGATTTAGGTAATTGTGATATAATACTATCACATATACTTACTGTGTATATGTGATACTTGTCAGTTTTTATTTATTTACAAGTGTCTGTTTAACCTAGTGTTTCCCAACATTTTTTGTGCCATACCTTAACCTTACTAAAATTCTTAGCCCCTTAACAATCAACTATTTTTATGTTCGTGTTAATTCTGTACTGATAGGTATTAATGTTATAATAATGGGCTGTGGAATACTAATAATGAAAATAATTTCAGACGGTGTTCGACGAAATGTTCATATCGGTATACAATTTGTTCTACACGTCACTTCCGGTGTTAGCGTTGGGCGTGTTCGAGCAGGACGTGTCTGACGTGACCTCTCTTCAATTCCCGAAGCTGTACGCTCCGGGTCACACGAGCGAACTGTTCAACAAGACCGAGTTTATCAAATCCACTTTGCATGGCTGCTTCACGTCGCTAGTGTTGTTTCTTATACCGTATGGTGAGTCTGTAGTATTTGTGAATAGGTCATTAATTCAATAATTCAATTGATTTAGTAGTACAAGTACTTAGGGAAATTTGTAAGGGAATATTATTACAAAAATCTTATCTAATTAGATAACGCTTTTGTTTGGAACGGACTCCGAAAATTATTTTAAACGAAAAATTTGTTCTGGATCAGATCGTGTTTCCTGTGTTGTGGGTACTCGACAATATATGTTTGTTTTAAGATTTATTCAAAATAATATATTTGAAAATGTTGAGCGTGTAGCTAGGTTATATCCTAGGTTACGATTATTTATAACATTTTATATATTTAGTATCTATTTATTTATTAAGTACACAACATCATATATAATACATTTTCTACGGTTACATATAAATATGTATATAACAATTACGGTGAACATAAAATTGAATAAAAATCACTTCCAAAAAAGAGAAAAAACTAAATTACTTATTTCAGTTTTTGCTGACATACCTATTTAAAATACTCATTGGCCTATTGGGGATTAGATATCAACGCTTTTTTTTTATTTACCAGTCCAGTACCGAATATATCAATATTAGTACTGATAATACTGCCTTGTGAGTTGCTGGTTATGTGGTTTTGATTATTCATCATAATACACAGATTACATATAATGAAACAACTCTCAGATAGTAGGTTCGTTCGCCGGCTAGGCACCAAAAACTTTGTCTATGTGCGCATTTAACACCCGTCCGGCTCGTACGATGAAGGAAAATACCGTGAGGGCAGAGCATGCCTTAGACCCACAAATCGTCGTCGTGTGTCAGGCACATGAGTCTGATAACCGTGCTTTTTATAATTATGTTTTAATTTGGATTTTACATTCATTTAACAATAAGCAGCTGTTTACCGGGTCTTAATTAGAAGTATTATGTTCTACAACTTAAAATTTTTTTCAGGTACTTACAAAGACGGATTGGCTCCAGATGGCAAAATACTCTCAGATCATATGCTCTTGGGAAGTGTCGTAGCCACCATATTAATTATTGACAATACTACACAAGTAAGTTTCTTCAAACTTTATTGATGATTATTTGTTATTTGAATTCAGGTCGTCCCAGCTACAAAAAATTATATAAAGCAAAATATTATTTATTTTTAAGTTCTAATAAAAATACAAGAAAATATGATATTATAAATTTTATACACATACACATCATAGAGAGAGAGAAAACACAAAATAAACAAACAAATATTTGCAAAACGGCAAAGACTAACTTAGAACAGTTGTATCATAATCGCTCTAAGCTCTTGACTTGCGAACTGGTAGTAAATGTAAATTTAGAATCAATTTAACATCTTTTCTGTTGACTTTCATAAGTGTACTTGGTTACCTATATGAATTAAGTATTGAGTTTGAACTTTACAAAAGATTACTTGAGTAAGAGATGACCAAGGCAAGTCCTGGCTCCTCTTATATCCTTTCTCAGTAGTTGATTTACTACTACTAATACAGATTCATTAGTATTTATTATATATTTTTTTGTTTTTCAGATAGCTTTAGACACGACGTATTGGACGATGTTCAACCACGTGACGATTTGGGGGTCACTGGTGTCCTATTTTGTCCTCGACTACTTTTACAACTACGTGATAAGAGGGCCTTACGTAGGGTCTCTCACGGTGGCTCTCACTCAGGCCACTTTCTGGTTCACGGCTGTACTTACTGTAAGCATGATGGACCTTAAATGAATAGCTCCTTCCTATTAATATTTGGTCATTGTGGTTGTTATAAAATGATAATAAATATCTTTAAAGATGTTCTCAATCACAAATGTAGTAATAATTGTAATATTTCTAATTGGTTAGGTTAATGTGCAGTATTCCAGTAATTAAAAGAAAATATTAAGCTCGTATACTTCTTCGCAGATGATGATCCTGATGGTGCCGGTGGTGTCGTGGCGCCTGGCGTGGTCCCGCCGCCGGCCCACTCTGGCCGAGCGCCTCCGAGCCAGGACCCGCTGGCGCCGCTCGGCCGCCGCCCCCGCGCCCCGCACTCCCTCCGCCCGCCGCGCTCGCCGCTCCGTCCGCTCGGGCTACGCCTTCGCCCACCAGGAGGGCTTCGGCCGGCTCATCACCTCCGGCAAGATAATGCGCCGCATCCCCCACGCCGACGCGGCCCTCTCGGCGCTGGCCTCTCTCCCGGGCAAGTTCCACGCCCGGCCTCCGAGTCCGGCCCCCTCGCCCTCCTCGCCCGACTCGCCCCCGACGCCACCCTCACCCCGTGCGCCCAAGCAGGACCTGGACTCGGTGGACTTATGAGAGGCCCCGGCTGGCCTTCGATCTCCCCTCCGTAGCCGTCGCGAGCGATGTTTGTAAATAGACCGAGTTACAAACCGTCATTTTTTTAATAGACGGCATAATGTCGTCGAAACTCGTATTGTGATAATGTTAATAGTTAATGCGTATATTATTGCCTATAAATTATATTTGTTGATCGAGAGTATATATTGATAGATATTTATCGTACGTACTAAGATTACTCTTTTATATCGAAAGGTAGTTCTCCCGTTTCCTCGACCGTAGTTCCGTCGACCGTCGACGTCGAATAAATTCGAATTCTAATTTTGTCCATAAGTTATTGTTTTTTCTTATGATTAGGCCCACTCGCAAAGTCCATCGGTTAGGTTTTTAGTTGATCACTCCACTGAGCTTGAATGTTTTGTATGCTTTTAATTATGATTATTGTCGTCTGTGTCTGGATCTTAGTAAAATGTGCATTTAAAATATCGTCAATGTAGTGTGTAGTTAAGGTAGGAACACATGAAGAGCGGTTGCGATGTGTGTGCGTATAGTTTTGTTGTGCTATGAGAAAACTATTGAAATAGAACGTCAGTATTTCAAACATAATTTAAATGATGTGATATTGACATTTTTTATTGCATTTTTGCGTCTTTGTTATGAACATTCAAGGTCATGTGTCATTTTAACTACACGCATATATGATCGATATTTGCTTTGGTATCAATCTTTTTAATAAAAGTTACTCTCCTAAGATGTATTTTTATTTTTCATTATTATTTTACATCAATCCATTTTTTTACATTGGAATACTCAGCCACTTTTCAATTGTACAAGGTTTATATTTATAACCTACTTAAACCGTTAGTTTTCTGTAACTCCCTATGATAGTGATGAATATCGACCAAATCGAATTTTATCTTATATTTGATTTTTTTAAACCTCGCTTAACTCATGTTAAGTGATACCCGCCGCCCGGGGACACATTCAATGCCAGAGGGCTCGCAAGTGCGTTGCTGGCCTTTTAAGAATTGGTACGAGTAAAGACAGGTAAAAGGAAAGATTCTTGAAGGACAGTCGAATTGGTACGGAAATAGTTACTTCAGTGGAGCTGCTTCCACGTAGTGGTGGTGCACGGCAGAAACTGCCTTAAACGTTCAATTGTGGAACGGCGGACGTCGAGGCGATACGGGTGGAATTTTGTATTCTGCCTCGACGTCCGATGATGAAACTCAGCTGCAGGTATTAATTGGCGCAACTCCTCTTGAACACTCTCCATGGTAAACGCGGCAGAAGATGCAGAGAACCCCACTTCTGTCCGCAACGCCAAGGGATAGGATAGGGATAGCCGCTCGGAAAGGGGTTGGTCGTCGACGATTCGTGATATACCTATCACGATCAGTGCTATGGCTTATTAAAAGAACTGTGGGAAAGCTTAATATTTGATTCAAAATCGGTATAGCCGTCAGGAGGACCGTCGCCGCGCAAATTAAAGAATGTTGTGTATTGGCGAAGTCATGCTTGGTATTGCTGGAACCTAGACTAAATTACCAACTTTTTTTGGAAATTTTTGATGTTACTAATGATGAGCTGATCATATACAATTTTATATTTTATTTCGTATTGCCTATATTAATAATATAATATTATTATAATATAGTCATACTTGCCAAAAAATACAGTTTCCAAGTACAATTCAGATAAAAGAATATTGACTATCAATTGATGAACTCACAAAAGTATAAGGTAAGTAAGTATAAGAAATTTGGAAAAAAGTAGAAATCATTTGGAACAGGGTCCAGTGATTACGGTAAGTGATGACTTTTTATCATTCCGATTTCACGCAAGTGCTTTAATGTTGTTTGGACACTTAGTGTCAACTTAGTCTAACTAAAGCCGTAGGTAGTAATGCTCAGCCGTAGATTGAGTTGGATTTAATTTATCGGTGTCAACAATATTTACCGGTCAACCGCGAGGTTCATTCTTCAATTCAAACTGACCCAATAATGGACCGTGTTTATGCAAGCTAAGTTAGGCCTGTACGCGTCGTTAATGTTTCGTGTTCGAAAAGAAGCGTTTTCCACAACATTCAATTACGCAAAAGCATTTGTGTATGTAGAAAACTTTTCGGTAGCGATACGGCTAGACCCCTGAATTATTGTCAATCCACTTGCTAATTGACATATTGACGTTAACTGGACTACCATTTACACAAATTATCATAAAGTATAAACCAGACAAAATAAATTCTATGATCTATGTAGTTTGTGGACAATATTATTGAAAACGAGAACTAACCTCTAAAGCAGGAATATCAATTATCAATACGCTAACTACAAGTATTTTAATGTGAGGGATTAAATTTCTTTAGTTAATAATATTTTTTTTAATAGGTTATAATTATTGAGTGTATGAAAAAAACACTAAACACTTACAATATTTAACAGTGAATTGAGAAGAAGTCGATTTTGCTGCCAAAATGACTGATTATTATAGAATTGTGCCGTGGTTTAGTACTAAAGAGTGGCTAAAAGTTTATAATAGTTTGTACTGTACAACGTCCGATAATGATTATCCCAATGCCTTAAAATGGTTATTGATTTGGAAAGCAAGATGCCCTTCTTTGCCATCTGGAATAGAATCCACACTTTCCTTATTGGATGTATATGTTCAAGATACGAATGCAGTGGACAAAACAGACGACCAATTAATACGTTTAGCTTATTCATCTGCAATAATGAGATTTGTTAACCACATGTTTGACTCAGATGCTGCTAAAGGAAAAAGTTTATATCGTATAGCTGAAACTAGAGGAGTTCCAGATTGGATAGTAGATTTAAGACATGAGACTGCACACAGTAATAATTTGCCTTCCCTTGAGTTATTAAGAGAAGCCACCTCAATCTGTTTGCAATGGCTTCATGATAATTATTGGCTTTTACACAAAGAAATATTAAAGGATTATGTTGTAAATAAAAATGAACTGTTGACAACTGTCTCAGAAGAAAATATTTCATCATTAATTAGTGTGTGGACGATGTTAAGCTTTTTACTACATACTAACTCTGAAGTTAAGAGTCTTGCAAATATTCCTCTAGATTTGCAAAAGTCATTATTTAATGATATTCAGGATTTATTTGGAAGTGCAATAAATCTGTCTAACCTGAAAATGCCTGTGCGAACTCTCATTTCACAATTAGACACATTTTCTGGAAAGATGATAAATAACATAAATAAGGATCACTTAATAAGACTCCTTGTAGATGAAGAATCATTGGTTCTATCAACTAAAGTATACAAAGCTATGAGCACTAAAAAGAAAGGGCTTGATGCTGTCTATGTGAAATGTTTTGAAGTCTTCTTACAATTCTTAACATCTCATGATTTATTAGAAGAATTCACTTTAGAAGTTATAAGGATTACTGAAAGATTTAAAACAAACAGGGCACAATCTAAACTTGCTGCAAAATGGGTTTCACAGATATTAAAGGCTCTGAGGAATACACAAATGTTTTTAGAACAGGCTGCCAAGTAAGATAAAGCCCTTAATATATTTATTTTAAAAAGGCACATACTTTAAACAAGTAACTTCCAACAGTAATCAGATTAGTTTTTCATAAATTGTAAAATATAACTCTTGATGTTGTTTTGGTTTAACTCATGATACTATTTTTTTTTTCAGAAAAAATGTGGATGTACAAAATAAAACCAAAAAGGAATTGCTGTCACTGTTTCATCACTGGTTTCCTAATGCAAAATCTTGCCCATTATTTTTAGATCTCAAGAAACCTGTCCCATTAAGTTTTACTGACATTAATATAATTCAGCCTATCATAACAAATTACAATCCCAATTTGACATTGTTTATTTCGGATCTGTTACACTTAGTAAGGCCTAAACTACCAAATCCTATTAAAAACAGGATATCTAAACTGGCTCTGTTAATAGCATCCCCTCAGGGGTTCAATGCAAAATCAGAAAAAATATATACACCAGAAGATTTTAATGTCCAATTGGAAGATATGAAATTAGATAATATAGCATCAAATAAATCTGTGGATGCCATCATACCTCATACAAGTGATCATGAAGTAGAATGTAAAGAATATAGTATTTGGAAAAAGGCATCTAGAAATCATGAATGGTCTTCATGTCCTATAGGTCTGTTACCTTGGCAAATGGAAGAAAATATGTCTAATGACATGGATATAGATCAATAAATAACTAAAATTCACAGCAATTGTTTATTTTTCAATTTTTGTAGTATGTATATAGTATGTTTTGGTTACATTTATTATAATATTGACACATAACAAGAGTCTTAAAATAACTTGGGTATCATACATAACCATAATACAAGAAGTTATTAAAATGCTAAAACATTACAGACATTTAAAAACAAAATACATGTGTGGTCTAATGATGTTTTGACAATTAAAATTTGTAAATGGCAATATCAAATTAATATCATTTAAAAAAATTATATTATTAGCTTTAGATACAGTTAGTGTATTATAATAATTTTAGGCACCAGAATGCAATAAGAATTATATTGAAACAGTTAAGTAAAATGATTTCCTAAAGAAACTACTAGCATTTACTCTACATCTATAACTGGCTAAGTAATACCTAACTACATATTTACAGTTTATCTACACACTTCTAAAGTGAGAAATGATACACAAAGCTAAGGTTTTTCCTATATTGTATGGGTAGATGCATTATCATGTTATTGAAATAGTATTAAAACCTGTTTTTTTTCACCTTTAATCAGTGACTTAATTTGTCACCATTTTATAACTATTCCACAAAGACAAATATTCTAAACATTGAGAGGATATATGCAGTTCTAAAATGAAACTATTGCTAATTTGTTAAAATTTGGCTTAACAAAGCAATAAAAGATTGAATTTACCAATTTGTACATAATTGTTAACCAACATACACAATCAAATTTTTTGGCTAGGCATTTTCAATTACTATATAAGATAGAATCATCTGAAAAATTAACAATGGAAACAAACAGCACTGAAATCAGTGATTTTAAAGGCACAGAAATAATAATTACACAACCTTCATAAAATTTTATCATTTTCACCAACAATATTAAAAATTGCACTTGAAGCAACCCACCAATATGCATTTTGTAAGTTTAAAATAATCACTATCAATTAAAATTAAGAACACCTGTGAGATTCTTTTGCAAATAGTAATTACAAATAATACTAATAATAATATTGAGCTGTAACCTAATGCTACAGTAAGATTTCACAGTGATATTCGTTGTAAGTAAAAACTAGAAACTAATTATAAATGGATTATATTTGTGACTTAACAATAACATCAATAGCTTATTAATAGACAGTCTTTTAGATTATGAAATTGAATAAATTACAGCAGTCCCTATGACTTGTCTTCAGAATAGACCTTTTTTAGAATTATAAGCGGGGCATTTGCAAGTATGCTAGATAATCGAAAACTGGTCAATAAAATGCACAATTTGGCTACAAATAGCATTTTAGCATCACTACACTTTTATTAAAATAGGATATTTTACATGCAAGTACAATAACAGTGTAAGACAAACACGAAACTTGAACGATCTAATATAAGAGCACTAACATATAAATCACATTTAGACCAGATTTACATATTATTTACAAAGAGAAAATATATCATAAAATATTACATTAGTGCAAAGGATAAAACACGTCAGTATAGGAAAATAAGATTTCTTATACAAATTTTCTTGGATATATTTCTACATTCTAAATTCAGATTTTACACTAAGCCTCAAATAAGCTCTTCCCTACTTAAGTACCGAAATAGTTTTGTAATAATTTGTTTCAGATTTGTAAATGCGATGGCTTATGTACTTTAGGGTACTGTCTGGCACCAAATAAATACAAAATTATATTTTGAAATTAAAAATTCGTTAAAATTCGTTAACGTTTAAAAACTTAAATATGTAACCTAAATCTAGACAGAACTTGAAATCGGTAATTTTTGTCAATACAAATAAAAAGGCTACAAGTAACAGTTATGACTGATAAAATGCGATCAAACAGCGCATTGGCCACATTACACCCATACAAGATTCATATCTTAAGAAAACAAATAAATTTTTCGAGGACAACCTATGCGATTTAATATAATATTTCCGTATATGGTTGTGAGAATCTTAATAGGTGCAACTAGCGTTCTTGCGTATACGTTCCAACACGTATACGTATGCAAGATACCCACTCTTACGAGTGTTCAGATATTTAGACCATAATAGGATCATCAGATGACAGTTGTCTGTGTAATAATCGCTGCGAGCGTAAAGATGACGCCCCAGTACTAAGATCATCAGTACTACCAAACTCACCATCTTGTTCTGTAGTGGATAACATATCGTCGTCCGATGTTGTTCTGCAAAAATTCAAAGTAAATATCTTTATGTGGTATTCCATTTTTGTCTGGATTTTATTCTAAAGATTTAATTTTAGAAATAGTAAGAATAAGTAATTTAAATTTTATTATTTTTTTCCTTTATTATTTTTCTACTGGATTAACTGTTTTTTTATTTATTTATTTTATTTATTAGGCTTACGACATCACACACAATACTTAATCTACTAATTATTTTACAAAAACTTACATCTAAAATGTGTGACAATTAACGTAAACACAAGTTTCACAAACAAAAAATAGAAATTTAAAATTTAAAAAATGTAAAAAATACAATTAAAACATAATATACAAGGTGTTAAGGATTTTGTAGAACTCAGATGCCATATCATTAACATTATTATGAGCGCGTAGGCTATCATTCCAATCAATGGTTTTCAGATCCCCTATAATAGACACATAGTCAGCTTTTTAAAAACTTAGTTAAGTATTACCTCTCGTTCGCAAAAAAGATATTTTAGAATATTTAATACTTAACAATAAACTAGGATGATTCGCGTATATTTTACTTAACGAGTCGGAGGGGGCTGATACATTAATACTAGACATATTACTTAATACTAAATACAAGAAACGATCATCACTATTACCTATACTATTACATTGATTTGGGCTATTCATAGACATAAAATCAATAAAGGCAAAGCCAAGTGTATTGTTATAATTACAAGGTGTTATAAAAACTTCATTATTTAGCGATCTCCAATTAATGAACCCTAGATTGACATCATCACTTAAGATTAAAGCTCTGTCGACGCTGTCTAAAAAATGTGTCAAAGTCCCAATCTTAACAGGAGGAGGCAGGTATACTTCACATATCGAAAGTTTCTTTATTATTTTATTAATATTTATATGTAAGGTGACCCATAAGTCCTCCACATCCGATTCCCACGCCTCAACTCTGAAAGAACAAATTTCTTTGGAGACTCCCAGTATGACACCTCCACCATCCGATTTGGTATTGGTAGAACTTGAACGATCTCTACGATAAACAGTGTATCTATTGTCAAATAATTCCATGTTTGAAATACCAGATTTCAGCCAAGTTTCAGTTAGAGCGATGATCTTGTAATTAGAAGTTGACAAATATTTGAGAAAGCTTGCCGTTTTAGTTCTCAACCCCTGTACGTTTTGATAATAAATTTCAAGCATCGTAAAAAAAAATCTGTGTGTTACTAGACTAAAGATACAACAAAAAGCTTACAATCTAATATACTATACTATGTTAAAAGATTTAAGGTTTCGTTATTCTTAATAAGCAAGGCTTGGCAGTTTTCGTTCTTTCTTGTAAAAACGCGTCCGTTGCGAACCCATACAAATTTATACTGCTTCTCTTTTGCTTTCAAGCGTGTGGCCGCGTAAAGAGCATTGTTAACTGATGTAAGATGTTCAGATACATAAATAGGTTTCTTAGTTCCTTCGATACCAAGATGATGAGAGTTTAATTTCTCTTGTGGATTCTTCCTATTAAATTTGCTCACAGCAGCCAGAACAAAGTCACGTGTACGCGGGCTACATAACTTGGCTACCACGGACCGAGGCCTATCACTGCTATTAGTTATTTTAGCAACCCTTGTTACGTGCTGAATATCAACTTGAGTGAGGGGACAGTCCACAGTCTTGGCTATACGAAGGACAGTTTCAAATAAATTTTCTGACCTATTCTCAGGGATCCCATTAATCAATATATTATTCTCCCGGGCATGTAGTTCAACAGAAGTTAGCCGGTTCGTTAGGTCAGCCACATTAGACTTTAACCTCTCATTATCTTTTTTTAGATTCACTATTGCGATGTCCTTCTCCTCAAGAGAAGACTTTATATCCTCAAATTGTCGACTCAGGAAGCAGATTGTGTCCTGGAACCCAACAACCCTTTCAGTGAGATTATTAAGTTCCGATGTCACCAATCGCTTTATTGTCACAGTGAGGACTGAAGATAACTCCTGTTGTAAGATATCTCGCAATTTATCTTCAGTGACATATGGTTCTAGTTCTGGTAGTTGTGAAGGGGGTCCATGTGATGGCTTTATTCGCTGCGTTACTTTAGAGCACGGAGGTTCACTCTCCGGACTTGCTTCTTGTGAGCTCATACTATGGGGGCTTCCATCGGAATTTTCACAAGTCAGCAATGACGTCTTTGCATTGCTAACATTAGTCGGTTTCCTAGAGCATTCGGGACATCTAAATGACGCCTTTTGTCTTGCGACCATCTCAACAAAGCGCTTGCGGGAGACATTAGCACATTCTAGGTCGTATTTTAACTTGCAGATATGACAGCATAAAAAATCCTTTTTTGGTAGCTCAATATGACAGCTAGCACAACAATTTGAAGGCGCCATAGCAACTTTTAATAAAAAATAAATAAAAACAAAAACAAGTGGGATGCCTGGATTGGAACCACGTCAGACTCTATATAACGATATTATGGCAGCGCTCTGCAACACTGCGCCGAGCGGGCGGTCGAGTAATCTGCCGAAATAATAGTATATATTCCAGTCCAATAGCTGAGTACAAACGCACAACGCGTCACCACGTTGAACAAAAACTCGACACTATTTCACTGAATCTATGCATATGATTATTATAATTAATCAAAAAACTATCAAATGCAAAATAATGTTAATGTTATGATTCACTTGCGTATTTTTCCATTTAGCGTATTGTTGATGTTTTAAAACGGCCACTGCACCAGAGCGCTTGTTATTATGTTGAAAATTTGATTATCCCATTAACACAACAACTTGGAAAAGTCACACACTGCACTAATTTGCCTTGCTTAATTCATTTAAAACAACATTATAGCAATATAAGGGGAATTTCTATTTTTAATTGTATTTTTACACGGGAGCCGATGTGTACGGTACCCACTACCTACACTACAATTTTATTCGTTTTTTTTTATTTTATTCGTTTGTCCTTATATTGTACTTATTGATTTTTTATGAAAGTGGAGGAGGCCAGGAGATAAGTGAAAGTTTACAGATATAAGAATATGATGTAGTATATAATATGTCGCAGCCAACTAGCTTAATTAGCCGTTCAATTAAGAGCCTAGCCGTTTAACTAAACGGTGCCGTTTAACTAGCGGCCTGAAAGTTGTTCAGCCAGTTGATCAAACAGCTAGGCAAATGACTGATCGATGACGTTCTTTTGACTGTTAATTTAAATTTAATTCCTCTCTATGCCACTCTCAAACTAGAAATGAAACTCTTCAAACTGTCAATATGGCGTCGGCAAACCACAACTTTGATGGTGTTTTCCAAAGTTTCATGAAAAACATCAAGTACATTGGAAGAGTGTAGTAACAATAATAATGTGAATTTGACTCAAGCAATTTAATTTTAAAATAAATATTTTTTATGTGGATATGTTTCATTTTTATTATTTCTGCCAAATAATAAGTATATCGTACGAATGGTCTAAGCATTAGCCAGCCAGTTTCTTAAATGTTGTAACGAACGATACGGCTGAATATCGTTCAGGCCGCTAGTTAAACGGCGCCGTTTAGTTAAAAGTCTATGCTGTTAATTGAACGGCTAATTAAGCTAGTTAGCTGCGACATATATATGATTTTATCAATGTATTACATTTTTCGAAAATACTTAACAGCCTTACGAAAAGTAACGAAGTGAATTATGTAACTGAATAGAACAGTTCCTTAGACATCAAATTATAACTAGTTAATTTACTATAAAAGATGTATTGAGTAAAACACTGCAGTTAAAAAAGCTTACCTATATATGAGCGCGGGCAAGTTATTTGTGAGCGTGGCTTTTTCCTTTTCCATCTCATGAATGTGTCCCTCCAGAATTTGCTCTTCGGGTCGCGGAGCTTCGCTTCGAGCGCGGATGTGCGTGAGCCTATCTGTGGCTGTTGCACATGCCTTATCCAACGTCTCTATATCGGCGAGGGTACCGCGTGTCTGTAATAATATTATTTAGAAAATTAAAGCGAGTAAGCAAATATAAAAATGGTTGCGATATTAATATTGAAAATCATCATTATCAAATGAAAGAAACTCAATTTACTAAAGATTTTCCGGATTCTTACAGTCACAACACAAATCTCGGACAAATATATATTTCATTTTAAAAAGGTTATATTTGAAAATAATCTTATTTTATCAAATATCTGCCATCTTGAATGTAAAATGGTTCCGATGTTTTCCTAATAATTTTTGTCTCCAATTGATTTAAAAAAAAAATATTTTCAGTTTTTTCTTGGACTAAACATTTTAAAGAAGGATACTGTTATTACATAATATAAATACTGACATTGCTCATCTTGTCAAAAAGTATGGCTTCCAGACAGGCCGTCTGACGCGCGATGTCGTGAAGCGAGTCCTGCGCAGGTTGGATCTTGTGCGTACGCAGTATGCACGGCGCGAACACTATAGCGAGCGCGTTCGCTCCCATTCTAAAAGGTAATTAGAATATTATTTTTAGTTCTCCTTAATTGCAAAATTGTATCTATGTTACAATTTACATACTAAAAATCATACCAAATAAATGTTTTTTTTAATGTTTATGATTAACCTAAAAATGATTTCAGAAAAGCTTAGGAAATCTTAAAATTTTATATTATAATATGTCCTTTTTTGTATTTAATAAAAGATTATGATAAATCAAATAATAATGAAATAAGTGGTTACCTATTATGTTCTTCTCTGAGAGCGACTCTTGCGAGATGAAAAATTAATCTCTCCACGACATCGTAGTTGATTTTCGGTAGTTTCTTTAGGAGTGTGAATATACTCGATACTCGTTCCTGCAAAATAACGTATTAATTGTTGAACATGCCTCTTTGGAACCTAACTAATCTAACTTGGAATAATTACAAAAAATTACTAATTGTTAAAAAGTAACATAAAAATATTAATAAAAATAATCTACTTTATACGTAACCAAACAGGGCTTAATGTTATTCATACAAATATTTTACTCTGTCTAGCTAATCATGGAATAACTTAATAAATAATAATCTAATATTAAATAATAACATTAATTATGGAGCGCACAGAAATCTTTCTAGATAGAAAAAAGTTCCTGTAAAATCATAATTATGTAATTTAAATTACGGAATTAAAATAATACATTTTGCCTACCTGGGGATCAGACATCTGTGCGGCAAGTATAAGGTCGTCATAGAGGTCGAAAGTCAGCAACGGTTCCGGTAGCTCCCGGAAGAAACTCTTAAGTACGGAAGCGCGTACGTGAACTGCGTACGCGTCTAAACGTTCTACGCTCTCTTCGGGTTGTTCGTCTAAAAGACGTCGAAGTTCGCGGACCTGAAATAAATTTACATAAAACAATTAATTATACAATACTTTCTAAGGAGAATACTGTCCATGTTTATAAGTATACATATAGAATGATTTTGAACAATATACCGACTTAAATAGTTTATTATCACTATTAGAGGTAAAAGAACAATCTAATTTCATAAGGATTCTTATTTTCTTATTACCTTAGAACTCAATCCACTTTTCCTGTAAATCCCTTCAGTGTACAATCCGATCATCTCTATGGACGTGATAAGTCTATCTACTACTATAGGAATGTTGCCTTCGCCTGTTGGCAACTCTGATAATGGCACACCGAATACCTGGAAGAAAAGATGACCATTAATCTAAAATCTATAGATTATGGATTTTTTAAAGCAATCGTTTATTATATTATGTCTGAGCCTTGGTATGATGAATAATTTGAAGTAATTTATTAAAAATATACAAATATGCTCATGTCGTTTTACATAGAAAATCCTTTTGATACATACCTTCCCCCTCTTAAGTCCCATTTGTTCCCTGCCCCCCGCGTCAACAGCGCCTACTATGGACGCTGAAGGAGTCATTGTGTCAGCTCTACATCGTGTGGATACCTATTTAATACCATTTATATTACATACTGAAGCAGTGGCCTTTGGACACTCAACGTCAAACTGGTAATGTCGAACGCATAGGTAGGGGTGAGCGGTCAATAAAAATCGCGATCCAATATCACGATACCGGTATCAATATATATTGAATCAACTGGTCGTACTATACTTTCAATAGATATTGACTCAATATCGTCAGTAGTCAGAAGATCAATTTTCCGAGTATACGTGTTTCGTAATAATGGACGATAAAAGTAAGGCCTGTATTGCCATAATATTGGCATTAAATGCAATTAAATCAAAGAAAACGTCGTTGGGTACAAACATGGACGTCAATGCGCGATAAATTGAACATTTGAATTTATTGAATGAAATTTTCGGGTGTTGCAGATTACAAGAATTAATTTCGTATGAATGATATTCTTTTTGAAATATTAAATATGATTTAGAAGTATGTTATTACATTGTTCAGACTCTTCTATAGACGGTGAAGCCGCACTCAATGTTCGTTGTCACACATATCTGCAGTTCACAAAGATCGATTATATTGACGATATTAACAGCACGCATGCTTACACAGTCAATAGATATTGATAGATCACAAAAAATCTATATTTTATGTCAATATGCTCAATATTTATTTCTGCCGCGTTTACAAATCAACAAATATTGACGTGATCTCAAAGATCACGATATTTGCTGACCGTCTGACCCCTGCCATAGATTTTAATACATTAGATGTATTCTACACAAATAATATTCAAACAGTGTGTTCGTTCTTATACGATTCCTTATTATAGTTAATTTTTTTATTATTATAGTTAAATACGAAAGTCTTTGAAAAAGATTAGATATTTATCAATGAACGGTTACGAATCTAAAAAATTAACTTGCAAGTCAAACTTACCTTCATAAAACACTTCTTATGTGACGCAAGCTTGCAGGTTTGGCAAATCAAGGACCGCTCCAAGGGCCACATGAAGAAGGTCTTGCAGATCTCACACTCGGTGGGAATGTTAATCATCGATAGGATGAATGTATGACCCATGTATTGTATTGGATCGTCGACCTGAAAGCGCACCACTTCTTCGTAGATATAGGTTTTAATCGAACACAATAGACACATTTGAGCTTCATTCCAAATAACAATATATTGAACTTATTAAAAGTGTCTTTTTTCATAATACTTATACGAAAGTGATGTTCATTTGTTTATGAAGAAATAGTACAAATTATTAAACCAATAGACAACACAATCGACTGTGTAAATATACAATATTTTTATGTTTTAAATACGCATTAGACCTGATTCTAGTTTATAGCTGTCAGACATTTTCGCCATCACAATGCTGAACATTGTCACTCGACATACTGTCAGACAATTAACAGCACAAACATACCTTTCGTTTCTTATCCTTTTTCCGCTTGGTCCTCGCTTTATCAGTTTCGTGTTGGCTCATGAACTCATCCATGAACCCTCTGAAAGCGTTGACTCCCATTGTGATGGACAGAGTAGACCCTTCCCTTGCGCAAACGGTTTCCATAACGTGAAGGAAGTTCCCAATAAGGTCTTTGTACTTGAGGGCCGAGCCACGTGTCTCTACCACGCTGTATGTGGCCACTAAATTGTCTTTGAACTCTCTCAGTGCGTGCTTAAATACCCTGTCGACCTGAAATAAAATTCGTGTACGTTCACGTATACGTATAATATAATACATATGATATGTTTTTATTACTATTAAAAATGGATTTAGATCAATGAATTTAAAAGGCTTAGTTCCATATCCACATTGGTGAATAATGATTCGATTTTTATACAAACGCATTTGAGAGTCTTCGTAAGTCTTAGGCCTACAACGCACTAGCGGCTGGTCGCGATGCGGTGTGCCGCTGCGGTAGGCCGCGGTATATACGGTCTGCCGTAGCGGCATGCCGTATTCCGTCTAACCGTCCCTATTGCGGTCTGCCGCAATCGTCACTCGTCAGTGCTTCTTGAAATATTGCACATGATGGACGTTGAAGAAGTTGCGGCAGTTATTTATTTATATCATCGTAGAAAATATCGTCAAAAAAACTCTGCGTAGTGTCTAGCGCAAGGAACTAGCGATGACTGAGGCGGGTAGGACGCGGTATTTGCGGCTAACCGCGCCGAGTGCGTAGAGGGGACGCGGCGCGCCGCATCATTCAACCGGTGCGGCTCGTCGCAGCCCCAGAACAACCGGAGCGGTTGACGGTTGTCCGCAAATCAGTGCGTCGTTATCGTGCGGTTTTATGTAATAATCGATGTGCGGCCTACCGCAGCGGCATACCGCATCGCGGCCAGCCGCTAGGGCGTGGTAGGCCTTAGATTTCATAATAAAATAAATATTTAAAAAAAAGAACTAAACAAATACTGACCTCAGATTGCTTAGCATTCGGATTCTCAGACGACTCCATTTGGTATATTTTCTTTGTTATGAAGTTCTGCATCGCTTGCAATTCGGTGGCGTCCGATATGATTTTGTCGGTTCTGTCCATAAACTCGGACGTGCCTGTCAAACTGAAGTTGGAGCCAACTTTCGAGTGTTCCATCAACAAATTGTACGGAGACTCCTTGAGGTTAATCCGTTTCCGGTTTTTATGCCTGCCTCGAGTTGCACCCGTCACTGGGCTGGGGCATGGCATTGTGATGACACCCTTATTCTGAATACATTTGGTGTGGTACAATTGTTTGCAGTCGATACATCTCTGGCCCTGAGTGACGAACGCGTCGATAGCCTGATGACAGTATACGCACTTATCACCTTTTGCGAATCTCGTTCCTTTGCGAAATCTGTAAAAATGAATTTGAGTTTAAGAAATATATTATGTAAATGCAATAAGGGAGCTCATAAGCAAGAATGCAATGTACCTTATATATAATATTTTTTTAAATGCAAATATGTAGTATCAACATATTACCTATGCCCCGCGATGCCAAACAGCCCGTTAGCGGTGTGCCCAATGTAGTCCGCGACTCTAGGTTCCGGCGCGGGATCTGAGTTGCGCCGGCGCAGAGGGTCTCCCGCCACAACCGGTATTTCAGATGACGCTCTGAAATTAATTTGATAATCCATTACATCTGACAAACCTGAGTAAGTGACAACTGGGTAAGCGAGAAAACACCGGGTCTCGTCATTTTTCCCTCTTAAAACCTCTACAAGTGAGGAGGAGGTAAACATGAAATCTGAATAAGTGACAGTCATTATTCGCGGGTGAACCTCTATAAGCGACAAGTAAAAGCATTTCATATTTGCTATTTACGACTCATTCTTAAATCTCGAGGGAATCTTATTTCATTGAAACCAAATGTGCGTCTGTTATTGTTCTCTATAGTTTTATAGACCCCTTCTGTAACTCTGTAAGCTATGTATAATGAGATCTCGGTCCCTTTAGCTCTCACTTATCCAGGTTTGATTGTATTACTGTTTTTTTTAATGGTTTTTGATGATTTAGCAGAGGGTTAGTAAAAATTATACTATTCTTCTTGTTTTGTCAGTATTGATTTAATCCGTTTCGCCCGACTATTTTGAGTTCTATTTCAGAGCGTATTAAAAAATTGTTTCTTTTAAAAGTTCCCGTAGTAAAAAGCTAGCTGTAAAAGTTAATGTGAAACATAACTATGTAAAAATATTCAATAATTTAGTAACTAGGTACCATTTTGTTAGTTACACAAATATATATCATAGTTCTTGGTAAGTTAAATTATTAAATGATTATTGTGTACGTAATAAGATGGGGTACAAACAATAATCACGTCTAAAAATACATTACCGTTTAGCTTCGGGACATGGCAACGCCATGGCATTGGCAGCATCGGTCCTCGACAGTCGATCAGAATGTTCAACCCGATCGAGTTTGTCCACAGCTCGTCTCGTTTCACGTCTCGCTGAACGCGCAGGCGGCGCGGGTGCTTCTACGGCTCGTACCAGGGATGCGCACGCTGTGTACGTACACATATTAATCACAACATACCATAAAGTCCAAGTAAGTATAACTAAAATTGTCTTTTTTACGCTAGTTCTACACATTTAAATACAACGACTTCCAATGATATAAAACTAAGAAGTCATTATTGTAAAAATACTCGTTTATATGCGTTAAAGATTTTATAAGCTGTCTTTTGTTTTAAGGGCACGCAAAAGTAATAATAATAATAAAGTTTATTTTGCATCTAATATTGCATTGTACGAGTTTATGATATAGGTATTTCACCATCTTTATTTTTTGACAATAAACTTAATGCTATCTATTATTGTGAGAGACTGGTGCTCGAAAAAGGTTGGGAAAACCTGTTATTACAAAGTGATCGATTAATAGACAATGGGAAGACCCTTACCATAGAAATAGAATGCTAACTTAACAAACACAACGTGATAAACCATGGCTAATAAAGTCACTGACAAACTTAAAGCATATATTAGAAACTTTTCTGTCACATCAGAGGTATCCGTATTTTCTAGGAAAACTGACGAAAAGCACATCGCGGAACACAATAGTTAAAAACCTCGTGAACTGCAGTCCGAAGTGATTAACGAATGATCGGTGAACAAGAAAACAAACAAAAAAAGCAAACACATTAAGAACTAACGGTCCTTAATGATAAAAATAAATTAAGCATTTTGTTTTTGTCGGATTTTAAATATTCCTATAATTATTGTTTACCATTCCGGCATGTCGCTTGCGTGACAATATAATACATGAGTAAATAACGATACGATACACGATAGTTTTAGATTCGTATTTATAATGTCATTTTCTGACATTTATCCCTCAGCATACTTTTCATAGATTTCATATAGTTTAGGCCACGTCCACTGCGCGCTTATAAAAATATCCGTACAAAAATGGATTGTGTTCTCTTTTATTATATTCACTTTTTTATAATTTAATAAAGTAGGGTTAGACATATTAAGTCCCGTAAAATGTAATTCTTTAAAAACGTAAATTCATATCGTTATATTTTTGACTGGAATTTAATTATAGGGGAATCATCATTACAATAATGAAGCCAGTCTACATTAAAGAGTAAACTATAATAGTACCCATTTATAAGTTTTTTTGTCAGAAAGTGTTTTTTTGTGTTTAGTTTCAATTACAAATTGTTGAAACTGGCTAAAAGAACATTTAGCAACGACATGTGTAATAAGTATGTGAAGATTATGTGTAAACTTATTTTAAAACCAAGTCTTAATAAAACAGTTGACATAGGATTTAAACTCATATGCATCTACAAGGAAATCTTTTATTTATGCACCTCACAAACGAGCCCGTAGTTTGTGCGGTAAATAATTCCCGGAACAATAATATTTCTTTCAAGTTGTAAAGTACAGAAGGATCGATTCGAGCCTATCAAAATGATTGATGAAACTGATGCGAAAATGTATATTCCCTAATAAATAACCCTAATAATGCATATACCCTCCTGGTGTACGTAACAACGTGAACTGAGCTGTGTACGTACACATACATATACGTATGTATGTATAAAAATACTTACAGGTATCAAGGGGCATGTCGTGTCGTTCTTTAGAATCTCGCATGTCCCTCGAATCTCTTGGATCTCTTCTAACAGGTGGAAGGCTGTGTAGAGTCCTCGCTGGTTCCAAGGTTGTACTTGACAGACTTCGCTGGTATACTTGAGGTGATGTTCGCCTGATTAAAAGGAAAAAAAAACTTAATTTAAGGGTGTATGATGTACACGTACGAGCCAATCCAGACGAGGGTAAATTGTAGGTGTAACATTACTGTGTTAAAATACATGCCTAAGAATCTAATTGCTCGTGGCTAATTTTAAAATCTCTTATATACAAAAATATAATTACTGTACAATTAAAATCGTTACTATGCGGAACAAGACACAATTGTTATAGACAAACCTGCTGAGGTTTGTCTGTGTAAGTATTTGTTAAATAAAATATTAGCATATCAATCGTAGTAATATTCTAAGCTGCTGTCCCAAAACACTCTATTTGTTAAAATAATTGTATGTAATTTTTCTCTACAAGAACTTTACAAGTGAATATAATTATTGAAGAAAAGTGTCCTTATTAATAATAAAATAGTCTAATTGCACTGTTAGATAATCTGTGTGTAAACACCATTTGGCACAAAGAGACGAATCTTTTAACTTAACAGTACTTTAGTTAAAAAATTGCAATTAAATTGTAATACACCGCCGTGGCTAATAAGCTTGGGTTAGATTCTAAGTAAAATAATTGTTTCGCTTCAAGACCAGCTGCCCACAACACAGGGAATCCTAGTGTGGGGGTTAGGGACTTTCTTTTTAACTAAATATCGTGTTTCATTATGTATATTTATTCTTCAATTACACACGCAGCAATGAGTATGGCCTATGCCCCATTGGGATAACGAGTTTTAAAATTACACAAATTACCTTGAGCTCGTATTAGTGTCGGTGCTATCCGCGGGACTCCAATCGCCAACTTGCCGTAGATATTCTTCACTACTTGTCGCTAACGTTTCTGCTAATTCTCTTTCCCGTATCTGTATATCAATAAATTTATAAAAACTATACAATATTAGAGCATACCAATGGGAGTAAAAATTTTGATTGCAGAAAAAAATAAAACGGTTTCGATTTAATCAAAATTTACTCATAAGTATTTAATTAACACTTATGAATATAAAATAAATAATTTAAAAAATTTAAACATGATTCAATGGGCGCAAATCGAGAACTAGCTGTAGTTTACATTTAAAAAAATATAAAATAAAATATAATATGTTTATTATGGAACATAAGATACTGGTATCACTTATTCCACGTCATTAAATTTGAAACGGCAGACATCCCTACTCATCGGCAAAGAAGACAGAGGGTGTAGGCCGAGAGAAAAAGCCGGCGTAAAAAACTCTCAGTACTCTTTTACTCCTAATTATTATATATTTACTCCTATTATGAATTAAAATTTATAGATTCGACTGAGATTCTTATGGTCTAAGATCCCGCTGCAGGATTGGTGCGCTCATCGACTATTTGTTTAAAACCAAATTTTTATGTTTATTTATAATTAAGAGAATATATATTTACTAGGGTGCCTATCAAAATTTGGCCGCCATTATTTTTAATTAAATTATTTTTAATTGATTTTTGGTAAAAAATTTCGTTCATTTATTATTTAAATAAAATAACGTCTACATCACGGTAATTAATATGAAGATTCTAAAAAATCACGGGTGCCGTTGCGCACCTGGCCGCACCTCTTTGCAGCCAGGTGTAAACAGGTATGATTTCGATAAATTTATACGTTTATAACCTATTTTTATTAATTATATGTCAAATTGAAGCTAATTTTTTTCTATTAATTATCATATAAAGTTTCTTAATTAAATCTGGCCGCAAATAAGGGCTACTGGCTGTTAAATATAATAAAAATTTAAGGTAGAGTGAAAGAGAGTTAGCGCGTAACATCATTTGTCAGACGAGGACAGCGATTGTCGGCTAAGCGACGCTTTTAAGCCATTGCGCATGCGTCGAACGTTAGTGTTCGCAACCACCGGGGAGTAATAGAGACGACTTATAAAAAATTTGTAATTTTTTCAAAATGAAAAATCAAATCAATTTTAATTTTTTGTTGCAATTTTTAAATTTGTCATTTTGAAAAAAATTACATATTTTTTATAAGTCGTCTCTATTACTCCCCGGTGGTTGAGAACACTAACGTTCGACGCATGCGCAATGGCTTAAAAGCGTCGCTTAGCCGACAATCGCTGTCCTCGTCTGACAAATGATGTTACGCGCTAACTCTCTTTCACTCTACCTTAAATTTTTATTATCTTTAACAGCCAGTAGCCCTTATTTGCGGCCAGATTTAATTAAGCAACTTTATATGATAATTAATAGAAACAAATTAGCTTCAATTTGACATATAATTAATAAAAATAGGTTATAAACGTATAAATTTATCGAAATCATACCTGTTTACACCTGGCTGCAAAGAGGTGCGGCCAGGTGCGCAACGGCACCCGTGATTTTTTAGAATCTTCATATTAATTACCGTGATGTAGACGTTATTTTATTTAAATAATAAATGAATGAAATTTTTTACCAAAAATCAATTGTAAATAATTTAATTAAAAATAATGGCGGCCAAATTTTGATAGGCACCCTAGTAAATATATATTCTCTTAATTATAAATAAACATAAAAATTTGGTTTTAAACAAATAGTCGATGAGCGCACCAATCTTGCAGCGGGATCTCGTACTATTAGTATATATTAATAGTAAAATATTATCCAAAGCGATAAGCGAAATTATTATATTTTAATAACAAACCTTATTCTTCTCAGCCATAAGATAATTCTGATCTATCCGCAGCCAGAGCAGCTCATTGGCGAGGACTTCTGGGGTGATCTTTTTGGGCCAGGCCACAATGCCCTGAGGGTATTTGCTTTTGTTCGCATTCCAACTCTCCTCGGGTGAAGATTCACTTGTCTCTTTGTTTATTAAACTAAAAAAACCTTTACTATGAAAATCTCATAATCTATAAGCTTATTAATCTTTATTCGCATAAAATTACAAATGTTCTTAATTAGATTAAAGTTAGCATAATATAAACGTGTATATTTTGTTACAATATGTCATACGTTTCATTTAAGCTGTTTAATTACGGCCTTATGTTAAAATCCGAAAACATGTGAAATCTTAAACGTTTTAAATAAATTAATAAGTCACTTTTATCATTATATTTGATACATGAAACTGACTGAACACTTGCACTATGCAAGTGAGAAAATAAATAAAAATGCATCACATGAAATCACATATAAACTAAAAACCCCGATCCCCATTCTCACCGAATTATTCTCTAATACATCTGAATGATGTTACAGTATATCATATTTTTTATTATACACGTAATAATGTATCTTTGCACTTTAGGAATAGGGTCAAATTTTTTATCTTTTTCGAGAAGACAAGTCCAATTCTTACGTTCTATAAGAGTATTGTAACACTAATGTTCTCGATAATATTAACGAGAGAGGAATAATTAATTGAAATACATTTTACATTCTGTTTATTATAAGTGCATTTCACGCGAAATTGAGGTCGTAGAATTTGTTTATATTCGGATTAATCATTTACTCAATGTACAATCCCACAATTTTGTACATTGCGTATTATCTTCAGGATCTCTCCGGATGATACGCAATGTATACACAAAATAGAGTAGAAATACCTATGTTAACATTGCGATGTAAAATCTAGTAGAAATGAATAATAAATATACATACTTCTGACTAGCCTGTTTCGATGGCACCTCTGTGATGTTCTGGGTCTTGGAGACTTTTCGTTTGTGATACGTCTTCTGAGTCGAACTCTCTAGCGATAGGCTATCTCGCTTGTTTTCTAAGCTAAAACCGACATTTAATGGTTTAAAACACTTTTACAAATAATTATAATCTAGAAGGATTATATGTAATTTTAAAATTTAATGAAATTGTTGATTAAAAGACGTTATGATACATCCATGCCTTGGGTGGATTAGAATCATTAAAATTTTCAATCATTACAATGATTCTAATTATCAATTCATTTATTGTTGTTAGGGTTGTTTGGAAATTATTGCTTGAACTATGTCAAGTTTCTTTTTTATATCATTTAAATTGATATATGTGCAATATAGTAAAGTGTGAATAAATTAATAGTAAAATATAATATTGATCAACTTACCTGGCAAGAGGCAAAGATTGTGTAGCTCGCAATTGTCTTGATTTTTCTGCTTCTTCTTGAATCAACATGTTTCTGTAAAATAAATTTTACATTAACATTTTGCTGTGATACTTTTTCTTGCCAGATATATGGCAATAGACATGACAACTTGGTGAATGATTCGACTTTATTATAAATGGTGGACTAAATATAGTTTGTTACCATACCATTTTACCAAGCTTCATCAAAATAGGTTTAGTTCATTTGGCAGTTATTTGAAGACGGGTTAATATTTCTATATAGTTTAATGTTCGTTATTTAAACACGAAAAACATTCATCATACAGTCATTGTAACATACACCCTACTATCTGTAGTCCACGTTTTATAACATAAATTTAGCGTGTAATATTGAAATAATTTACATTACATTACAGGAAAGAAGTTATTTACAAATTATTTTCAAAAGTATAATTGTCTCTTTTCATCGTGGCGAAAATACAATTTGACAGAAAGAGACAAAAGAGTACAAGGAATAAGGAGGATAATCTTGAGATACTCACAACTGTATATCGATGATATTCTTAAGTTGCTCGATGCTCGGCTGCTTCGCCTTGTACAGTTCTGACTCGGACGCGATCGAGGCTCTCTCATGCTGATAACAACCGATTGTGTGCTTTACGACACTTTGTTTACGGTTCATAATGCAATGACACCACATCCAAGTTAGTTTGACAAACTTGCCAGTTAGTTACAAAAAAATATAAACAGGTATAAAGCATGGAACATGTTTCTGATTTCTACGTTTTATTTAGGAATGTCTTTAACTAACGACTGGGGGATATCAACATTTAGAAGCGAGAATTGTTTTTTATCGTATATCGTTATCTCTATCACACGCCTATCTCTTTTGCTTAGTGCAAATAGAGTAGATTTGTATATTTTCTAAATTAAGCCAAATATGATAAAAAATATAGAGTTTATTAATTTTCAAAGCGACTTATTTGGAGCTTATTCAGTAACGTTTTTTTTAAATTTACTACTATGAATTCTATATTCTGTGTTAAATTTACTTTCAAGTGCTGTCAAAGTATATTTTTTATTTTGAAGTTTGACATATAGAGTACTTAAGAAAATATTGTAATTTGATACGAATTGGAATAAGGAACTGAGGGTTAAAATCTGTGACATTACGGATGTCAAAATTATTATCAAACCTTGGCGCTAAATAAGTCTAATATCTAAAAACGTATTGGATTTTGTTGCTAACTCGTTTTTTCTTATAGGATGAAAAGGGTAATGACCGCAGCCCATGAACACCCATTTTAGTGGGTGCGTTGCCGGCCTTTGAGGGAAGAGTATACTCTTTTTTTAGACCATTGGATGTCGTAACTCGTATTACCCAGGGAAGACCCCCACTGGGAGTCACAACAGAAAATGTCTTGTGAAGTGGACCGTGAAAGACTTCCAGTACATACAAAAATCGTGCGACAGAGATAACGATACGAAACTACCTCTTTCTAATGCCGTGTTTTACATGAAATCCCATAGCTTACCTCAGGTTTATGCCTGGTCGATGGCAGTTGTCTTCTAAGTTCTGGCAATGTTTTTCTTATAAGGAACCCTTTCGCCGCCGCTTGGAAGATGATAACAGAGTCCCGAAATTTCGTGTACCATCTCCGTACCTGACTCCCACGGAACCAGGCTTGCAATCTCGTGGCAGCTTCATGGCGTGTTGCAAGCCATTGTCTGAGAAGGAAATAATATTTTAAATATTTATTTTTATTTTTGCTCTCAAACATCACACATGCTACAAGGAGGACAATCAGATACTTATATATATATGTTATAGAAAGCATATACACGTGTGTGTGATAATGACATGAGAACTTAAGTAGGCGCAGCGCTAACCAGATACATGCAACTTCCTCACAATCGAGCAACCCGCACTATCGTAGCACACAACTCACGATGGGACTCTTTGTATTGAAGTCTCATATTTATATTCTGATTTTTAATTCCGTAGAATTCTGACAGCTATAATTTTTGCACATGTTACAAACAAATTTCAAGACGAGTCAACTGTGTCTCTATACAAACATTTTATTTGTTAGTGAATGTATCCATTTTATTAAGTCAAAATAAAATGTTTTTGACAAACGAGCATCGTACATAGCGCTAAGTCTGTGGATGATGACTGTAGGAATAAAAAATATAATTTATTGGATTTATTACTGAAAGAGATTCAGACTATTCAAGTGTTTATTATTATTCTCCACAATTTTTTTTCATTCAGATAGACCTATTTAATAAATTATAGTCCATGTATATGTACCAGCGCTTCCTAAATCAAGAGTTAACTTTGTCCTATAGCTGCTATTATTATTATATATATTACCTGCAATAAGTTTGTATGGTATGCGAAGCTCGACGCAATACGAGAAACCGTCTCCGTTCGAGTAAAGCCCGAAACCAACGCTGGATTGTGATGATGGATGCCATTATTTGTTGATGAAGCCGATATTCCAGCTTTGTCTGCTCGCTTTCCCGCATAAAAATCTTTGTGGCACCTTTAATATAAATATATTAGATAAAAAACTTAATGTATATTTTAATCAATAATCGAGTATTTCAAACTGGATAATGTTTAACAGAGCCATGTAATTTGTATTGAGAATAAACAAAATTAACATTTCTCTATACACGAAGACAAGCTCACCAGCTTAACAATTTTATTTTTTTGATGGTAGGTTCATGATAGTACACCATCGCCATCTCAAAGGTAACATGACATCATTTTCTACAAATAATATAAAAAAAAATTAATTGAAATGTTTTTATATTTATTTTAGAACGTTCTTAGTAGGGCCGTTCTACGTATTTAATTCGACAAAATACACACAGATAAATTAAGGTTACTAAGAATAAACGACTCACCCATTTGATAATTATCCCTATCCAAATTGAGGGTGGCAAGAAAATGCCGCACATCAGATTGTGAGCTGAGCAGGCCCTTTGGTAGCAAAATTCTGTACAATTGTATGAACTCTTCGTACGTAAGTCGTACGTTGTATCCGGCTTGTCTAATGCGTACAGTTTCGAGCATTCCCGTATATCTGAGCTGACGCTGGACTGTTTCTTCATCGAAAACGTTGGGGATTTTGTCACTATTTGATTTTATACATCTGTTGAAAAAGTCATGTTAATTTTTACCGTGTTTTGTAGAATTCTCTGATATTAAAGAAATAGTCAATTGTGGAAATCATTTTTTAAAAAAATGGCCGTATTACTATTATTAGGCCTTGTTTAAGTACTCTTTCGTCTCCTTCCGTAAAGTTGTAATTACGATGAATAAGGCTCTATAGATGAACTTTTGTTAAAACAGTGTAACTAGACCAATTTAGATTTTACAAAGAAAAACGCGGCATATTAATAAACACCTATAATGTAAGTGATTACAACATAGTCTATTATGGGAATTTATTATAAATTTTCATTGAAGATCATACATACCTTATGAAAAATGGATTTGCTTGATTCAGGGTTTCCATGAGTGCTGCAAGAGAATGCTGGAACTGAGCGGCCACTGTATGAGGTTGCTTTCTCTTTCCCGCAGCAGCCGTTCGACCGGCCAATGTTTTTACACTCTGTAGATTCTTTAAGCCTTTCTTCGCGCGCTCCCGAGGCCGGAACGACTTATTTTTCCTGTCAAATCGATTTAATTCAGAATCTCTTCAAAACATACTATAACCCAGCCCGCACCATCATGCGCAAAACAAAAGCTAACATTATTATAAACTCAGCAATAACCGAAAACAACACCGAATCACCGAGTCACCAAAAGTCCCGAAATATTAAAATTCATCAAACAAAATTACACATGCACCTTCAAAAAATCTGACAAAAACGAGTGACAAAAAATCTAAATAAGCGTTATAAAAAAAGCAAATCGTTCGTCACTCGCGTTCAAGCTTTGTTTGATGAATGAGAGGTGAAGAGTGAGAGAGACAGCTTGTGTTGTATCCGTGGACATACATGACGATCTGACTGGCTCGCTGCAACACGTCCGCGTCGTCTAGGTCCCTGTCAGTGCGGCGAGTCCTAGTTTCGGCGGTTCTATAATTTTTGGTCGGTTTCGCCGCCCGAGACCCTCCCCCAGCTGCTTCTCTTCGTTCAGTTCTTCCCGTCTCTCGTGCTTTCGTTGCCGCCCTTTGCGGCGTTCTGCTATTTACCCCGTCATATTAATTCAAAAAAGGTGATTTGTCATGCGTCTATGTGCATAATCAACTGAAATGGTCTTGGTAATGGTTTGTCGATACACATTAGCGCACATAACTATTACTACTTTAGCTAATAAGTATACAAAAAGTTACCTAAATAAAGAAAAATTTACGATTAAAACACAAAGTACTAGCATAGACACATAGATGTTTAAACTCATAGGCAATTTATAAAGATGGACTAGATATAACTTCTGCTAATTAAGAAAAGGTTGGCATGGCAACCTAGTTATCACTTTATAAAATATAGCTTGCTTATAAAGGAATGTCGAAGTGCAAATCAAGTATATTTTTAAACAATTTAAATGAACAAATTGAGCTATATTTTATAGGCAACATAAATCTAGAAGACATCTAACAGCAGTGTATAATATAAAAGAACATCCATGCTATATGTGCACAAAAAAAGCATGCTTTAAACGGCGACTTACGCAATTCTGTTGATTGCGAGATTGATTGATGACACTGTCACCAGTTGGCTGAGCAACAAGACATATGATTACGTCACATAACGTCATATTAGCGAAAGCATACGTATACCTATTTATTCATCATTAATCAGATTATAACACAGAAGCGAAATAGTTCTAACTTCGAACCAAAATTATTTTATTGAATAAACATCATCCGTCTCTTTTTATCACAGCATAAATTCAATTTGACAGAAAGAGACGGAAAAGTAGTGATTTCGTTTTTATATGCTTGCTACCTCGATTCTCAAAAACAAATCATGCCTCGTTCAGGGGTTTTAGTTGATCGTTAAGCTATTTATGCAATTTCACATACAAATAAGTGTTGATGCTCACCTAACTATACTTTCGTTCGCAGCGTGTATGGACGCTCGGGGGACTCTTGAAGCACCATCCACTCTATTAACTCTATGTCTGCTACCCGCTTCCATAAATGCAAAGTACCCTCTGTAACAATATTTGAGCTATTAAGATTATACGTTTTTATCAGATTAGATTATACGTATTAAAGAGTATTCGTAGTCATAATTATTTCCAAAGGATCTTAAAGATTTTTATTCCTATTAAACGACAAAATTACATGAATTATTAGATCAACCTCAGCGTAAATGCATTTAGATTTATTTCTTACAGAAATTTATACATTATCTTTACAGATTATGCCAATATGATGTCGAGAAAAAATAAAATAAAATATATAATACTAAACACATAATATACAAGATTGCTACTGTGAATTCACTCTGCGAACATATAAATATGTCGATAGTGTCTGAGACAGCGTTCAGTAGGCGCAACGTTTTTGATAACGGGGAGATCCCCGTTATCAACCAAGGGCCAGAACCAGTCTGTTGCAAATAACCTTGGCCTTCGCCGTTGCACATATCCCCTAGGTACAAAGAAACCGAAAGAGAGATCTTTAGCAGATATCAGAAATTGGTAATTTGTGATATCTGATAATAAAAGAACCACGATGTATATCAAACTTTAGTAACAAGGATTACTAATTTAATTAACTATTAATTTCCCTCAAAAATATTAGTGTACAAACCTGAAAAAAGCTCTGACGATCGCCCAACGGAACACAGCAACGGGGTCGACTCCCACCAACTCCCTCACAAACGCCAGAGACGAGTTCTTGAGGACACTCACGATATCTTGTCTCATGAGGTCTAAGTTCTTTTCTCGCATCGCTGTTGCCTGTCGAACGTTTAAAGTATTTTCGCTTCATTACCGTATAAACTATATACTAAATACTATTTATACTAAACATTGTGTGTGTGTCTAGATATATATACTAAATATTCTTTGTAAAAATTTTAAGAAAGAACACGGCTACACAAAATGTATGGATAGTTACAAAGTTTTTTTTCATTATTTTTATGAAATCGAATAAATATTTTGAATACGCCGAAAATCTTGTATATCAAGATTTTTATATATTTGTTCCTTTTAGATTTCTTTTAAATACAAAGTTCAGTTATTATTTACAAAATATTTTATTAATTTCAGTAATAATCACCCGCCGATAGATATTTTTACGTTTTAATTACGTCTGTTGACTTTTTACACTAATATTATCATATAATTCCAATTTACCTGATATTTTACCCTCCCCGCGTAATGCCTTACTACAAAAGCTGGCTCGCGGCGCGTAGGCTTCTCGTAGAACGGATTCTCTTCGTGTACAGAGTTGAATTTTTGGAGTAACGTCTCATTCGTAGCCCAGGGAAAGCTGTAAAATGGTACATTTTAGTTTTAAACGAAGTTTTCCATTCCTAATGAATAATTCCTATAACGACTCTCATTCCTAAGTTCGTAAGTTCGTTCCCCGGTCTTTCAATGTGCGCATTTAAAATCAGCTCGAACGGTGAAGGAAACATCGTTAGGGAACCGGCTTGCCAAAGACCCAAAAAGTCAACAGCGTGTGTCAGTCACAGGAGGCTGATCACCCACAAGATTGACAATTTGGGGGTAACATTTCAACATATACAGAAATCTGAGGCTGATACCTAAAATGGTTGTAGCGCCACTGATTTGTTTAAATTTTTTTCCCCATTCCTAAATTTTGAGTTGCAAAATAAATAGTAGTAAATTTCAAAATTGTATTTTTAATTTCAAGTTTAAAAATCGGTAATTGACCAATTAGCATTATTAAATAAGTAATTTAAAAAATAAATATTATGGCATAATAGTAAATAATTCAGTACGAGTAGCTGGGAGAACTGTAAGCATTTTATATATAATAAATTATATGGCGTTAGGAAGAACATTGTCCCTTACTTGCACTGATCATCCAAGAGACACAGCAATCCACCCGGCTTTCCCTCTATAAGCTGAAGACATCCGGTGTTATCCGAGAAACCTATGTCCGTCCACCGAATCCCCTCTCTCCTATACTCCTCTTGCTCGTACTTAAATACGTGTTGGTTGAAGTAATATTGCAAGTGCTCGTTAGCGTAATTGATGCAGAGTTGCTCAAAGCTGTTGTTCGGACCGAAGTCTTCGAAACCGAATATGTCGAGGACGCCTGGAAATATTTTTAGTATATATATATATACTACAGTCAAATCCATCATATAATTTTATAAACAAGTACATATATGTAAATCTTGTATAAAATTAATTGTATTATTATTTTATATAAAACAATACATACACATAGAAAAAAACAACACAACGTTATATAGTAGTAGATTAAAATATTTACAAAAAGACTATTTCTAACAGAATAGGAACTGACATGAAGCAGAACTTCACTCAAGAGACAATTAAAAAAGTCTGTTAATCTATGCCGTTCATTAATTATTTCCATACATTGTGTCATGTGTACACTGAACGAATATTTATATTGAATCTGTATGTATAACTGTATGCCTATATAATAATGTTTACAAAAAAATACAATATGAAGTATACATATTTTTAAAGTGAGCCGTGTTGGCCTAGTGGCTTCAGCGTGCACCAATGGCCTTTCTGTCTAAGTAAGTGCGCATCAACCACTCGCTTGTACGGTGAAGAACAAAGAAGACTAATAACCTACTTGCCTATTTGAAAAAACAAATGATCAAGAAATAGAAATCTGAGGTCCTAACAGGTAGCGCCACTGGTTTTTTATTTATTTATTTATGTATTTTGTGCAAGGACACGTTCAAAGCAAAAATCGTGAGATTATTTCAAAAGCACTAAGCAATTTTCGGCCTTTTTGTCTGTTTGTGAATCATAGTCGTTCTCCAAATAATAAATTTTACGTGCTTACCTATACTATGTCCCTGGTGTTCCCTTAGCGTGTCCTTTTTAGAAAGCAGAGCGTGATTAACTTGCATCACAATCCAATCGAATAAAGCACCGTATAAGCATTTAGCCATTGCGTCGCGGGTTGCTATCGCTTCTGGCAGCCTGAAAACCATAAATTATAAAATAGTGTAAAATTAACATCCAAATCACAAGATTTATTTCAAGTTCACCAAATAATATATGTACAGTGTATGTTACAATCTATTATAAAATATATGACAATTATGGTGAACATAAATGTTACAAAAAATAAAAATATTACACATCTAACTTTAGATTTACTAGTAGGTACTTTTTGCTTTTATAAATCTATTTTTTCAAAATTTATCAGTCACCGCCGAATATATCCAGCTCTGGATAAGAAGTGTTTATTCTATTATATTCGCGAGAATTGGAATGAGAGGTGCCTGAAGTCCTAAGTTGGTTTTTGCAGACGGATTTTGGAAAATTCTGCAGATTTTGAAAGGGACGACAATGTTAATGATCTGTATTTGACTATTTAACTATTTGTATAAAAATGTAACACCGCCTAGAGATCCCCGTCATACAGTGATATAATTTTAAATTTCCTAAGTCGCTGATGGTACGGGTGCCCCTATGAGAAATCCTGTACTAATGAATGCAAAGTGTCGAGTAAATGTTTTTTGAATACTTTCATGCGTTGCGAATAGATCGCATATAATGGATTCCATATAATGCTACCGAATACAATATGTCTGTTTTGATATGTTATACAAATTTGTTTTTGATTCCAGATTCCATCAATCTGTGACTTTCGTTCAGTTTATCAAGTAACTAATCGATACTTAAAAAGATAAAGTCATCTTCTTCAAGTATTTTTCGCTTGCTAAGATGCCTGTAGAAATGTAGAAACAGAAATATTGTACCTATAATTTATAACAAGTGTTTCTCCCGACGCTCTCGCCCTTTTGGACGTGAGTGCAGCCAATAATGTCTCCTGTTTCACTCGTAATAAAGACGATATCAGCGATACTACTTCAGGATTTCGCACGCCCACGGCCTCGTCGTGGTGGTATGATTTGCGTTGGGGTTGGAACTCAACGTTACCTGAAAAGAGATAGATTAAAATTATTCTTCTACCTTGCACCACTAATTGTGAATCTAGATGTTCCACTGCAGGTTATGAGGTCCTTGGGTTAGATAAAATCACGGGTGGGGAAAACAATACAAAATAAGGAATGCAATATATATTTAAGAAAATATTATGTATGTTAAATAGTGATAAGTTTACTAGAAGAGAACATACGCACAATGTTATTACTCGGAACAAAAGCAGGTTGCAATTTCCCCGTACTAGACTATCTAAAGTTAGTATTTCTTTTTTTGGGAAAAGGGATTTTTTTTAAAATAAAATCCCAGTCTCTTTTATCTCTGCCTTTTATTAAATTAAAGAAATGTATAAATGAAAAGCTGTGTAAAAAGGCTTACTATAAAGTCAACGATTATCTAGTTGATAAAAGGGCCTGGGACTAGTGCTAGACAGGCTACTTCTAATTAATTTGCGATATTTGTTTTAAAATAAGTGTTGTTTGATGATTTGCTATAAAGGAGTACCGAAAGTTTTTTACGCCGGCTTTTTTTCTCGGCCTACACCCTCTGTCTTCTTTGCCGATGAGAAGGGTATGTCTACCGATTCAAAATTAATGACGTGGAATAAGTGATACCTGTATCTTATATTCCATAATAAACATATTTTATTTTTTAATGGTAGCCCCTAAAGCAGTTGAAGTTGGCCTATGTAAAAGTTTACGTTTGTGTATGATAAAATAATTAAATTATCTTTTAGCGTAGAAGGCTGCAATCGTGCCGCAAAAGCATGTGTCATCAAGATAACGACATAATACTGGAAACCTTATATTTAAGACGTTACATCGTTCATGTGTGTAAAATCCTAAAAGGATTACTGTATCGAGTCATCAATTGAGCTTATAACAAGTAGTTTTTATCAAATTACGTTCACTTATTAATCAGATTACGACGTTACTTGTGTTTTTTTTTATAGAACAGGGGCAAACGGGCAGGAGGCTCATCTGATTTTAAGTGATACCACCCCGCCTATGGATACTCAATCCCAGAGGGCTCGCGAGTGCGTTGCTGGCCTTTAAAGAATTGGTACGCTCTTTTCTTGAAGGACCCTAAGTCGAATTGGTTCGGAAATACTTCAGTGGGCAGCTGGTTCCTCATAGTGGTGGTGCGCGGCAAAAACTACCTTAAAAAACGCTCAGTTGTGGAACGACGGACGTCAAGGTGATACGGATGGAATTTCGTATTCTGCCTCGGGGTCCTATGATGAAACTCATCTGCAGGTATTAATCTGAACAACTCCTCTCTCAACTCTGCATGGTAAATGCGGTAGAAGATGCAGAGTGACCCCACATCTCTACGCAACGCCAGGGGATCAAGCCGTTTGCACAATATAGTCGTCTTATAGTTCAAATTATCTTTATCTATTTTTAAGATTTACAATCTTTCTATTAGTGAAGTCGAGAATACCTGAGAAATTAACGCTCTGCAGAAATATCCATCAATGTTATGTAATATTACGGTTTCCGAGTTCCCGCTTGGGACTTTTTGTTGTTATTATGACATGTAAGAGTACTAAGCTTCATGGCGGAGCTAACGAAATTGACAATTCAAAAGTGCTATACATCTAAGTAATTGACTATTACTCAAATCAAAAGGAGTCGCTACTACAATTCGACCATTACATAAGTTACTTAGAATTGCATAAAGACATAATTTCCCCTGTTTCCATTAATTGATTTCCTTACAATTCTTTAAAAATAATGATATGTATAAAAACTGTGCCAGATACTTTCAACATGACACTTCCATTTACGACAAACCGGAGAAGATTTTGCGCGGAAACCTATGCATTTCACTTCCAGTTTTTTGTACATCTATGTTTATCAACATGTTCCAATTGTATAAATACGCAATTGAATACGTTATTTACTAAACGTATAACGATTACATAATTTTATTGTAGTCCTATTAAGGCTGAATCTAGGCGCGTGATTTTAAAACCTGGGTTAATTGCAAATCTCGGCTATGCATTAGAGGATTTTCTATGTGCGTTTCAGAACCCATCTAGAGGAAATGTACCCTCAATACAGTAGAAAAAACACCGCCCTAATACTTTATTTTAGAATCAAAACTACATTATGTTATATTAAAAAAATATTTTAGAAAAATCACACCGTGGCACCGTTTTTAAATAAATAGAGAAAGTTTTGTTTAAATGTTCTAAAATTAATAATACATCTAAAGCAGTGTTTCCCAACGTGGGGCAATTTGATTGTTAGGGCTAATTAATATTATTTGGGATTCGAATTTCAGTTTTTGATTATTTGTTTTGAAATTTACTTACTGTTTCGTACGTCCTAGTAATTTACTAAAACCTATCATTTAATTTTCTTAAGTGTGCTTTGGAACTTTTTGCTCCTCAGCATAATGCTGAGCCAGGGCCAATTACAACCACAGTACACACACATTGCACACTGGAAGCGAACCGAATGGCAAAAGAGAATTTTTTAATTTTTATTTTTAATTTTTATTGTTTTTGATGTCTTATTTTATTTTATTTCGTTAAGTATTGTTATTTTGTGTGTTTATGTGTGTGTGTTTTCGTTTGTAATAAATGTTATGTCTATGTCTAAGTGAACAATTAAATCTTTTAAGATTAAAAATTACGTATACATAGGAGGCATAAGAATTTTAGAAAGGCTAAGGTGATTTAAAGCATCATGTAACCAACATTAGATTACTACCCAGAGAATTGTCAGGACTATTAATACTACGAAAATGTTCTTTGACTATAAGAAATTTAATCACTTACCTAATAGTAAAACAGCTGACAAAACCGCAAACAACCTCCGCTGTTTATCCATAGTGAAGCCCACCATGTCCATAGATTGTTTTAACCGCGAGAACTCATACTGCTCATCCACCCCGGGCACCACACTACAACCAGTCCGCGACAAATAATTATATTTATCAACACTCAACAAATGCAACTGTTCTCTCTCCTGCTCCGAAGCACCAGCCAATAGATAATAGAACACATGATAGTTCCTCTCATTCCGTCCTTGGCTACAAATCCTCGACTTCTCCAATAAATATTTCTGTACCACAGCACCGTGAACCATTCCATTTTCCTTGTAATTGACCTGAATAAATTTGCCGAATCGACTCGAGTTGTTATTGTGTGCGGTTTTCGCGTTACCAAACGCTTCGAGGACAGGCCCCGCGCTGAGAATCGTCTGCTCGACTCCACTTCCGTGGGATCCCTTTTGACTGAGCGCGGTTAAATGGTGGAGAAGAAAATTTGTACTCTCAGTTTTCCCGGAACCACTCTCACCACTAATCACAATACATTGATTTGTTCTTTCACGGAGCATACAGTGGTATGCGGCGTCCGCTACGGCAAATATATGTGGGGGCAGACTGGAGCCTATCCTCTTGTTCTGGTAGAGCTTCACGTACTTCGGATTGTATATCGGATAGAACTTGAACGGGTTGAGCGCTATCAATATAGAGCCCACATATGTGTATATGTATCCCGCGCCGAACCTCGCTCTTAAATTGTCCAAGAGAGTCTGCTCGTTTAGTTCCGGCAGTTGGCAAAGGTCTGGATATTCCCGGTCCTTCGGCTGGTAAAGGAACCTTTGGAAATAATCCTTTATTAGTTGCGGATCTACGGAGAAGTTTTCCATCCATGGCTCGTCCGGTATCTTCTCGCGTAGGTAAAACCTGTAAACAAATTATTTCATTAAATATGTGCAAGAAAATCAAAATATAAAATGTAAGAAGTTGTTTACTTTTGTGTCATTACTGGTTTAATTAAGGAATATTGCGCTCATGATTGTTGCGCGGCAAGTTTCAGTTCGAGTTTGATTGGCAGGATGGCTGTTATCATACGCGCCGACGCGGCAGGAAGAATGACTCACAACCAACAATATCCCAGCCACTGTCGTAAGCCCTTCGTTTAAATCAAACTTCCGAATATACCACACAATATATGCATTAGCGAGAAGTCATTAGCATTGAACATCTTTACTCGCATTCTCATTGTACTTACGGACATATAAGGATATACTACGTTCACATGATTCATAGTAAAAACATTATAAAGACCTCGTCTACAAATAGTTATCCAATGACAGGATAATTTAATGAACCGGTAGATATCGAGAGCACTACAAGTTGTATAAATATGCAAATAAATAATTTAAATAAAGAATACAATTCTGCAAACAAAAGTAACTTAATATTATTCGAACAACTGAATATATTTAGTAGGAAATTATGAAATTTTGATAGCTATTAATAGCTGTTGCTAGAATTGTTTATCGAATATTGGGTCGGATATTAAAGATATAACAATGATTGGCGAGCGTGACCGATACTATAAGCAAGCACATACCTGATATATATTGTATGTAAATAAATACGTACACAAGGTTAAACCTACGTTGTAAATACCAGGGTAATTATGAAAACTTGTTACCACTAATTAAATTGTGGAGGTAAATAAGTATAAAATGCCAACTACTCAATATGAAATTAAGCCATTTCTCGGCCGATGACTAATCGAACGATACATTTTTTTGAAGGAAGTTACAAATTTCCGATAAATTCGCGAATGTCATTATATACACATTTGCTCATATGTTCAGCTATTTATTTATTTCATTGAAAACGAGTGACTTGTTTTATTTTTTGGTTCAAATTAACAGCCTTCGTGGCTGAGTAGTGGCGTAATCTTAAGGCACCTAGGTTCGATTCCCGGCGATTTGTTTAATTGGTTTGAAATCACGAGGGGTAATGGGACTTTAACAAATAGAAATATATATCAATTGGCCTAGCACAATACAGTGCTTTTCTCTTTGTATAGAGATAATATATTAAACCGATTATCAAATTAGCCGGATTATTTTAATCCTATTTTTTATTTAAATAGATTACTTAATAAGAGCAAATTCACATTTTAATACGACTTCTCTTGTATAAGTCGCAGCCTTGGCCCATAGACTAGAAACGTTCTAAATCATTTTCTAATACAATCGTTAAGTCTGTAACGTTTACTTTCCCATAAATATCTCAATAAATAAACGAAAATCTGGCTTCCATCCACACCTTTTTCGCGTCATATTTCCTAAGATATTTAATAAACAAAATATTTATTCTAGATATTTTTGGATACCTACGGTTCAATGTCGATGAATACGTATCATTTCTGAAATTCCGTTAACTGCAAACGTTGTGCGGACAAAATAGTATTAGGTATGAACACACACAAGATCATATTATTTTACAAATTATTTTTCCCTAATGCTCGTAAACTCACTCCTGTCAATGTACGAGTGCTATTCAGGTTTAATTTATAATTAATTCGATTCTTAATATTGTATAATCATGTCGAAAATAAACAAAACGGATAGTATAGTTTGACAACAAATAAAACACAAAAAAAGTCCGTCTTAGGTTTGAGAAATCTGCTATAAACCATATTTAGTGGTAAAGTAGTTTCAAGCTTACAGGTATTTTTGACCGATACAGAAATGAAGAGAATTCTACCGTATTAAAAATATTAATTATAATCTAAGACTATCTCTCTATTTGCCTGGAGGAGTGTCGCTAATGAATAACTAAAACGTAAGAGATATTGACATACGAGAGTAATTGTTTGCTTTAAGTCTCGAATCTAAATTATTTAAATATAGGAAATTAATAATTTTTATGTTTTCGTAAATGTTTAATAACATGCAATATTTATAATGAATAAATTGAAGCAGGAAGTTCCACAACAATTTATTATATCATATATAGCATTTATGTAAATTAATGCTTTAGATAAATTACAATCATTTTAAATGCAGATTAACATTATTTTACATACTGCTTATTTATAAGTAAAAAAATGTGGTAAATATTTGTTTTATAAAAAGTATTACAAAATAGCTTTTTTGATGATGTTTATAATTGTCACTTAAGTTAATTCACAGATTTCTCAAAATTGTTTATAAACCAAAATATATTGTAAATAATTATATTTACAATAAGTAAGCATTAGCTTACTTCACAAGCCTTATAAATGAAAATTTAACAAGGTAAAGAACTGCTTCTTCCACACTTAACATACCCACATAGGGGATTAATATTGTTTCTTCAATAAAATAAAATTTAATTTTTTAATTTCAAATTGTATGTAATATTTGTATTTACTTTGTACCATTCAAGATATACACTTACACCCATGTCTTGTAAGTGTACATCTTGAATTCACAAATATCAAACATAACACAAGGCATCAAAGTCAACCAACCTGTAATATTGTCCTGTGTTGTTATTCGGCCAGAGCATCATGACAGCCACAGGTGACTCGTTAGACCCCAACCGTCTCTCCTTGCATTCGCCACTAACCACATCTCCCACCACCTGTTATTTAAAAAAAAACACTGTTTTATTGGATGTAATCATATGATGACATCGTCTATTCACTTTATAGGGTATAATCTAGGTTTAAATATAGCTTTGTATGAGTTATATGATAATCATGGAAATATCTAAAAAAAAAATATTTGTAATAAGAGAAAATCTTCATATTAGAAAACAATGTTAAGTATTAATATTATAGGACAATTATTTATGACATTACAAAAAAACTTAATGACTGAATCACCTAACAATGGATTAAGAATGAACTTTGGTTAATATAATGTTTCAACGTTACCGCAATCTCGGAATACTTAGTGACGCGGACGCAAAAGTTATCTATGATAAATATCATCTGTGACTAAACTAGTCTCTAGTAATCATTGTCTCACAGCTTAATTACATTTTTCATTAAATGACAAATGATTGAGGCAATTCAGTATCTTATGTTATTATATCTACATATACATGTATGAATTAGCACATCTGACTAAATCAATTAACTTCAATAAAATAAAGCACAATAAATTATAATTTCAACAAAAAGTTGTAGTGAAAGTAAATATAATTTCATTTAAAAACTAAAAAATCATATGCCCAATCTTTAACACAGCCATTATTAAGATAACATAATCAGTTGATTACACTTAAATAATCAATCTAATCACGGATTAATGGCTAATAAAATGCATAATACCTCTGCAAGTTCATAGGGGCCACCCGCACCATCATTTAAATTGAGCTTATCAGCTATACAACAAACAATTTCTTCAGAGCTTGTTTGCTTTGAGGCTTCAACTGAGAGTGCCTCATATTGAGCAGATAACGCTCCTACAAACACCTGTGAATGAGTTCGTAATTGTATTGTTTATTTGACACTGTTCTTTAGACTGGTTTAAAGGTGAACCAGGATTTGGTTTTGTTTGTTTAGACCAAACTGGCTTTGCACCAGTGCACTTTGTATATAAAAAGCTTTCAATCTAATAATAACTTAAATGTTTAGTTAATTAAATTATTTTAACTTATTTTATTTTAAGTTGTCATTAGGTCTAGTAGAAAATTCAGTATGAGAGGTTTTCAATCAAATAAATAAGAATTTCCAGGAATCAAAGAAGATTCAAATTTGTCAATCATGAGAAGACAGATCTCAGAATCAGAGTAGCTATGCTTTGTTCTTAAACACATTAATACTAGGTTCGTCACATTCTTATCATTTATAAGCAAAGTTCTTAAATTATAATAATAGGATTATGGCAAGGCTGGTCAGATATTGACTTATTCCTCCTAACATCTTTGTGATCTAAGTTAAATATAATCTTAATAAGACTAGTAGTTGTCATTAAGAACTTTTCCATGGGTATGGTTCACACTGTAGACTATTTAATATGGTTTTAATCACTATTAAAGTAATTACACAGATTTTATGTATTAGATTTTAAGGATACATTAATAATATTAGTTTTACAAAGAAAAACATAAAACCATATAAGGAAAAAATTTATTGTTGTATACCAAGTATTATGACAGTTAACTAGGAAAAATGGTTAACTGAGGCAAAAATTAAAGAATATGCAGAATGTCATGGAATAGGATAATAATTCATCCTAATATTCTTTTTACTATCATACATTTGAAACAATAATGAGAGTATGGTTAAAGGTCAATTTAAATTATGATATCAGTCAATGTTCACATAAATATATCACTTAAAGAACTTGTTGATAACAATTCTTAAATACATTTCACACATAACAAATAGTGTAGTAATATTATGGTATTAATTAAATCCATTACTGACCTGCACAATATACCTATGATTTTCAGAAAGAGCCATTCTGCTTCATGGTACAATTTGCATTTGTTATGAATTGTGAGCAATTTTCATCTCATTTTTTTGCCAATTATTTTATTTACGTTTTGCATTGCTTTTAAAACACAGACAATTCAATTTATCACAATAAAATTCTATATATATTTTTGTTGAAACTGTCCAAGTATAAGTTATCTTGATCAATTAAATAATTGTTGGTAGACTGCTGGTGGTTTAATTGAAACAATTTTGTTTCATGTTAATCAGAACTGGCCAAATGTATATCTTTTTCACTTTTCTAATTAAAGGTGTTCTATATTACAAATACAGATGTTTGTGTTTTTTAAAATAGGTCGAAGATCGTTCTAATGTTTAGAGAAATCTCAGATGTGGGTCACATGCTGGTCGTATAAAATCATCCAGGTTGCCTCATCAAGCGTAAAATTTTGGAATTACCCCCGGAGTTTGTATTTCTACAACCTAGGCTTTAGAAGTTTGTTTATAAAATAAAACTTATAAACAATAGCACTATTTATACGAAATAGAAAAGCTTTCGGTATCTGCAACAACCTGTTATTTGTCATACACAACTCTCGCTAAGGCACCACGTAATCGCACCTTCGCTACAATTACGGTATAGGAAACATACAAACGCACTTAAATCACTAATAACACGCGAACAAACATTGTTTCAACTTAATCTAATAAAGTATCGTTCTAATGAAATCGAACCACCATTTTTATTTGTGTGTAAAATTGAATTGAATCGTGTATTCGTGTATCTATAAAGAATACAGATAAAACTTAGAGGTATTAACTTTTTAAGGAAACTAACCTACTTTCTGTCATCTGTATTTAGTAGGATAATAATATACATAGACAAGAGCCCGTACTTTTCCTACAGACTGAGCGAAGGTTTTTATTTTGAACACAGATAAACCATGAACGTGATTGACTTTTTTGTCTATGGTGACAAATAATAAAAAGAGTGCACCAACTAGACACCAAATCATCTTTTGTCGTTCAATTAATCAATATTACAACTGATACCCGAAACTGGCTAACGTTTAAATTTGAACCATGTATTTAGGATTGCCCCTGCTCATCTTATTAATTACGTTGTTTCCTTTTTATACTAGTATATCTAATATCCTAATAAAATATTGTTTTATATTTATAACATTTTTTTAATGGCAATAATAGTTTTTATAACTTTTATTCGGTTCTTATTTTATGTTAGCGTGCATAAAATCATAGATGAGTTATAGTAATACTCATCATTAGGAACATATCAGGAAATAAATATATGCATCTGTCATTGTATGGCTCAATTGTTATCGGTTCATTTTAACGGTGTTAACATGAAAATGGTTTCACAGAAGCCTTGGTCTTTATTCGATAGTCTGTTGCCGTTCGTCATTTAAAATTACCGCGCAAGCCGAATTTACAAATATTAAAATATTAGAGATTAATGTCTCTAGACATAGTATATTCTCCATTACAATAAAATTACTGTTCATATAATAAAAATAAAATGTGTTTATTCATTTGACAACAATTCATTATAATGTGTAAGATTTTTGAACCCATTTAAAGTAAAAAATATATTACACAAAAGACGAGAGCGAAAAGTAATGTGTTACTTTTATTACTTTAACTGCTACTCACTACTTTTTACACGCTTTATATTAGCTTCACCTGTATGTATGTATGTATGTAACCGACTCCTTCGGACTCGATTTTGACGCACTTTTAGCGGACAGATTTAATTCAAACTTTGCGCACCTGTGAAAGATCGATGACAATGCAATAATCAGAAAAAAAAATTAAAAAAATTAAAAAAAAATTATCTAAAAAATAAAAAATAAATAATAGTTTAAAAAAACTAAAACACACGCTATTATTGTGAAAAAGCGTGGGTTGCTCGATACCCCACGCTTTTTCAGAATAATACCAGTATTTTTTGTTCATTACCATTTTCAGCCTAACAGCCTGGCCACGGGACATTCGCTGACGCGAATATTCGCGCGGTGCGAACCGCGATGCGTCTAGCGACTGAAATAAACTCATAGCAATGTACTAATCAAGCCACGCGCAACGGCGACCAGCGATGCGACCGGCGAAATGTACCGAGCGAATCGCGCGGGCGACTGACGTCGCGACGAGCGAGCGAAACAAATGCATGAATCAGTACGGTGCAAGCCACGGAGTCGAGCGGCAGTCGCGGCGAATAGAGAAGGGAATAAATAAGTTTAGTCGTGGTCGCGGCGAAAAATGAATACAGAGTTTTTTGTTACTGAAATACTGGCTAGACCAGCTATTTGGAAGTCTGGCCATCCACAGCATTAATTTAATATACCTTAATCTCAAAAACAATTTTTCAGCGGCACTTAAAATTCTATTTGCATTAACTTTTTTCTCCAATTCTGGTTGAATATTCATAAGAATGTAATTGAAGGTTTCAATACTCATTCTGGTATACTCAAAAAAATAATTCTGGATATATTCTGAATTTTTCATACTTCTTGTGGAATTCTCCACAATTTCTCCAAATATTAGGTCTTGAACCAAAAGCTATTACTTTCCAAGCAATATCGAGATGATTTCGATAAAGACATTTCGCTGTCGAACTTCCTTACTGGTCGCGGTGGCAAACGTGACTGGTCCGTGGCCTGCAAACGGCCCCGCGCGAATGGTCGCCTCGCCTCCCGCATCGCAGTTCGCACCGCTGATCCCCGTGGCCAGGCCGTAAATTAGGAATTATTTTTCACTTTTTAGTTTGATGTGCTTTAAAAGCGTGTTTTTTAGTTTTTTTTAACTATTATTTATTTTTAACTGTTACTGCCACCCATGTAAATCGTCGTAAGATTTTTTATATTATTAGACTTCATTACCATGAATAATTCTTAAGGCTTAATTGAATAAAAAAAAATATTTATATATTTAAAAAAAAATCGCGTCATCAATAAAACCAGTTAAATATTGTAAAATAATTACTATTGTACAAATTGATTTGAGTGAATTGTATAAATGTTACATTCACTATTGTATTTTACAGTGCTTGTCCTGTAAACCTCCTAAAGGATAGAGCCACATTGTATAGCTACCTAACCTAACCTAACTGCTATTGTAGGTAATTAAAGAGTAAGTAATACAAAATATTTTATTCATAATTAGATAATAATCAGTACTTTATAGTTATTAAATAATAAATATATTAAGTTTTCACCGTACAAAATAACGCTAGGTGCACGTATAACAAGTAGATCCATAACAATAACAAAGTATGTATTACCGTCTAAAGGGGCAATAAATGAGATTTGATTTGAGAGGTCACCACGTAAGTGCATTGACTGTCGTGACCAGCTAAATAAAAATAGTTTACAATAAACTCTTTAGGCACATAATTATTTATCTTTTTTATACCTAACGTTGAAAAAATAATTATGATGACTGCTTTATCCTACGTGTGTTTTTTCGATTTGCTATTCTCAAATATTAAAAGCGAAAATAATAAAATAATGTAAGAGTTTCACGTTTACAGAGTATCTGAACTATTACAATGTTTTATAAATAATATCAACTTTCTTAGTTTACTTATACACTATAAAATAACTATATTAATAAATTCTTGTTAAGTAACGTTATTTGGCACATTTATTTGGTCACGTCTTTACATATATAGTCCACAAAACTTCCTTTAAACCAGCGCATTTTAAAACTATAACTATACTATACTAGTCGCCTTCTAGGCACATGTGTAGCACGCTTAGCAGCCGCTGCGGCGGCAGCCCGTCTTGCGTGTACGCGTCCGTGCTTCGCGAGGTGATCCGAACGTGCAAACCTCTTGCCGCATTCACTGCATCTGTAGGGCTTGTCTCCCGAATGGCTTCGTCGATGCCGGGCGAGTTCGTCCGATCGAGCGAAACGCCAACTGCACCCACCCCAAGTGCACTTGTAAGGTTTCTCACCACTGTGTCTCCGCAAATGTGCCCGAACGTGAGATGCTTTTGCGTATAACTTTCCACACTCCACCACCGGGCATCGAAACGCTCCTAAGTTAGGACAAAATGTGGGCTCACCCCATGTCGGCACTTTAGTCTCTACGGACGTTCCACTCTTTTCAATTGGATTAATTTCTTGCAAATTAGCCAACTCCAGCTTTTGGGGATAGGTCGTGTCGAGATCGATACCCAACACAGAAAGACGTCCTATGCCGACGTCACAGGCATCTATCGAATTTGTAGCACACGGTTGCTCATCACACGATTTATCACTGCTTAATTCATCAAATAGATAGTCATCTAAATTAATATTCTTATCTAAGTCCGCAAAATCGAATAGGACGGAAGAGCTCTCTTCGATGCAGTTGTTCCTGTTAGTGTCATTAAAATCACTCACAAAAGCGTCGCAATGGAAATCGAAATCATTGAACTGCCACTCGTCAACTTCGGCACTAACGGACGTCGGAAGTTCGAAATTAATGAGGCTTTCAGCCGGCGAATACTCGAACAGGAGTTGATCACTGAGTACGGGGTCATCGAAAAGCGATCCACAGTCCTCCCGATACATTTTTAGTCTGAAATTAGATAGAAGCTATTATTAAAAAAAGCAAAAACGTATAAATATAAAATTATTGATATTACAGGTATACTTACAAGTTGCGTTACGTCCACTGACGATTCAATCATAGAAATCGTAAGTTGTTGAGGCGGAAATGACAGGATGAGCTGTTGACCGGCGCGTACGACGCGTGTTGTGGATCGAGTGAGCGTGGTCGGGTGCGCCGGACACCACTGCGGACGCACGATAACACTGATCGCGATAATCGCCAACAACGTTTACGCACTACGAAAAATTGCCATTAAACAAACAAATTACAAAGGCACAACCTGATTACATGGCATGCGCACGGTGCACTAAGGTTTTTTTTGTTTTATTCCGCTGCGCATTATAATAAACAAGCTCTGAACACAAATGGATAATGTATGCAATATATAATCAATTAACAAAGCTGTTTATATGAACATTACGATAGTAGGATCATTCACTTTCTCGGCTCTTATCATGTTTGACTGACCTACCCGAAAGTTCTTTTACCTATGATAGTAAAATTAAATAATAATAATAATATTGTAACTAGTTGTTGTGTTTTCAAAGTAACGCAATTTTTTTTAAAGTCGCTAAGACGATACTAGAACTTTATGTATACAGGACCTATATATCATTATTAATACTAATGCATTAAATTATTACGAAATTTATAGACAAAATCGCGTCACGAAGTTCTAAGTTAGATCCTATGCGATATTAAACTATGAAATTTTTACCGTAAAAACCACGAAAACAAAGTTTTTTTTTAATTGGGGACATTGCACAAGAGATCTAAAAGCTTAAGTAGGAATTAACCGAATTAGACTCTTCTCCTTTATTGGAAATCAATTAAAAACAAAATTGACTAGTGATGTAATTATTTTTGTAAATAAATAAAACTTATACAGAGAAGGGGCAAAATGTGAGTGGAAAGAATTGTTTGAAATTAATTTGACTAATAATAAAAATATTAAATATTTCAAACGTATTTTTAATTGCGTACCTAATTAGTTTTGTGAAAAGCACCAAAGACTTGGCACAGACACAGAAATAAATAAGTTCAATATGTCTTCTTTGAGTTCATCTTAAAGTAAAAAAATACTCATGAAGATTAGTTATTTTATTAAAATTTTACAATTATAAATCTATGATATCGTATTGTATATTTGAAAGAGTTGTAGAATAATGAAACCCTGGGATTTGGATGGGAAACTTCCAGGAAACAGTTGTTCCGGTCGAAGCTGCTTGAAGGAGGTCTTTTTCTAAAGCACTGAGGTCCTGGTTGCAAAATAAATAATTAGGTACAGTAATTTGTTTTGTATATTAAATGTATTAATGTACACGTGTCTGCTTTTAAAATCAAATCAAAGAAACCTTCGCGTGAAGTTTTATTACGCAATAATAATTACAAATTGAACAATTCCACAGCTTAGGTTTACTTATAATGTTAAATTTTAAATGTTACAGTTAACTATTAAACAATTGAAACAATTTGACATCATAGGTAGATATTATTTATTGTCTATCAAAGAATTCATAAATATTGCTTTATTTTAAAACAATTAAACCTACGCCAGCAGAAATAGCCGAGCGGAATCGACACTATATTTGCAATGTTGTTTCCCCTGATAATGATAAAATTCCTCGGAAGACCGGTAAAATTTTTAAAATTTTTATTTATTGTATTGTAAAAATCTCATATGCGTTTTTAATTAATAGACATTGATTTCGTTGAGAATAACTTTCTTTATATTTCTTAGAAGTTCATAAAAATGCTGATATTTATCTAAATATTTTATTGTCATTTTATTTGTCGTAAAAACAAAAACATTTCTAGCAAAACAGTGTTGAAATATATTTATAACTTTCCCCTGTGTGTGTTTAAAATTAGTAAGAATTTGAAATTTAACTTGAATTTATTAATTTTTAAACATTCGTTTATGAGATGCTAGTTTTCATTATTATCCTCATGATATCTATGTCCGGTCTAACGAATTAGTTTTATGTCTGGTGAAAAAATTGTTTTCAAAATATTATATTCATAATTTAATATTATAAATGTCCTGTATATATATTTGATTGATAATTAACACAGAGAATGTTCGTGAAACAATGCAACACACATACTAAATACAGTTAAAAAAGTAGTACTAAATTTATAAATAAGTTATTAATAATAAAACTTACTAGACTTTATACTAGGGCCAATTTCGGCTGCGCACGGCTGGACACTTTGCGTTCTAATGGTGAAATAAGGTGAAATAATTTTTATAGTAGTAGTTTTTGTTTAGAAACACACAAAGATACCATTTTTTTTTCTACGATACAAAGGATTTTTATTGACATATAGTTTTAAGATCATATTCATATACATATAATTCGCATGAAATTAAAATAAATAATAATATATGTCATATAATTTAGGTATAGGATTCCAGTGCTAGATTTGCTGGCGACGGTGGCTGGTACCGCCAACATCTGTTTTTAAGCGTGTCCGAATCAAATTACAGTATTTATCACTTTAAAATTTTATCTTAATGTGTATTATCTTAATGTAAAACATAGTTTTGACTTTATTCACATTTGTTAGTTGCATAATTTATATAAAAATACTGCTTACCTTATGATGGTAAAATAAATAATTTATATATTAAGTTTTTAATTTTATAACAATAGAATCAAAGATATAACAAACAAATATCACATATGTATCGTACATACCTAGCAAATTATAAGAATAATGAATTAAGGATCTCTGATATCAATTATATCGCATACAATCTAGATAATCATGATAAGGGCATGGAAAAAATTAATTGCAATTTGCAGACGTGATTCACATTATAATATATCAATAATAAGGAGTAGATATATTATTTTTTTACAATTTATTGGTGCGATCAAAACCACGACGATTTTTTTTGTATGTGCACAGTTTGATAAAGGCAAACCCCGTGCGGCATACCTTAAAGGATACCAGCTTAAGATCCATAGGGTTATAACGCTACTTGATTATTATTATTATTAACATAAACTTTATATCTGGTCAACATAAAACAACCATTAGGGTGAAGAAATTTAAGCAAAAAAAATTCAGCTCACTCTCGAGCTGTTTGGCATAAACTTCTCCGTGTTAAACATCCGGAAAAATTAAATAATTAATTTATAACTATAGCAAATGTAAAATATAATTTAGAATTCAAAAGGAGTTCATCTACTGTAGCCGCTTTCAGGAAGCAGTCGAGACGATCGATTTGAATTTTATTAAATATTAAAAGCTGCAACGCTTATTTAAGATATCCACATAGTAAGCCGTAGATATTTATATAGTATAAGTATTTACAGTAAAAAGTGTTTTAAGTTTCAATAATAATTTTCAGAAACCTGCCAAACATTGGCTGTCTTTTTTTGTATAAATAAAACATGATCTTTGTGACTTCAGTATCAGCGACTATACTGTAGCATTCATGAGGTCAACTAAATGAAAGAACTTTTAATTCATTTACTTTTAATTCATTTACTTTAGACAGTTCAGTAATTTACTCCGTAGGATGCGGAAGGACAATTACTGACGTGGCGGTTATGATAATTGAATATATTAATTAGTTTAAAAAAAAAATATTTTTTTATTTACATTCATTCATTTATATATCAAAATCATTAATGTCGAACTATAATGACGTAACAGTATTGTCAACATAACAATGCAGTGCGACCTCAAAAGTCCGGACGGTCCGGTCCGCACAAATTATCAATAAATTATATATTTTTTCTAATGTGAATGTGAATGGAATCATGACATTCCAATATAGATTTGATCCATATTACTTACATGTACGAGTATGTTTAAGATATAAATATATTTTCCATTCTTAAAGGGTTCTATAAAATTATAACATTCCAATAGTAATTACGGTATATCTTCCACTTATACGTAACTGCCGTATATGTACGTAACAAGCACAGCTCATAATAGCGATAACATTCGGAGGCTGGCAGTGCCAGCGTCTGGTGGGACCCGCTCAATTGTAATCATGTTTTTCCGATACATAAGTACTCATGGAAAATAACTTCGCGATTAGTGTTAACTTTGTATATTTCAATGTACAGTAATCAGTACTCTGCACTTTTAAACCGTGTGACATGTTTTGTAAAAATAAATAAAAAATATTTTTATGTGAAATCTATAAAGTTCTCGATCTTTTTTGAAAACTCTGTCGGCTATTATTTTTTTACAGTCATTAAAAACCTCGAAGAAGATTACAATTTGACGTATTAGTTTTACACACTTTAGACATGTAATAAGCCTATATCACATATTATTATATACAATTTATGCCGTAATTTTAAAGGGCTATCTATATGTATTGTAACGATGAAAACGCAGGTACTTACCGAACTGATTTTTGTGATTTTATTTTAATAATAAAATACAGTCTAGCTGCAATGTACAGTACATCTCAGAAAGTGTGGGCCTGCTACTGTTTAAATAAAATTATCATTTATTTATGTATTCAATGTACACTTATCAGTAAAAAATTCATGCTTTTTACATTTACTATCTGTTCTCAGATCGAGAGCGAAGAACAGGCGAGAAGTACTGGCCATAATTTTCGTCATTCCTTAAATCGCAATTTTCATAAATTGTATTGTAGTTAGCTAAAACCCGGAACATTGGCGAATAACGCTGATAATCCGTGCTCGTACGAGGTACATGGAACAGTTGTGAATATCTTGTCGCATACAGTGGAACAATTCTTAAAGAAATTAATGGCATAATAAGGGTAGGGACCCTTTGTAAGAAACTGCTACCATTACACCATGCTCCTAGTTAGATGTTCAAGCTATTGAACACACACGTTGTTTTATATCTACGAATATTTGTCGCCGATGTTATTACAAATTATCATTTCCAAACACGCATAATGAAATCCCAGGCCAAATTACGGAAACACCCAGATGAAAGATAAATGGTGAGCTGTGTCAAATCTGTTCGTGGGTTAGATAAGAAACTCATTACCATATGGTGTTATTAACAATTTGCAACGATCCTGATAACGCTGTTCCCGTTATCTAACCATGGTGACTATTGATTGATAATGGCATTAATTTTGACATATGTAAACACTTTGGAAGAGCAATTCGCTATTCAGAGTGCATACCGAATACTTGACAAACAATTCGTGAATTTTTAAAGGTTCGAGAGATCGGTCGCCTTGGACAAGACTACAAGAGACTAGAAAAACTAGGTAAATGAAAAGCGCTATCATGTTGTATTTCGTTTCAAAACGGTCCTCTTTAATTTATAATCTAAGAATTTTCTGTACGTTTTGTAGCAAGTAACTATCATGTGTGATCTGTTCGGGGGATTTGTTGTTTCCCCACGGGAGTCGGTACGGAATAATTTTAAGGAATTAAAAATTATGATACTATTTGGTCAATATAATATTCTTGAAGCCATGTTGTTTGTTCAAAAAAATATTAACTATTTGACTTTTTATAACTGATTTTAAAACAAATGGTGACTTTCACCAGTACGAGTATATTAGTCGAAACATAACTAATCTAAGCGTACGACCAACCAGGCTCCAGAAGATAAACCACTACTTGTATGTTAAATTTATTATTATTTTTTGTATTATTCTCGATTAAGGTTGGTTTTTATAAGATTTGGTATGCGCTTCTTGCACTTTACCCATCATATTTCATTTTTAATTTATATTCGTTTTTACAACAAACTCCCAAGCGAAATTAGAAAAATATCACTCAATAAATTCTAAACTATCGTTAAACGTCAATTAACCAATAAAGTTTTTTATGCATTTGACGATAATTTAAATGATCCTAATCCTTGGGAAGCTCCAGTTCAAATTTTTATGCTCTGCCTTACAAACAATTTGTATGACTCGGCGATTAAAGAGAGTGGAGGAGAGTTTCTTGCCAATTCTCCTCGCCCGCTCTACGCCCTAGCATCTTTTATGTTGACGTTCATAAGACGTGTACTTGGTTAACTATATGAAAAAGGTTATTATTATTATTGAGTATGAGTTAGTGCTAGTGTCGTACCCGATAGGTGATAGGGTTTTAATTCCACCCAAACACGGAATATTTAAACATGATCGTGTTGTAAAGCGAGACAAAACTAGTTGCTTGAGTAGTTAATCCGTGTAACTATGGGCTTTATCTATATAAATCATTGCTAAGGCCATTAATTACTTTATACGCCATATTACTAAATCGCGTACCTATTTCTTATTCTCATGAATCCGTGAGATTAGCTTTTAAGTTTATTTTATTGTTTTATGTTAGTGTAGGTATTATAAAGTAAATAAACGTTCTTTGACTATTTTAGATTAGGGTTCGTTTATGAATAACTGAAGTTTTATCTGTATAAATGAGCTTGATTTTATTACTATAAGTTTTCTGTTATCTATGTTATAGAGCAGACATATTATGGTATCTTAAAATGATTATTTAATTTAAAAGTTTTCCTTAATGATACCTTCTTTTACCTTAATTAAAGGCTAATCTTAAGATTTAAAGTCGATAAATATGAGTCCCGTCAAAAATGTACATATTGATTGACATGCGGGAGTCATTCTTAGCGCTAAGCAATGACTCTAAATCATACCTTGGCATATCTTCCTTTTGGATATATCAGTAATACATAGTGAATCTTATGCTAGTGTTGTTTAAGACTCGTGGAGTAGTTTAACGGTTGATGGCTATAATGGATATTTTTTAAGATAATTTAAATGATACCTTGAAGATGTACTGTGTTAATTATTGCTTAAATTTTTATTATAGCTTATTAGTTGTTCGAATTATATGCCTTAATAATGTGTTTTAAGGTAATTAAGGCTAGCATGTTTTTCACTAAATTTATAAGTTGCCAATGTGTGTCACCAGTAGGTGCGCTCGCTGCCTTCTTGGCGAAAAAAATCTTCAAGTGTATTAATAGCGTAATGCCGTCTACTAAGCATGTATTACTGGGTCATTTTGTCTTAAGCTAGATTTAATAGGATGTACAAAATAAAAGATAAAATAATTTGCGCATATCTTTTTAATACGAGCATTTTACAACAATATTGAAACGAAATCATCATTTTGAGATCTGCTGCCAACATACACTACGGGCGCTCAACAAATAAACAAAAACCGCGCACACTAACACTATATAAACAAGTCGCATAAGTACATACAGGCTCCCAATTATACATATACTAAAGCTATATCACTTTTCACTCGTTCGCGGAACGTTCATTCACTCGTTGATCTGTTTTGTTCGTTTGTTTATTGTCTTTAATAGATCACTTCGTACACTGTCGCCTTTTTGTCGCCGGAACCCGTTACAATATATTTGTCGTCAGATGAAATGTCACAGCTTAGCACCGATGATGATTCTTTTGACTGTAACAATAAAAAAATATTATTATGATGGTTATAGAATCTTTATGAACCTAAAAAAACACAGAAACATTTATTTATTATTAATTTGTTTGCGCAGACTATTAACAAGATAAAAGAATACAAAGAATCATAAATATGAGTAATTTAACAAATAACATAAATCTTTAATTTATGGTCAGTCACAAAGTACGCCAAAAGTCTCCAACTGTGTTGATATATTTTGTAAACGACGCAGGCATGCTATTAAATAGCTATAATTTATAAGTTAAATATCCTATTATTTTTAACCTTTACGTTGCTTCAATTTGAATCTTTCCATAGAATCCTACTAACACAAAAAGAAAAGAGACAGCCATATGACCGCGTAAACACAATTTGACAGAAAGAGACAAATAAAATGATTTATTTTTATGATAAGGTATGACTTTTCAGTGAAATATATTTGTCTAGTTGACAACAAATAGGGACGAGACATCAGTAGCACAACACAATTAAACATTATTTTCGTTTATGTATTTAAGTACTAAAATAATTAAAACTAAAGTTATCAATTAAGTAATAAAAATAAGTTCAATAACCGTCTGTAATCGACCTTATTATCAATATACATTGTTTTATAGTTGAAACGTATCACCCAGTTACAATGTAAAGAAATATTATGATAGACAAATATTATAAAGAGCTTGAAATTTTTATTTTGACAAAGAAATGTCATCACTTTAATAAAAAAAAAAAAATTAAATGATAATTTTTTTAACTTTACAATTCGAATGGTTTTTGTATCGTATATTTGTTTGGCTAACTAACTAAACAATTAATCGACGATTATGTTACTTATTCATAAACTTCTAGAAATACTGACGTGGATAATAAAAATCTACGAAATACGGTTTTCGAGACGGCAAGAAAATAAAACTCCATCAATTCTATTATTTAATCCTTCATTAATAATTTAGAATTAGTTTTATAATTTTAAGTAATAATATAAATTAAGTAAAAAATATCGTTTGGCGTAACCCAATATTACCTACTCCACACGTAAAAATTATTTATTTTATAATTACTTTTATCAACAGTTTAGGTTGAGATTCAATAAGTTATTATGTATATCGTATATTTAATATAAAATAAAAATTACCTGGAAGATACTAGCGCCATATGGAGTACGCCACGCGTTGAGCAGATTGTCTTTCCCCGTAGAGACGAACCACTTCCCGCAAGACGCGAACCGCAGCGAGAGCACGCACGATTCGTGCAAGTGGAGCTGGTATTTGTCTGGCTTCACCGCGTGGAGGACCTCCACGTTGCTGTTCTCCATGCCCACAGCCAGCCATTCGCCTGAAGAGAACAACCGTGTTATTAAATTGTTATACTACAAGGGACCTATACTTTAGAAAGGCGTGGATATCTGAAAAATTACTGATTTGATTTGAGATATACCTAATTTAAAGAACCATAAAGTTTTTTAGTTTGCGAAAAATACGTGCATTTAAACACTTACACATCTACGAAATTTAGCACATAAACTTACATCATATTTAAATATTATTCATGTCCAACAATACCACATACCTAATAGCTAACTAATTACTACTAACACACACTAAATAACCGCCTTTTTTAAAGTTGGTCAATATCTAATATATAAAATTCGCGGTGTTTGTAGTTAAACTCCTTCGAAACGACTTGACCGATACTCATGAAATTTTGTGTGCATATTGGGTATGTCTGAGAATCGGACAACATCTATTTTTCATCCCCTTAATGTTAAGGGTAGTCCACCCCTAAATTTTATTTTTTATTTTAAGATAAATTTTTATTTTTATATGATACACAGCATTAAAAAATACATATAACCCCTAATTTTCACCCCTCTACGATCAACCCCTATATTTTATTATAAATGATATACATGGCAAAACTACGTTTGCCAGGTCAGCTAGTATCTGTATATAATTCACGTTTAAGATATATGTAAAAAAAACTATGTTCTAGGGCCCAAAACTCTTTCGGCGATTAAATCTCAGAGGATAATTCTGATTTAAATTATATCAAAACAAATAAAAGCTAGATAGAACAGCTATTACTTTATGTTTTAGGTAAAAGTGTGAATTCATAGAATGTCAAAAAAATCTCTCTTTGTGCTTTAAGAGGTGTCAAACCCTAGTTAATTAAAAAAAACTTACCGGTTGGACAGTATCCTAATGAGAATATTTGTGAACTGAAGTCGTGTTGTTGTAATTGCCGACCTTCTCTTAGGTCCCACGATCTGCAAATAAAAGCTCCATTATTAACAATACGGTAAAAAAAACTGTGTGTTGTTTTGTTGCGGTAATATTTGGGGGGGAGTTAGTTTATATATATTATTAATAGTTCTAAATTAATCGACTTTTGTGAAAAGTAAGATTTCGAGATAACAATAATGGTTACGATGGTAACAAACACTGCACAATCACATGTTAAATCACTGCTTTATGTTTTGCGTTAATGAGGTAACACTGTATATTTATTAAGTTGCATATTAATGAAAAAAAGAAGCTGGCAAAGGCAGGCAATGCACTTCTGAGCCCATTGAGTGTCCGTGGGCATTAAGAGTATTTCTGAACATCATGAGAAGGCAGAAAGATAGCAGCAGGCAGGTTTCTGTATACCTCGTTCTATAAAAAAGTATTCCTCTGTTGTATAATAATAATAAAACGTTTAGTGAGTAGTTTACTTAAGTGCTACTTATAAAGAAGTAATAGTATTTACCTGACGGTATTATCGAGTCCTCCAGTCCACAATTTAGTACCATCCGCTGATATATCTATACACGACGCACCGTCTGTGTGTCCTTGGAATTGTCGGACCAGGGTCTGATTGTGGAGGTCCCAAACCGCTATGTTGCCGTCAGAACAACAACTGAAGCATACCTGAAATGGCGAAATATCTAATGAGATCTTATCATTCGCAGAACTCTGAAAAAGTTATGTGACCTGTGTTGAACTATTGAAGCTTCCAAGTATGTGTGCTAAATTTCAAGTGTATGTTTGTACACCAATTTCTTAGAAACTAAAAGTCATATCGAGATGATTGTTCTTGATTCCTATATATATTTGGAGATATATTCCAACTTAGAAAACAATCCAATTTTTTTCTATAAATTTTGGGATTTGGGTATCCACGCAACGCTGGAGGCAATACACATTGTTATATTTTCTTTTCAGTTAAATTATATTTATTATTACAAATTAGAATCAATATAGATAGCCTTTGAATTCGACTTTTAATACTAATAATATAAAAAAATTAAGACAATTTTAAGAAGTTTACTCCAAAGGGAACAATAACCAAGTTGGAGGAAAGACTCTTATATTTGAGCCGTTTATTATTTTCTGCCTAATACTATTTTAAGCGAGCTGGAGTCATATCCAGAAGAATTACTAATTCTGGATTAAATTTAATTCTTAGCCGTAAATTGAGTAAATGTGTTGATTATATAAAGGGTAATAAATAATGCTTACCTTAGAATCGGGACTTATAGCCAAAGCGTAACAGGCAGGGGCTGAAGAGGTCAGTTCAGCCTTAATCCGTGGCGTAGGAGACGCGAGGTCCCATATTGATAGGTTAGAGGCTTCGCCGCCCACTATTAAGGTTCGCCCATCTGGTAATAGCTTCACTGATCTTATGTAGTTATCCCGTTGCTGAAAAGGATTACCAGAGTTTTAGAAAAATTAATATGTAGAGATATGAATATCTGGTTTTATATTTTAATGAATTTTCAACTAGTACATTTTATTCAATATATCAACGGTTTATAAGAATGTAACAATTAGAGATTTTTTTTTAAATTTAAGTTCTGAGTTCAAATGAACGAATAATAGTTTAAAGGTGTTAAAAATATTTTATTGTTTGTTATTATATTGTAATTATTCAAAAATAATTTAGTGTACTTTAGGTGTTTTGAAATTAATAACTGACACAGGTAACGGTCTAAACTGGTGACAGTTACCGACTCACCAAGCAATCCAGTTGGCTGACGGGGGCTTTACTGGGCTGGCTGATGTCCCACACTTTGACGCAGCCCTTGCCCCCCGTGTACACGTACTTTGTGGGGGAGGACACGGTCACGGCGCACACGACTTCGCCGTGCGCTAAGGCCGACACTTGTCGGGCGTGGCGGGGGATCCCCGGGCCCATTAGGGCATCGGGGGGGAAAGGTACGGGCTGCATTTGCCCCTCTGCTGATACGTGAAAGGAGTATGCCCTGAAAATAATAGTTGATATGTAGTTTTAGGGTAAATAAAAATTGTAAATTAAAAAATGAATTCCTGCCAACAAAGCTTTATGTTTTGTTGACAGTAATTTGTGTAAATTAATTAAGTCATAATGTTTTATATTAGACAATTATAGTTTGTAACAATAATAATTTATTGTTAGTATAAAGAAAGCAAACAAAAAAGTCTGAAAATCTTTTTAAAACTCGATCAATATGTTTTTTGAGATACACATAGGTACAATATAATATATCACCTAATAGAAAATTCACATTTGTCCTTTCCAAGAACCTTTAAAAAATACTTACGGTTTTCCTCCAGGTATTGGAGCAAGCGAAGCTGGTCCTATCGGTGGTCGTAGGGGCTCATAGGCCAACGCCGCTCGCGCTGAATACCCCGCCAAGCCGTATGCGTCATGGGCCCCGTTCCCCAAATAGGGATATTGCAGCGCTGGCGGCTTCACCGCCGCTTTTAAGGGAGCTGCGACCCCGCTGGCCCCAGACGTAGGCGTCACAGGCTTCGATATGGGCGTACTTGGCTTTTCATCTAACTTTTTTGCTGATGGTGTTGATGCGTTGCTAGACGTTCCAGATCTGAAAAGACAAAGGGAATTTTATTATTGTTGCTTATTTGACTTAAAATGAGAATTGAAAAGGAGTCTATATTTATTTGTATTAAGGTGTGTACAACCCACTTGGTATATCACTTGAACGCTTTGGTTTCCGGAGAAAAGTCAGCAGTCTCACCGAACTCTATGTCCATTAGATATAGCTTTTTTGTATGCAATTCTGATTCGCGCGATACAAAAACACTTTGAATACAGGATCGCTATTAGGAGTCACAGACTGGCGCTGGAGTAGGTACATTTTATATATTCAGTACACTCGTATATTTTTTATCTATGCGAAAAGCACTTCAGAAACATCTACATTTAATAATTTTGAAAAAAACAGGTCTATACAGCCTATTACAAAGCCTCAAATTCTTCAATTTAAGAGGTGTAAAACAAACGAGCCGATTATTTGTTGAGATTACATTAACTTTAGGGCGCGTAATGCCATGTAATGTTATGTATGCAGACTGTCGTCAATTGTTTAATATCCTATGCGTGGCTTTTGTTTTCGCTATTATTATTAATAACTACTTAGTAATTACATATATTTATTATTAACATTGGAAGAACATATACGATATTGAAGTAGAACCAAATAATTCTATTTTTTTTTTAATTCTTCCGATCCTAACGATCTGAAATTACTCTTGTTTGGACCGAGCCCTGAACTTTGTGTAATTTAACCACTAAGTCAAATGGATATAATGAAAGTTTGACAGTTATATTTGTATATATTTTACAGTTCTTTATCAAAGTTGACTAAAACACAGTTAGTTTTTAAGTGGTTATTAAATTAAAAAACAAAAGCTTTAATCATAAAAAATAAATCAGTCTCATTGGCCTGTATTAATTAAATACTCTATTTCTTTTTATCTCAACGTTAACACAATTTGACAGAGAGACGAAAGAGTATTTTTTTTAAAGGAGTGCAATTAGAAAATGGACAAGTGACTATCATAACGTGAAATACGATGAATATTCTATATTTAAAATTTACATATATCTAAAGGTCTAATCAGATTAATCACAGGTAATTGGGGTGAATCTAAACTGTGTTCACTGAGCGTAACCAGTTTGAGAAAGGATATTATCATTGCTTACCGAACCGTATATATTTGAATGTATGTCACTTACTATTTTGCCTTAAAACGCCAGGGGCATATAGAAATATGCAAATACCAGACGTAATTGTTACGAGTTGTGTATAGAAAAATGTCAAGCTTCTTGGAGATAAAATATTTTACAGCTCTTGAAACTAGACCGTTCTAGTAGACGGGCTTAAAAGACACAGATTGATTGTAAAACTGTGGGTAAAAATGAATATTTAGTTCTCTGATACTAAAAAAATTACTATAAAAAATACCGAAGCAACAATCGCTGTGACCGAAAATGACCGTTTTTCAAAATGAAGGTAGGTATAATAGACAATAGATAAACAAAGATTTAGTTACATCATAATCTGTGGAAAAATCCCACCATAAATGACATTTGAAACAAGCAGTTCTGTTTAACGAATTATTTTTATTAACTTTCGTTTTCTACAAATCCACCAGGCGTTAAATGGTTTAAATATTACAATCTAATCTCTCTACTTAATAGTATGGTTTCTTAAATCGCCTTAACCGTGCAAAAGCTCGACAATTAGTAACCATAATACGTACATGGAATCATTTACCTTATAAGGCTTCCTTTAAACGGATAAAGTCATTAGGAATTTATCGTGCCAGGCGTAAGTTGAGCGACCCCAATTCCATGTAACCGAATGTGCGATACATTCTCGATATATTTTACTGCTACCCTGGCTGACATAATATTGTCGCTATATGTACCACTAACATCCGGTTTTTATATCCAAACAGTCGTTTACTTGTCGTTTTTAAACATGTCGCTTTCCAGGAAAAATTGCAGAAAGAAACTTATTTATTACGACACAAAGCAATTTCTATAACTGGTAAGAGAAAGCATTTACTTGTCGTACAAACATTAAATGGACACAAAAATATATAGCTTGGGCGGTTACGGGACTTCAAACAATTACTATCTAAATTATAAAGAGAAAAGTTTTGCTACATTATTCCTGACTAGCATAGGCTAGATTTACTAGAGAAGTCAGCACTGCTTAGAAATATGCGGCAATTATGTAATGCTACTGTAATGTAAACAGGAAGTTAATAATTTTTCGATTGTTCCTCTCTGTGACGTGTTTTTGGGGATCAGAAACGATATACTTAGAAATAATTAGAAGTATAATATTTTTTGTTATTTTTTGTAAAATATATGTGGTGAACATAATTGTCATGTATTTTCTCGTATACTGTAAAAAATGCATTATATTATGATGTAGTGTATTTAATGAGTTAGTAATTCTTTTTTGGGAAAAGGGATACTTTTCTTTAATAAAATCCCAGCGGCTCTTTTATCTCTGCCTTTTAATAAATTTAAGAAATGTACCTATTAAAGAAAAGCTGTGTAAAAAGGCTTACTACGAGTATAAAGTTAACGATTATTATCTAGTTGATAAAAGGGCCTGGGACTAGTGCTAGACAGGCTACTTCTAAAAAAAATTAAATTGCGATATTTGTTTTAAAATAAGTGTTGTTTGATGATTTGCTATTTTAAAAGAGTACCGAGAGTTGTTTACGCCGACTTTTTCTCTCGGCCTAAACCCTCTGTCTTCTTTGCCGATGAGTAGGGTATGTCTACCGATACAAATTTAATGACGTGGAATAAGTGATACCTGTATCTTATATTCCATACCAAACATTTTTATTTTTATTTTAATAAAAAATGATTCTAACCTGGGGCTGTGAGGTGGATGTTCCTTTTTTGGTTGCAATTTGTCCAGGCCGTTTTCTCTTGGCGATGGCGCACCGTTGTGCGGTGACGTTGGCTCTTCACTAGCGTCGTCTACTACTAATTCCTGGAATTAGAAAAGTTGGTATTTACACTAATACTTTCGATAAAAGTTGCAATTCTTTTTGATTATGACAAGGTTTTTGAAGTTATACTTCTTTATATATTTTTAAAAATTGTGCGTTATGAAAAATTGATGAGAGTGAAATTTTACGATGCGCGCGCACCGTGACACAAAATTAACAGAATGAAGTTAGTGGCGCATGTTGGCACGCACGCCGCCTTTGTTCACTGTGTATTTATATTTATAATATTTATCCACATGCTTTGAGTTTCTACATTTAAAACACGTGTTTTCATTTTGTTTTTATTATACAAGTGCGAATTTTATATGTGCGTCTGAATTATAATCAGAAGTGATTTAAATTGAATATTTAAATCAATACTAATTAATATTAGAAAATAATAATAAATATAATATTAATAAATATTTATTTATTTAATGTTTCAAATGTAAAATTAACTTTATTGACTATAATGAATCCTTTTCCAGTCTTTGATTATTTAATTGTAATTAATTATTTCCATGCAATCAAAAACTATTTTTAATAATGCCAAAGAAGAAATATAACTTCTTAGGCGCGTACATAAGTACACGCACCCTTTTTTCTGAATAACCCTAGGTTTCAGACCCGAGCTAACATGTTTCAATTGACATAGCCAACTATGTATAGTAACTACATTGAAACTCCAGAAACTTACACTGGATTACGTTTACCACGTCAATGACCTATGGCGATTTGTGGTCCCTTTCTAAAATTCGGATATTAATTACAAAAATATCAACTTACATGCCCCATGTCCTTCTCTTCCTTCTTCGGCTTTTTGTGGTCAGGCTCCATTGGACTTCGCGTTCTATATTTTTCCCTCTCGCCAGGCGATATTGAATTTCTCTGTAACAAAATATATTACATATTTTTATTAAATATTTTAAACAAATAAGGAGTAACTATAGTTGTTAATGAGGCGTTCAAACCCCACATTCTCCTTCCTATGTGTGCAATTAACGCTTGCTTACCTAAGTAAAACTTTGTAAGCAAACCAGTATGTCCTAAACACAGCAAAAGAATAGCAAAACTCTTTTGAAATTGTAATTTCAGTATACCAATTACTATTTATTTTAATTAAAAAAACATGGAGTACAGTGCGTAAACATAATACTGCTTATAGCAATCAATCGATCATTGTTCGCAAATAAATCGGTGTGCAGCGAGGCAGAGTACAGTCAATATCAATATCAAAACACGCTGAGGCAGAACAAACTCACCGCATGATTAGCTCCGAGTGGTCAGTCCCCCCTAGTGGGGGGCATTTTGGACGAGCGCGCAAATGCGAACTAATGAAATAATCATATACGTGTCAAACTACCTATTTCGCATAATGAATAATAATTGGACGCTTTAAAAGCATCTTTAAAATAAATGAACGTCAAATTCATTTACTTTTATTTAAGTTTTAACCATAGATAAAGCGGTTACGGGACTTCAAACAATTACTATCCAAATTATAAAGAGAATGGTTTTGTTTTTGAATGTTGGTAACGAATATTCAAAAACTTCAAATTAAAATCCTACATTATCCCTGAGCATTTTTGCAAAATATTTTAAATCTCTAGTAATCTAAATTTAATAAAATAATATATTTAAAAATAATTCAAAGACATTGTAGCTGCGCCCTGTTGAGGTTATATCACCGTTCACTTTTTAGACTAACTTAAATCTATTTATCGCTTGTCTTCACTGATTAAACAACGTGAAAGTTAAATAGAAAATGTGCTAATTTGTTTTTCCGTTTTTATTAGTCTGCGTACGTCGATTACAACATAGTTGGCGCCTTCAAGTGACGTTTGGCGGGCTTTATGAGTGACAATAAATTATAGATCAGTGTGTTATTTGTTAAATTACTTCTATATTTTTCGTGTTGTATAACTGTTAATAGTCTGTGCAAATAAAGTAATTACATATAAATGTTTCCGTGTAAAATTTAGCAGAAATGAAGGTTCTATATTTAATTATATTAAATTACGGAGGTGTAATGCCCACATTGGTTCTAATACCTATGTCATAAATATTCAAATCCCACGCGGATTTATCAATATACAGTTGAGTGCTTTCCGTGAATTGCAGATGCTATTTCAATGTGAAACCGTGTATGCAATACTGTTCGTAATATTGCCTTTATGTAAATAATCAATAGCGGAACATTGATTACATGTATATACACATACGGAAAAACATTCAAATGTGTTTTAAATATAAATCAAGTGCCTGTATTTGGTAGTCAAAGTCTCTACTATTTGCATACATTTAAACTTCAATTTATTGGTCATTTGTTTATTTATTTACTAATGGCGCTACAACCTTTTAGGCCTGCGCCTCAGATTTCTGTATCTGTTCAGTGATCATATGTTTTTTTCTAATAGGCAAGTAGGTGATGAACCTTCTGTGCCTGACAAGGCGTCGACTTTTTTGGTCTCAGGCATTTCCGTCCGGAGTTGTATGCGCACGTAGACAGAAGGTCCAGTAGTGCACAGCCGGATCGAACCTACGACCTCAGGGGTAAAAGTCGTTGAAACCACCAGGCCAACACTGCTGTATATTTTGTTCAGTAATTTAAAAATACGTGCTCGAAAGCGTCATTATTGTAAAATGAAGTTACGGTAATAAGGTAACAAGAATGCTAGCAGCTGTACGTAAAATTACAGGCTTTAAACCAATCGCAATACCAAATTGCTTGTAACTGATCTTGAATGAATAATGGACCGGGTTTAATCTGACATCGTCTGGGGTTCGCCTGGAGGGGTAACGGGGCCTAATTTTACGAGGCACTAAGTTAGAGGCTAGTGGCAACCGGCTGTTAATTTGCCACGCCGACCTGTCGCCGCCCGCTGTGACTTACAGCACTGAGGCGTAAACTTTATGTCCGAAACGTCTCGTATTATTGTGATAGCATTCGAATTAGTATAGGCTGTAGAAGACACTGGGCGTGTCGCAAATTTAATATATATTCAAATCTTTCTGATAAGATATGCTTGCTACTAGTGTTAGATTTTTTTATAGATTACGCAAAGGGGCAGGAGGCTCACCTGATGTTAAGTGATATCCCTAGGACACTCTCAATGCCAGAGGGCTCGCGAGTGCGTTGCCGGCCGTTTAAGATTTGATACGCTATTTTATGATTGCAATTTGATTAGTCATACCGCATCGTCTCAGTCGACGACAACTTTGTGAATAAAGCTCAATTTATTATTTCAGACATAAGTATTTTTTACAGACAACATAATGAAAAATTTGAGCTTATAGACTTTCTTAGTTTTATAAGCTTGGCGATCCTAAATTGTCGGAGTTACGCCCCGAGAGTATAGTCAGACGTAGGCACTCTCTTCAACTGTTACATTGCATTCATTCGTTACACAGCAATTAACATTTCATTATTTCGCTTATATTCTATTTTTGTACGCGAGTGGTTAATATAGTGTAAAAATAAAATCGTCTATTATTATTTAAAGCACCCCGATGATCAGTAACCGTATTGAATGTTTGATTGCAGTTGACGACATTGTTTAGATAAAAGCTTTTACGATTCAAATCAACTGATCAGATAAGCTTTAAATTGGAGGGTCATTATTGTCGATACTTGATACTTGACCATAAAGATTTGTAGTGACAAAAGACGAATAAAGGTAGGCGTTGGATGTTGTGTAGACGGAACCTAATTTTACGACCACCCAATCCACATTGCTATCGAATTTCAAGAGCTATTTCGAGAGACCTACGGAACGAGCTATAACGTGACGTGTCCAATTCGATTGGTTGGATTTTATGTTGCTCGTTTGAGCTGCTCGCGTGAGAGCAGGCCATTTGTGGTTAGTCATTAATAAATTGAATTTGCGGTCTGCAGTTTGAATTAGTCAGGAATAATATATGTACGTATTAGTCCCAATATTTTCCGTAATTATTTAACGCATTATCGGTCCGGCTATTAACGTCATTATCGAGTGCTTAACCTATATGATGAAGGTTTTCCAAGAAAACGAATTAAGAACAATAATGTGCACCAAATCTCTATACAGAATGGATGAAGCTCTCATATTCGAACGGAAAAGTAAATAGAGCTAATCTGTACTTTATCCCATTACGTGGGTCGACCACAAGAAAAAGGCAATTGAGTTGGGTTCGAGAGGATCGGGAGGACGGGAGGGGCGGACGCTAAACAAGTATGAGACTGTACAAGATCCGACAAGAGGACTTATCGGCTACCGTTTGCAGAGGTCGCGCACATGTGTCGGCGCGCGGGTGGCGGGCCGGGCGAGGGGGGCTCCCTGACGTAACGTATAAAGTGGCAACACACAGGCACGCTGTTAACGCCGCCCGGGCTTATTGTCTGCGGTCACGCGACGAGCCGTTTAGCCGCGCGCCCTGGCGCTGCCGCCGCCCGGTTAACCGGAAGGGGGGCGGTTAACCGGACGCTCGGGGGCGGAAACGGGGGAAATAGATAAATAGACCGCCCGCCGCTCGGAAATGTACGGATTGAGTTCTGACTATATTTCAGGGATAATAGTTTTGAAAAGTTGTGTGATTTACACGCGACATTTTCAACTTTTATCGCGGCCACCGGTTTTATATAAATACGGCCTTTTTATGACACTTTGGTAATCTTATCCGTGTATTCGAAAGTTTCGCTCCTTTTTCGTTTAATGCACATGAACATGAATAGCAAAGATATTAATAATCACTTACGCGTGTAAAAAGGAGGCTTTTATGAAAACTCATTCATGCATAAAGATTTGCGTTATTAAACCGGTTGCTACCTTAACGTTTGTAAAATAATTAAACGATGGGCAATCACTCGAAAACGGACACCCGCGTTAATCGGAAACATGGCCCATACAAAAAATTTATCGGCACCGATCGCGTAAACCACGGGGCGCAGCGCGACTTTAAAATTAACTTCGCCGGTTCATCGTATACATAAATAATGGAGGTATTTCTGAATACGCATTAAACTGCTATAAAGAATACATTAGCATAAATTTATGGTAGCGACTCGAGGTATCGAGCGCGTTTTTACGTGACTCGTAAAGTTTATAGTCGCGAGTGGTGGATTGCGTTTACTGCGCTATCGCTTTATGGCCGACCCCAAATAACTAAATTGTTATAATTACTCAGCGCTTATTTCCAACACACAAATATACAGAATTTACAATATTCTTAATCTACAGATTAATAATAATCATTAAATTGATAAATCTACAGATTTTTGTAACTGTTTCATGATCATTTGTCAATATAATAAGTAAGTAGGTGATCAGCATTTTCCTTCAGAAAGTCCATTGATGCACAGCCAGCGATCGAACCTACGACCTCAAATGTCGGTCAGGATGAATGTACTGCTCTGCACTCCAAAGGGAACAAAATCAAAGTTAAATTACTAAATTGTTACTTTTTTATTATGTTTATTAACGGGATAACAGCTGAAGCTCCAAACATTTTGTGACCTTGATTTAATAAATATTTACAAAACGTTGACCGAAAGACATGTAATGACACCAACGAAACTAGGTAATTAAGGTGTGAAAGTTGTTACAATAAAGTATGTAAACGTCGATAAGCAATCTCATCTTACCCTTTGCTCAATTACAGGAGTAATTAGCACGATTAACACGAGCGAGGGAAGTGGGAGGGACAGAGGGACGGAGGGACGATCGCTTTCACGCACGCAAACAAATGTCACGTGGCAGGCTGCGCCTTAATTAAAACGATAATTGAGTTGACTTGTGAAACTCATCCGCCATTTCGGAATTCCAAGAGAAATTTCATACTCTCGAAACTAAAGCCCTTGAGTGTCAACGACTTTAATTTTGTGTTAGCGAATTTGCGGTCGCGGGGCAAATTTTAATACGCTCTTTGTGGAATTACTTAAATAAATTAACTCGAGTTGCGTTGGGTGACAACTCGCTTGGAAAATTGTTATAAATCATGTTGGGGCTATTCGTTTAACGGAATGGTGATTTCTTGGCTAATAGCTGACTTCACGTACATTAACGACCGACAAATAGTGTTTTGTTTGCAGTTTACGAGTTGCAATCCCGGAAAAATCTATTTGAAATATGTATTACTAATTAGCCTCTGCCAATACTTCCAACTAACGGCCTGTTCAGGCTTCGAATTTCTGGTTTTGTTAATTTTTATGGTAATATAACTAAGTAACAATAAATATACATATTTAAAATATTATTATAAATATGGAAACGTTCCATTTTCAAGCGATCATACAAAAATTTGTAAAGGAACTTTCGTACTAAAAATACAGTCTAAAGATAGTATAAGCGCGGAGTGTTGACAAATTCAAGCGTCTTAAATAGTGATCTCAGACGAGGGGAGGCTAAATCCCTCCGAGAGTGCAATATGTGAGGCTCCGAACTTAATACCGGGGATAAGCAATTCGTTACACCTCTGCAAGTGATTCACCGCTAGCTAGAATTAATTTGTTGGTAACGGTGGATGGTATTACACTTTTTGCCCTATAGAAGGGAACTTTCTTACCGCAATTAAGTTTTATATTTTCCGTTTGTTTAAGACATAATTAA